AAACCAAATCTTATCTCACCTCATCTTCACCAACTTTTAGCAAGTGAAAGTTACTGGGAATTTTTAATAGGATTATTTGACCCCAAAAGGGTGGATGCCACTGTCAATCATCCTATTCATGCACCTGAAATTGTTCTCTTGGCATAAAAGGTGAAAAGATCCTTTGCATTACACAAATATACGTGATGGAATGCTCCAACTAAATTTCAATAACTGGGGCTTACATTTGTTCTGATGTGAACAATATCCTACTGTTATTTGTAACTGTTTTCCCTATCTAAATAAAAACTCTGTGGATCCCACTAAAATTCTTCCATAAAGGGTAAGATAATTCTTACGCAATAGCTCAAGTGATGTAATCAAAAGCTGGGAGTTAGAAGATTAAGATGACTACTACACAATAGATATATCTGGGAGCCCATGCCACAAGAAAAGATTGTTATATTTATGCAATAGTTCCAGTAATGTATACATGTCTGAAAGCTCTTCACTACAAGAACAGATAATCATGATTTTGCAACACCTTTGGCGATGCTGATAACACTTGAGGGCCCTTAGCTACAGAAACAGATCATTATTACGTAATAAGTCCTACAATATAAATATATCTGGGAGCCCTTGCTACAAGAACAGATTATTACGCACAGTAATAAGTCCAGTGATATAAATAATAAATCATGGAATCAGTACCATGGCTACAGGAATAAATTATTAGACCAAAAATGAATTTCCCCATATAGTGCCAGTATATTTTGACACAGAAAGGTGACAGGAAAGAAATATATCAACAGTGGAGTAATGTTAGATTTCATACCAAATTCTCAGATGCACAATCATAACAAAATGTATAAAAAACAATGCCAAGCAATGATATTTAGACACTGAGTATGAAAGGGGTGAAAAGTTTGCTTCAGTTCAAGTCACTCTCTTTTAAGTAAAAATTTCTATCTGTGCAAAATTTTGGGTAAATTCTTGTACTGCAAGAAATCCATAGTGAGGTCAAAAGACACATGTTCAGACTGTTTTGGTCATATCATTTTACACACCTCAAAAATATCTCTTCACCAGGCCTTTGACGGAGCATTTTAATGCTAAACACAGTATGTGATCTGGACGATCTTTTATTGTCAGGTGTTTCAGCAGTTTTGCAGCTTGCCATGCCCAACTGATATAACCCTGCGGCTTCATCGAATGATTGTACATGATGATGAGAAATTCCATGAAGATGGCAGACACCGTCCCCAGCCATTGTAACCAGAACCTGTTAGAGTAACCATGAACATGGATCAAAGTGAGTAGAGTCAAACAATGATTCAAAGTATATTAATCCTTTCACTCCCAGAAGTAATCAACATATACCTTCTTCTAATAATATTCAGATATTATTCAATGAACAGGTAATGAGAATACTAAATCTTATTAGTTAGAATTTGTTATGTTGATCCAACACCAAATTCTTGTCACTAATTTACAAGGAAATGTGTTGCAGCAAGAGGGGAGAATTAACAATCAGATCTTGGGAGTTAGTTATGCAATCGCACAGGCCTGGGGGCAATTATGGATTGATTTTACGCGTATTTTCACAGTTTTTGTAAAATTGCCCACGTCATGAAACAATGAGGATAATTTTTAGAAAACTTTGAAAATACATATGAAATTAATCCTTAATTGCCCAAAGGGCTCTTGCGATTACTTGTTTATCACATAAAGGGCAAATTTTTAGGGGGAATTGCATTCCCGCATGATGTCATACCATGATACCCTTTCAATGTCGTCACAAACATTGTCATAAATGTAACTGACCGATAGATCCAATGAACATTTTATTCCTGAAATATAGTCAACAACTTCACTCAGTTAAACTGCAATCACTAAATTTGTTACTGCAAACAGCAAAAACACTCAATCAGCATCAAATGATTGTGCCCTCTTCAGTACCAAAAGTGCCCTCGTGATTAAGAAAAAATGCACTCTGTCTCGGCCAAACAGCATTCAGTAATTTTTCCCACATACAATAAAGGGTTAAAACAATCTACCTCACCTGCTTGGCTTTCCCTGTATCTTTACCCTGGATAAATCCCAGCAAATCAAATGCCATCTCTTTGTAGATTTCCATGAATGAAACATGAATACTGATTGTTTCATGCTCAACTTGACTAATGTGGTCAAAAATCATGGACAGACTTTGCAAAATGATTCCATTGTTGTTGGATCTAAGAATGAATGGTCAAATATCAAACTAAGCCATTATGTGTATATAGATGCTCAACACTTGTACTGATACTTATGGAAAAAAAAGCAACTGTCATAGACAAAAGAGTCTCAAATTTTCACGCAATATTAACTAATGCAAGTATTTAAAAACAACAAAATTAAGGTCCTGAGGGTCAAGAATGAAGAAGATACTGGAAGGTCACAAATCTATATAAGCATCGAGAGAATTCTAGACAAGATTTTTCAAGTTTACCAGTAGAAATTCATATCTATTCTTCATTTTTTATCATATGTTATCCGTTCATTGTATAGTCATCTAGGGCTGACCATGATTTTTTCAATTTTATGATAAACAGGAATTACAAACAATAAGAACACATACATCTAGAATACAAATGAAATTCCAATTTCTTGACACACCCCCTCCCCCCAACTCCTTAATCCTCCTAGCTAGTTCTGCGGTCTCCCTGCATAATCTGTTTCAGTGACAAAAAGCTACAGAAATGAGTTACAAAGAAGTTGGGTGACGGCATAAAGCTAAAAGAAGCAGAAATTAGTGCTCTATTATGGCTACAGCTCTGCGACTCTAAATACAAATGAATAGAGATAGAATACCAATTTCTTGATCCCCCCTCCCATTCCTTGATCCTCCTAGCTAGTTCTGCCATCTCACTGAATAATCTGTTTCCATAAAAAAAGCTACAGATATATGAACCACAAGCAGGTTGTGCAACAGCATGAAATTAAAAGAAGCAGAAATTTTTCCTCTATCATGGCTACAGCTTTGCAACTCTAATGATTTAGATCATCCTTACCTCACTGGGCTCCGTAGCAATTAAAAATACTATTGCCCCAGCTATAAGACTCTACATGATCTGAATCAAGACTTAGCTCCCTTGTCCATAAAATTCTGTGATCTCACTGCTCCCCCCTCCAAGTTTCTACAATTTTTGACCATTTTAAACAAAATTGCTTTTTGCAGGAAGATTCGACATGTTGAAATTTCCATGCACAAAAATGTGCCACTACCTATTAAAGAATTTTAAAATCTATTTATGACATGTCTACCCTCTTCCAAATATGGTCTAACTTGTTCATCTTGAAAGCCAATTTCCTGTCCCCTACTTCTCCTCATGTTCGCTATTATTTCTACAACTACAACATGTGATTCTTAAAACTGATGTCATTACATAATGCCAACCCTATAAATAGTTTCAGATTTTAAGATGAGAATCAGAAGAACCAAGAATGAGATAAATAGCTTTCTTGCTGGAAAATGTCAGCAAAACAAGCCAAACTTCATCATTATCAAAGGATGCATTTGGAACCATGGACATTGCGGGAGCCACTTTAAAATATATGTAACAGCCACATCAAGGTCACTTTGCAAGAAAAAAAATCGTATCCGGTATTAATTAAGTCAGAACTAGAATTAGATATGGGAACAAATTGCCATCTGTCAGTGGACCATGAAAGCAAACTTCTACAGAGAAATGGCTACAGCTTTTAAAAGATCACTTCGAATCTATAATATATCAGATCGCGAATCCACTTAAGAACGTGCAAATTCTTGCCAACTTTCCGGTGATATTTGTCATGAATAACCTCACGTGCAAGTTCAAATTGTTGCAATATTTTTGATAATCCTGTGCGTGGGTTTCCTCACGTGTTAATTTAAATCCGAGAGATACTTCTCAGGATACCAGATTGCTAGCTTAAATGACTGATAAAATTTAGCTGTCTAGTTTTCAGTTAAAAAGCCGTAACATTTTACATACAATGTTGAAAAATACACAGTCAACCATCTTTGAGATAATTCACACGTCGTCATTAAGGTTAGGTGAAATATTGTCAGTCAAGTAACTTGAGAAGACTTGTTTTTCTTCCCGTTTGTTTTTCGCCAATGCCATCTAAAAAAACGTATTAAACATCAAGGGTATGATAAAAATAAATTATACTAGCAAAACAAGAGTAGCCCTTAAGAGTTATAACCAAACTATAGCTATTTTCAGGTTTGTCCTTTTGTAGGCTTGGAAAATACAGCTACAAGACAAAAAAACAAAATACTAACGAGGTGACACTCTCAATTTCCCCTTGAATAGTATAAGTTTTCCCAGCTCCTGTTTGTCCGTAAGCAAATATTGTTCCATTGTAGCCTTCCATAAATCCTTTGACTATATCCTTTGCGGCCACGTCGAACACATTATTTTGCGACGAATCCGTTCCGAAAACGTGTGCAAACCGAAATCTGATCGATTCCGGTAGATTAGAGGATCCAGAACTAATGGAGTGCGAAGTAACTTCCCGACGCGACTGAATACAAATCGCTTCATCTTCATAGCGGATGAGTTCCTGATTTATATTCTGACACGGCTTCAAACGTGCAAATACCTTAATATTCGCCATAAACAAGCTCTTGGGTTTAAGTGAGCAATAATGATGGATGCAGAAGAACACATGATACAGTACAAGATCCAGTGAGAGAAAAATTATACCCTCGAGATGGAGTCATAGCCAGATTTCTAAAGGTCACTGCGCAGAACAATGACTCTTTTTTCTGCCGAAATTATCCGCTCAATTGCTTTGAATGGAGTACGGCGGTAATTAGTTGTAAGCAAACCGCCCGCTTTTGTGTGGGTAATGCGACAAAACAAAACAAATTTGAAATACAAAGCCGGTCCAATTCGATTCAGTCGCCATATCAAATGTGCAGTCGACCGTGTCATTCCTGGGGACGATTGGGGACAAGGTGGCTTGGACATGCGCACTTACTGGTTAAAATCAAAGATGGCTACTCATTCGTTGTCTTGGATTTGCGGAAATATTTTTATTCATAGGAGTTCCTGATCCGGGTTGATTTCAAATCGAAGGGAGATTTTTCGCCGAAGATATTAGCATTAACTACGTCCTTATAACTACGCGTCTATCCCCCAAAATGCGTCAGTACCGATCCTCAGACATGTTTCAACTCCCATCAAATTGACACTTTTTCGGATATTCCCAATTTTTCGCAACGAATTAACATGGATCTAAACAAAGTCAGCTCTTATTCAGCTGCGGTATTTGATCGCATTAAAACTGTGGCAAAGAATGCCACTGTCACAGCTGTTTCGGCCACTGTCAATGCAGTTGGCGCTGTGGGTTCATTGATAGGAAATCCCTTAACCAAAGACTTTGATGTTGGCAAACATGTGGCAAGCTTCGGACCGAATTTGGCGTGGAAAATTTACGAGGGAAAAAAGAAGACAACTGGCCAAGTTAGTACTTGAGACCTCTTATTCTTAACGTTATCGTAAGAAATTATGTTCCTTATGGCTCTGCAGTTCAATGAATTTTATTGAGACGAATTTAATTTGGATTAACTAGTTACACCCGTCAATACTGTAGATCTCATTCAACTTGAATGCTTCTGGTGCGTTAAGTGAACATCAATAAATAATAGCACTTTTCATGACTTGGTATTTTAACCATAAGTTGGCTTTAACTTTTTTAAGTGTCTTGGTTCTGTGCCTGTAAACACATTGTAATCCTATCTGCACATTTTACTGAATGCACTTACGTTATTGATTATGATTTCTGCAACCCTTATTTTTACGGAAATTTGATATTATGAGTAAAAAAAAATTAAGTGTCTCTGCAAAGTGAATGGTTTAACACGAGAGTATTAGTTGTAGTGTTAATCAATTTATAAAAAAATATGAATAACAGATTGACCCTCAGAGGACAATTTTTATGGAAGAAATGGCAGGAAATGAAACTGGAAAAAAAAATCAAAATTATTAGGCTTTGGCAAGGTGCCTCTCGGAAACTGGATTGGTACTAATCGGAGCCATAAACCTACATGTAAGGTGCACAGCAAATTTTTTGTGATTTCTTTTATCCCTATCAACCCTTTAACTCCCATGAGTGACCAAGACAGAATTTCTCCTTACAATATCAATACAATATTGACCAGATAAATGATGAGAATAAAGAAAAATATCAATTCGGAAATAATTAGTTGATCCAATACTAAATTCTCTGAACTAACATTATGAGAATTGTATGGTTGACAGTAAAGAGAATTACAAATTTGATCTGGGAGTTAAAGGATTAAAGAGCATGGGCAGATTTACACTTAAGACATTCCGAAAGTTTTAAGAGGCTGTCAATGGTAAAACCACAAACTGGTGTGATTAAAAAAAAAAAGCTTAACTAAGACAAATATTTTAATTATTCATATTAGTAGACAAAAGGTAGAGGTGTCTTTTGGTTTTGTACGTGATGGAAGATGGCCAACAATCAGCCATTATTAAAACCCTTAATTTCGTGTATTTTTGAGCTTCTGAGGCTGACAGAAGGAAGGAAATCCTTTTGACCTTTGAGTCATTTTGTTAGCAATTAATCAAGTTCTTGGCACTTTTTACCACCATGGTTTGACAGGGTTAGGGTTAGAATGACTTCAGTGTTCTTTTCTATGCACAACTAATGACATATGCGACTGAAAAAGCTTTCTAAATTTGCAATTTATCTAGCACAATCTTGAGATCACTCAATTATCAACTCCATCCCCAGTTATGGACACCTTCATTGTGTCACCTTTCATGTCAAATATGTAACCTTTTACCATTTTAGAATCTTATTATACAGTGAACCATTTAAAGAGTTCCTAATTGGCTAGTGATGAGAGAATAAATATGTTATGGGGTGTTATACGGTATTTCCGTACTGCACTTTCTCAAAATTTTTAAAATTCATGAGACACATCCAACTTCTGAAATATTTCCAAAAGTAAACTGCAATAGAAACCTTGAAATAACTCTCATGGTTATCATAATTGATCAATTTCAGAGAAACCTGTAGTATCAATATTTCTGGGACTGTTGAAAAGTGTGTAGAGAAATATGCAATTAGAGGGAACAAAGAAGGAGTAGAAAATAATTTTATTGAGAATATGTCAACGTATGTAACCTATTACCTTTTAAGAATCTTTGATACCGAGTTAGCCAAGTATGCAGTTCCTGATTGGCCAGTATTGAGTGGCATTTCCATGCTGCACTTTCTCTAAATTTTTAAATTTCATCACACATATCTAACTTCTGAGATATTTGAAAAAATAAACTGCTAAAGGAACCTTAGAATAAGTCTCATGATTATCATAAATTGTCAAATTCAAAGAAATATGCTTTACATATTTCAAAGCAGTTGCAAAGTGTTAGACATAACATGCAATCAGAATGTATAAGGGGGGTTCTAGAGATTGATTTTGTAGAGAATGAAAGACACAAAACATGGCTTGTAGTTCCTGTGCATGTGATGACTTGTGGTCACCCATGAATTTTAGAACTGTTTTTAAATTAGACTTGCCCGTGCAGCAGGCCTGCTATGCAGGATCAAAGACTTTTAAAATTTCACTTGCTCTCGTTAATCACAAAAACAGTCTCCTCTACCAACTTTGACAAAATGCACTAACATCTTCATACAATTTACTGTCTAGATTGAAATGACATCTAAGCCCTTGACTACATGTGCATAGACTACTGATCACTTGATGAAAAGGTTATAAAATCCTGAAATTTTTTGAAAAACGATATATAAAAAGTAGTTCTTTTTTGTTTGTTTGATTTTATCATCAGGAGGTTTCTCTGGTTGTTTTTGAGAAGAGGCTGCTGGATAAAGTTGATAAAAGAGACAGGGACTTTGTAATGGAGACAATGAAGAAAGGACCAGTACAACTTACAAGATTGCGACATCCACGGCTGTTGGTTGTTCAGCATCCTTTGGAAGAGTCCAAGTAAGTAGCGCTTGCATACAAAAAAAAATGAAAATGCCTGATGTATATTTTAATAACATTGGTATCAGAATTATTACTCAAGATGATTTTTAATTGGCAAATTGAATATAGCATTACTTGAAAAATCTGAAGGCCTACATTCAAACAGCTTCCAGCTGATCTTGGCCATTCCAGCCTGGTTACATGTAGATATTCCCAATAGATAAATGAATATGAAATAAATAAATATTAAAGCTTGGGTCTTGTATTTTTCTCTGTGTTTCAAATGAGATTTGAATATATTTAAAAGGCTTCTGTTTGCAGTTAATAATCTGTCTGTTGTTAGAGACTGTATTTAACAAAAGAAGCAAACAAATGAAATGTGAAATGGTTAGCTCATTGGATTACTATGACATGTCCTGTTAGCTTCTAGTTCACAATTATATTAAAACTAGGAGATGTAAAATAACATGGCCTTGTGTCCCTTTCACTTCACTATTTTTTGTTCTTGGCAAAACCATCTCATTTTGCCTCCCTCCTAGCAGGACTCTTAATGTCTGGGAAACTTGACTTATTACTTGACAATTTGCAGCATTAAGTTAAAATACTATTCAGGAGTAGAAGCAGTTCTCCATGACAGTTATATGTTGGGTGATTAGCTCTGGCAGGAATAAACCACACAACTCTTGACACTTAACCATGTATGTTGTGCATTTTTTTTTCCATGCCATTGTGAATTAAAAATTCATCTACAGATGTATCTGTTACATGTCAATGGCTATGAATTGTAGTTCGTAGAAGCTCCAGAAAGAAGTCCCTCATTTCAAGGAGGGTTCGTGATTGGGACTCATACAGGAGCCAATGTATCCAACATTTTCTTATTGGCGACTAAAAGTCCTGGTCACGTTGCCACCTTCTACATATTTTTTTTAAAGTTATCATGTTGAGTGCAAAATTACATACCTCATATTGTCTAGTTTTACCTCTGCCTTTGAGAAAAAAAGCAGAAGGTTGTATAGACAAAGTCTTTTGACATCAACCAATACCTTCTTTAGACACAAATTCTGCGTACCTCTATGCGATCACTGTTCTTCCTTTCTAAGATGGCACAGAATTTCAATTAGTTACTTCAAGTGTCATTCAGGATTTTAGCAAAGCCAAATTTGTGGTACTTAAAGGTACATACAGACACAGCTTTGAAATTGGTAACTAGAAACATATTTTTGGTAACCATTTTTTGCCACTTCAGAACTTTAAGAGGACTAGGAAATTTGTCAATTTTAGGTCCAGTCAAGACAGAGAAGCATGTCTTTGTTGGTATCTGACTCCTTACAGTCAATGAGAACATAAAGGGGCTTTAAATTTAGACAAGCCAATAAATGGAAGACATAAATAGAGTTATCCACTGACCCATTTTGCTGTTACATGAGAAAGTCCTAGACCATTTTACGTAATTTATGATGTGGGAAACTGCAGTAGAATCTGTTGGTCAATGTCTCTTACATAATTGTGCAATTTGTTATGATTTTACAGATGCATAATGCATTAAGAATGCTGAAGGATTCTGAGATGAATATATTCATGAACAAGCATACAATGCACTCATTGGTGTTGTAAATTTTGCCTGATTGCTTTTTACTAGGGATTGCCTAGCCTTTGCAACTGAACCAATCTTTGCAAGTCTGGCAAATTTACTTGGAAAACATGATAACATGCCATCTCCCCTTCCACATGATTTTAAGGTAGATCTTTTAATTTTTTTCCTGGCGTTTCTCTCTTTACAGTGTTGTGGATATATTTAGCTTATTAAATACAAGGAATCATATTCTTGTCAACAGGGTATTTAGTTTCATCCTGTGAGGCTACCAGACAGGATGTAACTAACAGTAAATGTAATTGCATTACAGTCTCCCTAATTTAAGCTCATTCAATGTACCCACGCAATGTCCAATTAACCCTTCAACTCCGAAGATCTCATTAGTAATTCTCCTAACTGTCTGCCTTACAGTTCTTGCAATGTTAGTTTGGAGAATTTGGTGTTGGATCAAGTTATGATCCCTTAACTGATATTTTCTTTATTCTTATCAATTTTCTGCTCGACATTGTATTGATATTGTAAGGAGATTTCTGTCTTGGTCACTCATGGGAGTTGAAGGGTTAATTAAGATTATGTCTTCTACCAACAGATGTTTGAACTTTATGATGTGGAAAGAGTTTATGGATTGTTTCAGGTTTGTCTTTTCCAAAAAATTTAGATTGTTGTATAAATTCCTGATGCATTTTTAATTCCTATAACACAATTACTTTAAAGCAATCTTGAGAATCCTAATAGACTGTTATACAGTAATTATGAAATATGTGATACACTGTAGATGTAAATGATGCTTTTTACGAGCACACATTATTTGGTTTTGATATAATGATATCAAGTAAAGAGGGGGACATGTTGGTAGTTAATACAGATGAAGAATTATGTAATCTGTTTTTAGCTGTAGAAACATTTCAGTTGCTGGAAAATTTCTGTTTACCCACAATGGGCGCACAGAAATTGTTGATAGTGTGAAACTTTTTGTATCTTAATTCTGAGGTCTGTTGTTTTTTTTGTATCAGCTTGTGGAAGGATTAACTTTCCTTCATAATGATGCTAAAATTCTACAAGCAAGTCTTGCACCTGAATTGATATGTGTTACCAAGAATGGACAATGGAAAATAGCTGGACTTTTCTTTAGTTCTACACCAGTTGTGATTGATGGCCAGGTACAGTACATGACTGTGTGACTCTTCTTTTGTTGTCAACTTCAGGAAAACCTAAAGTTTACAACATTTAGTTAACACTATTGAACATAACTGGGGAAAGAATTTAGAATTTCAAGAGACAGTGCCACTCAAAAGTTAGTTGACTGTCTCTTGAAACTCAATCTTCCACCTTGATACTCAATCCTTGTTTCTTGAAAACTTATACTGTCAGACTGTCACCTTACTTTTGAGCAATACTGTGTATGTTTCTTCTGTTTTGGCAAACTATTTCACCATCAGATGAGTTTTCATGAGAATGCTCTTGTAACAAAAACAAGTTAATCAAAGAAAGATAATTTTTTTCTCCCATTGTTAGACTGACTGTATCCAACTTAAGGTTACTTCCCACCTTCGTGGGTGTCCTTTGGGAAAAAAATTAATATGTGTACCAGTTTCACTAAAATCCTAGCACTATACATCAGAAGAAAGCTCTATAGCTGCAGATTACAACAGAAATAAAATTTAAGTGACTTTCCTGCTAAGGAAATGTCAGAAGCCATAAGCTGCGAAATGACCAAAGGTTCTTCTTTTGAATATATCTGGTATTGGGTGCTGCAGCACAAGATAAATGGCTGCACAGTCTTATTCATAAGGCATCAATCAATGGAAGTGTGTCACACTTTTTCGATATTCTGATTGGTTGTCTAGATATCAGCATTTAAAATTGGAGTAGTTAAAAAAATATGCAAGGCGTGTTGCACTAAAATCCTTGCAAACTAAAATCCTGTCAAACTATACATCAGAAGAAAGCTTTGTAGCTGCAGATTATGATAAAAATATAATTTGAGCGACTTTTCTTTGAAGGAAGTGTTAGGAGCTGTAAGCCGTGAAATGACCGAAGGTTCTTCTATTGAATTTATCTGGTATTGGATGCCGCAGCATGAGATAAATGGCCACACAGTCTTATTCATAAGGCATCAATCAACGGAAGTGTTCAGGCTTTTTGATATTCTGACTGGTTGTCTAGATATCAGCATTTAAAATTGGAGTTGCTAAAAAAATATGCAAGGCATGTTGCGCTAAAATCCTTGCAAACTATACATTAGAAGAAAGCTCAATAGCTGCAGATTATGATAAAAATATAATTTAAGCAACTTTTCTTTTAAGGAATTGTCAGGAGCCATAAGTGGTGAAATGACTAAAGGTTCTTCTATTGAATTTATCGAGTATTGTATGCCGCGGCACGAGATAAATGGCTGCACAGTCTTATTCATAAGGCATCAATCAACGAAAGTGGTTTAGGCTTTTTCGATATTCTGATTGGTTGTCTAGATATCAGTATCTAAAATTGGAGTAGCTAAAAATATACAAAGCACGTTACACTAAAATCCTAGCAAAATAAAATCCTATCAAACTATACATCAGATGAAAGCTTAGTAGCTGCAGATTATGATAAAAATATAATTTAAGTGACTTTTCTTTGAAGGAAGTGTCAGGAGCCGTAAGCCGTGAAATGACCAAAGGTTCTTCTATTGAATTTATCTGCTATTGAATGCAACCGCATGAGATAAATAGCTGCATAGTCTTATTCATAAGGTATCAGTCAATGAAAGTGTTTTAGGCTTTTTCAATATTCTGATTGGTTGTCTAGATATCGGCATCTAAAATTGGAGTAGCTAAGTATATGCAAGGCGTGTTCGGTAAATGGATGCCACTGGACAAATATTTCAAGTATCAAAATTTCCCAACACACTTTTGTTTGCCATTATTCCAGGAATGTTTAGGCAAAATCGGACAAAAATCGGTCAAATCTATATGCCCTATAAACTCGCTCAAAGTGGTTGTAATCCTCTTAAAATCAAATCCGAGATAAAGGTTCACAAACAACTCACACCACACCAGGAGATTGCTCACCTCCTGAAACCGCAAATCAATGGGACAATGGGACCTCCTGGTGTCAATGACAATGGATCAAGATTTCCTGACGTCAATGATGATGGGTCAAGATTTCTTGGGAAAAGTAACCCATTGCAGACATGTAAAGAGGACAACACAATATTGAGCAAAGTTGCCAAAGCCAAAGGCAAAACCTGTGGCAAAAATGGAAAAACCGCAAAATGTGCTGAGGAGCAAGACAACAAATTGACAGACAGTTTCAAAATTATGATCTGAGGCAATTGTAAATGTATTTGTATCAGGGCTGGTACTTGCATAAAGAAAAGGAAAACTTATTTTTAACATTATGTATGGCAAATTTTGGTTTGACAGCGACTTCTTTGTTCAAAATCTGGATGTCAGCGTGAACCTCCCCACTACTAGCGGCTTTCACAAAGGAATTTTTTTTTCTTTTCTTGACAGAATGGTACTCTTTCTTTCTTTTTTGGGCTTATTTATTTATTTATTTTTTTAAATTTTCTTTTTTTTACCCAGGAGATTCTTCCACTTATGATTTTTCTATGAGCGAAAATTTTTCCATAAGTTAAAAGCTACCATGTGTGAATTTTGTTAAGTGCATGATGTAAACAAAATATGAAAGTACCATGAAAAACAAGCCCCATTATGAACAGTTGCTGTGAAACTTCCTCCAAGATTATGACACCTTCCTGACTATTAACTTTTATTTGAAAATACATTTTTCTGAACAACTTGGGTGCTTTTAAAGGTTTTAGAATTTTTTTATGGAAATATTAGGTTGAATGTTTGAATTCAGTTTAGTCAAATAAAAGAAAAATCAATTTTTTCGACCTCTGAAGGTGGGAAGTAACCTTAACTGTGTCAACTCTGTTCCTTGCAAAATTAATCATGAAAAGAAGCTCAAATAGGTCATTTCTGAATTCCCTTTGGCCTCCTTTTCAAAATGAGGCCTGGTGCTCAACCATTCATATAAAAATGAATTTAATTTGAATGTGAATAAAACTTATATAATCATATGAAAAGATGAGGACCAGGACTTGCTTTGTAAATGAGGCCAAAGGTAATTTGGAAATGGCCTATTAATGTACTAATTATGACGAGTGTGGTTGGACATCAAATCTTATTCTCTTTGTCAAATGGTAAGTGGATTCAAGGTCTGTTAATCTTTAAACTTCTGGAAGTGATAAACATGCAACTTCTCCCTATAATATCCATACATTATCCAGCAAGCAGGTAATGAGAATACTCAAACTTATAAGTTAGAAGTTGTTATCTGGATCTTACTCCAAATTCTCGTAACTAATTTATGAGGAAATGTGTAGCAGCCAGATGGGAGAATTAACAATCAGATCTTGGGAGTTAAAGGGTTAACTGTACATGTGCTTTAAAACCAAGTATCTGTGATTTTTTGTTTAATTAATACTTTGTGGAGTAAGTTTCCCCTAACAGGTATAATTAACTTAAAACACAATCTCAGCAAAAAAACTTGCCAGTGTTTCCTATCAACATGACGCGTTTAACCCTTTTACTCCCAAGGGTGACCAAAAATGAATTTCTCCTTTCAATCTTGATACATTTTTAATCAGAAAGGTAATAAGAAGAGAGAAAAGATCAATAGGAGTGCATCATTTGATTAAAGAATAAATTCTCATGTATGGAATTATCACAAATGTATTGTGCAGAGTGTGGAGAAGTAACATTCAATCTCTCTGTTTTGCTTGTTAGTCCACTTACAATGCTGGTCAGTGGGAGGGACATCTTTGGCCATGGGCTCAACCTGATCTGAATTATGCTGCACCAGAGTACATATTGTCCAGATCTTGTGACCTATCAAGTGATATGTTTTCGCTGGGAGTTCTTATCTACTCCATATACAACAAAGGGAAGCCTCTCTTTGACTGTGATAACAATATGGCAGCTTTCAAGAGAAATGTTGAGCAGGTAGGTTAAAATGGCTGGAAAAACTTGCTGATATTGTTAAGAGGTGCAGTTTGAGACAAGCTTTGTTAGTAATCAGTTAATTTATTTATTCAAATATAGGTGTGAATTCTACTCAGGAAATCACGGTTTTCATCAGAAAAAAAAGTGTTTGTTGCAAAGTCTTGTACTTGTTTCAAGCCAGTCCTATTTATGTCAATGGAAGATTGCCTTTCACACGTACTACTTTTCTACATACCTGTAGTTCAAACATAGGTAAAGGAACATTGTGGCTTCTTGTTCACAGTTTCTACTGTTTGCCTGTCAATAGAGACTTCTTTTGAAGCCAACAGCAATAACATGTGAAATGGTTAGCTCACTGGATAAGTTGTAAATGTTTTGGGAGCTTCTAGTTCACATTTACAGATGTCTTCATTGCACAGTGTTTAAAATTAATCCTCTAATTCCCATGAGTGACCAAGACAGAATTTCTCCTTACAATATCAATACAATATCAACCAGATAAGTGATGAAAATAAAGAAAAATGTCAATTTGAGGATAATTAGTTGATCCAATACTAAATTCTCTTAACTAACATCATAAGAATTGTATGGCTGACAGTAAGGAGAATTACAAATTTGATCTGGGAGTTAAAGGGTTAAGCAACCTCTCAAATGTTTAATTCTCTCACCACTTCACTGTAAGTCCCATTCCAGTTATTCTGAGCCAGCAGTTAAATGCATGGTTACTGAGGCTGTATTTCCTGGTTTGTAATGGTAATCAAACAATTATACATTTTCTTGAATTTTTCCTCACAATATCAAGCAGACAAGTGACGTGAATTAAGAAAAATCTTGAATAGGGGATTATTAGTTGATCCAATACCAAATTCTCCAAACTAATGTCACAAGAACTATATAGCAGACAGTAAGGAGAATTACTAATGAGATCTTGGGAGTTAAAGGGTTAAGGGAAGTTCTCTTGATTGTCCTTGCCATCATGATGTATCTCTGCACTGAATCTTAGAAATCTCAATATTCCCAAGGCAGAATTCACCTGTAGCTTTAACACAGGTTGTATTATAGTCAAAGGTGTGAACTGGAGTTGTTGTATCATGTTCATATGTAATGGTAGTAGGACTGAGTGTGGTAAAACTTGAGGAGTTATCTAGTGAGTGATTTCAAATAGGCAGAACTTGAACTCTGAGGCAGATTTAAACTTACAAGCACAAGATTGTATGTCAGGAAATCTGATTTCTACTCAACTGTGTCATTAACAAAATGCGAGAAATTCAGGAATGGAAAATTTGATGTAAGAGACATTTGCTTCTTACTGATGCATGTTTGTTTTCTTTGTGGACCCCTCAACCTGCCAACTTAAGAAGTTTTTGGCTAGTAGTAGCTACAGGTGCAGGTTGTTGAAATTTGGAGGCTGATGGCTGTTGTGCTTAATTGTACTGGCCGCTTAACTGTCGAATTTTTGCCTGTTTGATTACAAGTGTTTGTAACCAGACAGGTGAAATCAGGCAGTTTGGATTTGAAACAGCCAATTAAGCCACAAATAAAGACTGTTAACCCTTTAACTCCCATGAGTGGTCGAGACAGAATTTCTCCTTACAATATCAATACAATATCAACCAGATAAGTGACGAGAATAAATAAAAATATCAATTTGGGGATAAAAAATTAGTTGATCCAATACTAAATTCTCTGAACTAACAATATAAGAATTGTATAGTTGACAGTAAGGGGAATTACAAATTTGACCTGAGAATGAAAGGGTTAAGAACCATTCATACTCAAGCATTTTGTTGTTGGCACAATTACACCTGGATGAGTCTAACAGCTGGTATTTTGAACCATTTTTGTTTGGACCAAGAGGCTTAACTTCACAAGATTTTTTGAAAATTACTTTTTACAAGTTAGAAATAGTAAGAGACATAAGTCATTTTTGTAAAACGTGCCTTGTTCCAGATGTCAAGGAACAGCTCAGCGCCCCTTGGTTCTGTTCCCAAAGAGTTGCAAGAGCATGTTAGAAGTTTACTAAGCATTACTGGCACAGTAAGACCAGATGTTCACATGATGTCTAAGGTATGTTAAACAAACAATGTTAGTAAAGAAATGATGATGTTGCACAAACCTGCAAATTCTGTCATGGTGTGTTCCTTATGAATTTAAATCTGATGATGACTTCCGCTAAGGTTGTCAAAACGGAAGTCACCACTAACCCTGGCGATCACATTACAAGATCAAATGTTACTCTTTAATTCAAACCGTTTACTTTATGGCTGCATGTATGTTATGTTATCAATTCTCACAAACAAGGCTTTTCACTCTCAACTGAAAAAGATACTCTCACTTGACTCTGATAAACCTCTACGTTGCTGAAGCATCAAGCAGTTCCACCGACAAAAATTTCTTTCAGGACTATAACCCTCACCTGGAAGATCAGGCTATACGATCTCATGACTGACTGTGTTTGATTAACAATCTGTTGAATGAGAAAGATAGATGTTCCCTGATTTAAACCACATTTTATATTGCAGCATAATTTCAGAAAAACTTAGATTTGCACCTACTCCAGCCATTCATATGAACTGTATTTTTTTAAATAAAAATCCGGACTGTGAGATCACTAGGATATCTAAAACGTGCAAGATGGTCTCAGCTATAAGCCTTAAACTCCCACGAGTGATCAAGACAGAATTTCTCCTTACAATATCAATACAGTATCAAGCAGACAAGTGATGAGAATAACAAAAATACTAATCAGGAGGTTCTACGTTGATCCAACACCAAACTCTCCAAACTATACATCTATGAATTGTAAGGAAGTCTGTAAGGAGAATTGCTATTGAAATATTAAGACTGAAAGGGTCGCACATGCATTCTAATCATTTTCTTTTCGTTGCCTGTCAGATTTCATTCTTTGAAAATGTTGCAGCTATGACGTTACAGTACTTAGACTCTTTAGTGCAGCGTGATGACATGGCAAAGTCACAGTTCTTTAGGGGACTCTATAAGGTCATGTCAAAATTACCAAAGGTGAGTTCCTTTCTGCAAATAAATTTTTCTAAATTCTCTATCTCTTTTATCGCGGTATTTTGAAGAGCCCACTAGATATTTAGGACTAATGGTAAATCCACCAAATTCCACCTCACGTTCAAATCCTGCAGAAGTTTAGGAAGTACTGTGCTGGACTTGTTCTCTGGTCGTTCCAAGTTCGAGTCTTCTACTCAGCCACTCATGGCCGGGTTTTGTTCTCGGTTACTCTGTACCCAAATCCCCTCCCTGTGCTCTTTAAGTAATCAACTGTCTCAGTAAAGTAACTTGCTCAGTTTTGTAGAATACTAATGTCAATTTTTTTAAAGTCCTTCAAAAGTAAGGTTGTTGGAATGTTGATCTTAAGTGCTGAAATCATTTCTGTCGCAAAGTACAAATTAAACCTCTAGTTCTAAGGACACCTTAGGCACAATTTGATCTTAATTATTTTCGATAAGTGTTATGTTTTTTAAGTTCTAAAGGGGTAGTGAGTAGCATCTAATATCTCCTTACAATGTTACCCCCTGAATCACACAGTAAGGCCACGAGAATAAAGGAAATGTTTACCAACGAAAGAAGCTCTTCATGGTCAAACAAATTCTCCTTGACAGCACCTTAAGAAATGTATAGAGAACAGTAGGGAGAATATACATACTGATGTTAGGGTGTTGAGGGTCAAAGGGGTTCACATTGTGAGTTGAGGGTTGTACTTGATTTCCATTTTTTGTATTCCACCATCAGCGTGTTGTTATACAGAGAGTTTTGCCACAGTTATGCTCAGAGTTTAGTAATCATCAGATGGTGCCGTTTGCTCTGCCTAATGTGTTACTGATCGCCGAAGACTGCACATCACAAGAATATGTGGACCTGATCCTCCCTGAGTTAAAGCCTGTTTTCAAGATACAGGAACCTGTTCAGGTGAGATCTTTTCTTTCCAGCGCTGATAAACGTGTTACTTTTTTTAACCATTTTAGTAGATTATTCAGTAAACGCGGGTAATGAGAATAAAAATCGATCTAGTAATGGTCTAGCTCGCCTTAGAGTCTCTGTGGCTCAGTAGTATATCCTCGAAGCGCGGAATTCGAAGGTTTGAGGTTCGATTCTTTTTGGACTCAGAACTTTATCTTTGTCCCTGGCTCGTAACCAAAGAAAATCATCTTTTTCAACAAGTTAATCCCATCAATTCTCTTCTTTTCTCCTCTGCAGGTTGTAATCATATTTCTTAAGAAAATGGACATACTCCTGGCAAAAACACCCAAGGACGACGTCAGAGATCACGTGCTCCCCATGGTCTGTAAAGCTCTTGAGACTCCTGCGGAACAACTACAGGTACAAAACGCTTGAAGCGCTAGAAAACGCAATTGGCTGAGTCGCAATGGCGATTGGTTTTAGTTTTGCATATGATTGGTTGATAAAGTAGCGCGATGTTTCTGGACCAATTACTGAGCGAAGTAAAGCAAAACCAATGCAGTGCTGAATTATTTTTGACACTCAACCGAAATGCGCCTTATACACATGAAGCTTTTGTACTTTTTTTTTTTTTAACCTGTTGGAAGATGGCCACTCAAGTTACTCGCTCGATTGACTGCGTGGATTGTCAATGATCAAAAGGCATTTCTGGATAGCTTTCATCTCTTAGAGAATACTTCTTGGTTTCTTTCTTTTTTTTAATGTTTGTTTATTTTATCTGATTTAGGAAATGGTTCTAAGCATTATTCCGTCATTTTCAAACATGATTGATTACTCCGCCATGAAAAACTCCATCATCCCTCGCATCAAGAATCTCATTTTGAAGACTTCTTCTTTGAGTGTAAGTGAATGGTAACTGAAAACTTCATTATAACTGACAGCTCTCGATTCCTCATCGGAGAAGGTCATCTCGCTTAGGAAGCCGGAATGACGCAGTAGCCCTCGCTTAGGAAGCCGGAATGTCGCTGTAGCCCCGGGTTCAATTATCGAATCTGGCGTTTAATTAAGATGGAGTTTGTAGTTGGTTGTTGTACTTGCCTCTCAAGCGTCAGGTGCGGGAAAAGGCGAGTGACGAAGTCACGATTGGTGCCAGTCTTGCGCCTGAATGATTGAAAAGGTGACCCGGGTTTTTTTTAGACCTCAAGCGCGGGAAAACGCGGGTGACCAAGTTGTGATTGGTTTCAGGCTTGTATGTGATTAATTGAGAAGTTGACGCGGGTTTTCTGGACCTAAAGCGCAAGAAAATGCGAGTGACCAAGTCGCAATAGGCGTCAGTCTTGCATCTGATTGGTAGAAATTTTGCGTGCGTTCTTTTGACCTATCACAACGTGCAGGAAAGCAAACTTAATTCAATCCCGAATGTCTTTCAACGTTATCATCGTGATTTTGTCTTTTTTAGATTCGGGTGAACGGGCTTGTGTGCCTGGGTAAGATGTTGGAACATTTAGATAAATACGCTGTCCTGGATGACATACTGCCGCTAATGAACCAGATTCCTTCCAGAGAGCCACCTACACTGATGGCCATCTTAGGTGAGGTTGATCTTAAAACTTCAATGGGAATGGAACTTCGCTTTGGAAAAAATTCTCCTTTGAGGATTTTGTTTTTTGCGTTTGTCTCGCGCGATAACACTAGGTTTATGTTTCGATCTTTTGAATTACCATTTGAACTGCATTTTGTGTTTCTGTTTCCAGGAATTTTCAAGCAAACCATGCTTCATAAGAAGCTCGGTATGGACAAGGACTACCTGGCGACCAAAGCTATTCCGTTTCTCTTTCCTTTAGCAGTGGAGCCGGGACTCAATCTTTCACAGGTAAAACAAACAGTGCAATACTCCTTAATAATGACGTGTTATAAGTGTTTGTCCTACGATGTAGTTACTTCTTTAACTTATGGAAGAGATGAAATTTCGATTGCTTATTAGGCGTTTTTTTCAGGAGACTGGGTCATCTTATGACGGTTGCGTGACGCAACGCGGTAACCAGCCGTGATTGGCGCATTTCAATCCTCGCTGTTCTTTTCTACCTTTTAATTGTTTAATGAGCGATACGCTGTCTCTAGGTCGGGGGTATTCGCACGTCTCGAGTTCTTTTTTTTTTTTTTTTTTTTTTTTACGGCCCCGTTTCATGACGGAAGGGTGAGATCTTACTTAAATCGGTTCTGTGCCCCTCCCTTTGGCGTGAAACAGCACATCATGGGCATGCTCTGACGGTGGTCTGCATTGGGGCGAGTTTGATATCTTGGTCATGTTCATTGATTCTGTCTTGCATGGATTTTCCAGTCTTATATTTATAGAGGGAAAATCTGGGAAACCATGCCATTTTCTTAAGCCGGGTGAAGAGCTTGCATCGCCGTGAATTTAGTGTTGTGTTTGACCCAAAACTATGCGTATATTTTCCTTCTGGCTTCCTGAACTTCGCACTGAGATCTTCATTCTTGTATTGTAACTTGGTAACAGACGAATGCTGATCTGAATACTTAAGTAGCAATTGACAGAATGAAACTTAAAACTTTCTTGAAACTGTCGTCAGAGCAGTCAGGAAGATTGTGTAGAATACAGGACTTCCTATAATCCTCACCATCTTATGACTATACACTGTCACTTCCTTTTTACTATTTCTGGCATCATTGATGTCTCTTAGAAAAGAACCTCCCGTGCTTTATTGGATTTTTTTGCGCCCTAATAGTATTTTCGGAACTTTTTACCCTTTAAACCCAAAGAGTGACGAGCTTCTATTTTCTCCTTACAATAATACTGCTGAATCATTCATTTAAGATCGTAAGAATAAAGGAAATAATCACCAACTAAAGAAGCTCTTGATTGTTAAACAAATTCTCCTTGTCAGCACCTTAGGAAATGTATAGAGAACAGTATGGAGAATATGCATAATGATGTTAGGGTGTAAAAGATTAAGGCCAGAACAAACCAAGATTCTATTTTCTGTCTTAAGCCTCTATGCGTATCAGACCGTTTTGTGTGTACACATCTAAAGCAAGTCTGTGCGACGCAGTTTATTTCTGTGATTTTAAATTCAAACCAGTTTGAGTTTGTGCGACTTGTTCTAAACAATTCTCTATTTCAAGCAAAGCGAATTGTCTTTGCCACTTGTGTCTCCCTCTTTCAAGCGAGCCACGGCCACAAAGTTGCTTAACGTATCTTTAAAATTATCCGAAATTCAAACGAGTACGTTGTTTATAGACACTTTCCTCTTTTGGGGTCAGTTAAAACCCGGGTGGCAATGATTGTAACGTATTTGTTACCCATTTTTTTTTTTAAAGACTATTACATTAAGTTCTAAGCTCGATTGAATTGTCGGCGTTTGTTTGGACAAATTGAATTATTTCCCATAAGTTTTTCTTAACTTTGTTAATGTTAAAAATACTAGTTAAGTGAATTATAAATACATCGTAATAAATATTCTGCTTGCTATCTATCACAACTCAACCTCGCAAACTCATAGTCTAATGACCTCATGGAGAGCACCAAACAGTTATATTTTAAAGGTACACAGTCAACTTGCGAACCTTCAGAGGAAACCGAAAAACTTATAAGCTATTGGGAGATAAGAACGAGACACCGGAATAGGAAAAAATTATGTGTTTTGTGCTCGCTCGTGAATTGTTACCCATCTTGTCACGTGCGTGGAACGAAGATAAATCAGAATCCCCATGGGGAAGAAAATGACAGACCTTCGGATTTGCACTTTCATGCTCTGCCACTGAGATTAAGAGACTCTGTGATGAGTCAGGGCAATACCAGGTTCACTTGTGACAAGCGTTTGTTTGCCTCGAAAATAAGAAAACAACAAAACCGTCACGTGAATGAATGATGGGCATCGGTGTAATCCGAAGGTCTGTGGTCCAATTTTTCGGACCATAGACTTCCTCCCACTCTCCTGACATCACAAAGAACTTCTTTCTTTATTTTACAGATCAGTTTTGAATATTATCTCCGCGAACTGACCAACTTTCGCTGTTGTGCCGTTACGACTGCGTTCGTTGCTAAAATGGAATCTAACCCCCTCACAATCGAGAGACAACTTGCCTCCTTCACCAAAATCGGACTTTGGGCCTTGCATGATAACTTGCGCTATCAGATCCGTATTGTGTTTCAAGTAAAACGGTGGATCAACGGGTACATCGAATCCGTAGTACTCACTGGTCCTTTCTTCGTCGCTTTGAAAAATACCAACAGTAGAGAAACTTGGTAGATTACGTGTGTCACGGTCATGAATATTGCGTGACGCGTGGTAAATAGACAATTCCACGTAATACGAAGCTCGTTCAAAGCCGTACAGACGAATGCCGCATATAACGATTGGAGCCTCGACTGAGAATCTAATGCTGTCCTCGTATCCTCTCTTATAACTCCATTTTCTATTCCGTGGCAATACTTCCGGATCAGACGCTTTCGAAAATCTGTTGCATCTGAAAATTTTACCCCTTGGGAAACTCTCGCAAAATTCCTTGGGGGTCTCTTGGCAGAACCCTCCGTAGAATTGTGTGATGGCAGTAAGTTCTTTTTCCTTAAGCACTCCTGAGTTCGATACAAGGCTGGTGAATTCGGTAAAGGACATTGTTGAGAAGCGTAACAGACGAATCATTTTCTCTCCAAGAACATCACGGATGTTGCTCTCTTTACCGTCGCTTTCTGGTAGATTTTGACGCACCTTAGCCCAGTCTAACACTCTCCCAAATAGGTTAGCTTCTCGGATCGTTAGCTCGTCTCTTTCGAGCACTTTTTCCAGCAAATCTCTTTCGAGCTCATAGAAGGAGTCCTGATTGATCGCTTGCTCCGTGTCAATATCGATGACCTTCCAGCACTGTTCAACGAGGTCGCCTTCGTCAAGGTGAATGACTGAGGGAAGGATTTCGAATGCACTTGTCGCATTAATCATGCTGTGAAGCCTCTTTTTGGCCATTTCGTGTAGTAAAGGCACCATGTACTTCTTAGCCAGGTACAACAACTGTATCACGGTGTCTTCGCAGATACGAACCTCGTCACAGTAGAGAAAACTAAGGAATTCCTTTAAGCTGTCGGCATCGCAGTCAGGAAGGTGTATTTCCTGAGCTCCTTCTGTCGCTAAAGCGCCGTAGAACATAGTGAAAAACACAGGACTGCCCACAGAGAGAACGTACTTGTGAGCGTAAACGGTGATTTCCTTGCCTCCATTGCTATCGTTTACGATGAACGTGACATCGCTTATGAGGCTGTTATTCACCATGGATTTATTTCGCTCCTTGAAGGACGCTTTTTTAAGTGGCTCGTCTGCTCTTTGAACATTTTCTAATTCACTTGCCATGTTTTCCTGCGCGAAGAATTGTAATCTATTAACATAAACTGGTGGTTATGAAACGTTGAATCCTATTTCCGGTATTTCAAATGCCTGCTGTTACATATCAATGGTACTTTCGAGGTATCGTGCTTGCCAACTTTCAGTTCCTGTCATTATGTCTGATACGGGTTCAGATTACGAAACATAGTGACTTATTCTTTAACTGAACTTCCTTCTTTAATACCTCTGACAGGTCAGCGAGTACGAGCGCATTTTAACTCTGTAAGGCGACTTAAGATTTTTTAAAAGAATTAATTAAAAGGGATTTTGCATACTTCACAATTAGAATTGATATGTCGCATTTTTCTTTAATTATATTCGGCTGACTTACCGTAGGGTCGCAACTATGTTAAATTCTATCACGTACGTATCACCAGTTTTAACCGTTACACAAGAATAACATTGAGTCGCCTTCCGTTACAGCTATAAAGAAAGATTACCAAAGTAAACTTCCCGTCAGTATTTATAAATACACGAACGTGACTCTCACATGTTATTTTAGATGATAATCACGGGTCACTCGATCGAATCACAGATACAGGTTTGATTTCCATCAGTTGTTTGTCATATGACCAGGTAAATCACATCCTCTCTTCTGCAATAGAGTGCAGTGGTGAAAACAAAGCATTATATTGTGCCCGTTTCTCGAAAGTCGCGGTGGTTGTTGCTTCGGAAAAGGTTTTTCTTTTTTTCTTTTGTGTGCTGTGTTTGCATGCAAGATCCAAATTCTAATAGTTTTGAAATAAAAACAATGAAAATCATGATATCACGCAGTGAAAAGAAGGGACTGGATTTTTCGTAAAGACCCGCACTAAATTTCCTAAATTTAGCTTTGGGCCTGAAAATTCACAAGAATTTTCGAGAAACAGGTCCTTGAAGATATCTGACAAGTTTGAAATGTTCGGAATACTTGATCGAATTGGACTCCGTCTTGGCAGTTTCATTTCCTCTCAGCTTGCAGTTTCCTTCGCAGCTGTAATCAGTGATCTCCGGCTGAAGTACTAATAGCCTGTGCTTTCTTCGGCTACTTTTTTCACCCAAGAAGCGTCATTATGATGTTAACTCTTTAACTCCCAAGATCTGATTGTTAATTCTCCCCACTGACTGCTACATATTTCTTTGTAAGTTATTTACGATAATTTGGTGTTAGATCAAAGTAGCAACTCCTACCTGATACGTTTGAGTATTCTCATTACCTGTTGGCTGGATAATGTATGGATGTCGTAGGGAGAAGTTACATGTTAATCACTGCTGGGAGTTAACTGATTAAGTAAACAGTAAGTGACAGTAGGGGGGATGAATCGTAATAGGAGCTCGTTCTTTTCGTTCCCCCTCCCCCCCCCCCAATACTTTACTAGTTTTACGGTTGGTTTCTTAAAAATATGTGGAAAACTCTGGTTATCTGTGAACCACATCACTGATAATCTTGTCTAACTTCTCTGTTTTATTTTGCCTCTAGTTTGGCCAGTATATGAAACTTATCAACGAGATGGTGAAACGAGTGGAAACCGAACACCGCACAAAACTGGAACAGCTTAACAAGATGCAAGAACAGACGAAGTAAGAGAATCTCAATCCATTCCCCCAACTCAGTGTTCCACGCTCCCTCATTTCCTGTTACTACTTCTTTCCCTGTTTTCCTTCTTTTCACCCTTTCTTTGTTCTTTCAGACCTTCCTTCTTGCCTTCCTTCTTTCCATGTTATCCTCCCTTCTTCTGTATCCTTCCCTGTCCCCGCTCCCCTCAGGCCTATGCCTTCCCTGTCCCTGCTCCCCTCATTTCTTCAGGTGCCAGGTTTGTACACTGTTATTCCTCTTTCTCTCCCATCCTCTCGTCCTCACACCCTGCTTAGATTATTTCTCCTTTGTTCACAATTAAGTGAAACGAATCATCTGTTAATCTGCGGCTGAAATATGAGGAAAGAAGTGATCCTCTTATGTAAGATGTAAATAACCCTTTAACTCCCAGATCAAATTTGTAATTCTCCTTACTGTCAACCATACAATTCTTTTAATGTTGGTTCAGAGAATTTAATATTGGATCAACTATTTATCCCCAAATTGATATTTTTCTTTATTCTCATTACTTATCTGGTTGATATTGTATTAATATTGTAAGGAGAAATTCTGCCTTAGTCACTTACGGGAGTTAAAGGGTTAAAGAAATTGCACAAAAGAAGGCTGAAAAAATTTAAGCTTGGACAGGATTCGGACCCGTGCATCCTAGATGCTAGTTCGGCGTCACAACCAACTGCGCCACGAAGTTACTTGTTAGGACATGTGGCCTCGTAGTGGCTTTGTTTCTTACATACCGTTTCTTCCTTCATCAGTTTTCACCCCCTAATTTCTTCATCAACATCCAAATCGCATTGCTTCTCAAATTTTGCATTACAGAGGTGGTAGTTAACATGCAATAACTGTGGTTCCTTTTTCACGTTGTCAGATCGTCTTTGAAGTTCGTCGAGGAAGTGCAGGAAGCAAAGCAAATGGATGATTTGATGGGCAGAATAGACAAACTCATGGGTGGTAATACTGAGGCTGAACAAGCAGGTATTCATCGGTTCATCATCAAATTATGCTCTTCTGCTCTGTCTGCCAACGGACAGGGGCCTGTTTCTCGCAAGTCCTGGTAACTCTGCGGACCCTAAGTGACATTTTTTAGGCTAATCTTGAGGAATAATATAACAGGTATTGGGTGGGAAAAAAACCACTGATTGTGTCTCGTCTTCTGATATTTTTATTGTTTAAATTCCAAGACAGTCAATATCTTGATCGTTAATGAAACACAGCAGACAATAATCAGGTTTTGAAAGACTCAGGTAATTTAGTGTTAACAACTGAGATGAAAACGCGAATTGACCACCATAAAGAGCTTAAAGGCTTGAAGAGTTAAAGAGTTGAAAGACTCAGTTAAGTTACGGTTTCTTTAAAGACACGGTCTCCTGAGGTCCAACTCCTTGAGACTGCATGGCCATCTCTCAACCTTTAACTCAGGGTAATTAACGCAGTCTTTCATTTGATGATTATTTCTTCCCACGGAAGGCTACTTCTTTTCTCATCAGCAAGTAGGCTTGTGAGAGGTGTTGTGCGCCACGATGATTGTAGTGGCGCAAATGTTGAAATTCCTAACTGATTTTAATGCAGATTTAGAGAAGTTGTTGTGGTTTATTGAGTTACATCATGATTCTTTTTTTCCTTTTTTTTTTTTTTTCTTTTTTTAAGTCAAAGAGTTAAAAAGCAGCAGCGGTGATTCTTCTGCATCATCATCCACTTCAATCGGGGCAACTAGTTCCACAGAGGTAAGAAAAAAACTCCAGTACCTTTTTTCGTGTAATCTCAGGGTTAGTTTCCAAGTGAGTCGACTAAGATTACTGGAGAATGGCGTTTGTTGAAAGCTTCAACAAATATCTTTATATCGGAGGAAGATTTGAACTTTAAATTACATCCTATTCTAGTTCAACAAAATGTTTGGTTTGCCGGGAAATCCTTCGTCGTCGAAAGGCCCATCCCTGAGTGGAAATCTGCTGGGTGTGGACGAATTTTCCATGCTGCAGCCTTCGAAGAAGAACCATGATGGACCAACAAACCCAACAACACAACAGAAGGTGAACAAGAGTAGTCTTGATAAAACGTACTTGTGTAGCTGGGCTTTTGATCAGACCTTCTGCATTTGCTTATTTTTTTACAGTTACCTTTTCGAATGTTCGACTTTCAGGAAGTTATAATTTCTCGTAAAGAAGGGTGTTTAGCTTTTAGTCACGGTTATGGAACTTCAAAATGAGCCGCGAATTGGAACTTGTTTGGATGCTCTACCGCTGACCAATAGGCAACTTTTGGTGAAATCGGCAAAACTCAAGGTTGATGTGTAACACGCGGTGTGCCTTATGATAGACTCAGCGGTATCAAAAACGTCCTGAGCAGCGATATTAGATGCAAATGTGTGAAATTTTGGTCGTCTTATTTGTAGCGAGTTTTGAATTCACACATTCATGTTGTAAATATTCTGAATTTTTTTTCCGCCTTTTGTTTCGTCCGTAGTCCACAACGTCGAAGAAAACCTTGGCGTCAAGCTCGTCATATCCTGCTACCTCTCGGCCCTCTCAACCTATGGCCCCTTCATCCTTATCGCAGCCTGGTATCTCTGGGGTTAATCCCTCAATGGGGATGTCTACAGCCTCATACGGAATGTCTGGGCTTCATTCTGGTAATACCGGAATGGGTTCTGGAATGGCCAGCTATACAGGAATGTCCGGTATGAACTCCGGTATGACAGGATTATCAAGTCTAAACACGTCCATGACGGGATCATTTGGGATGAGTCCCGCGAGTTCCTCGCCACGTTATTCTTCTGCAGGATCCGCTGCGGGAAATCAAGGAAAAAACACGAGTGGTTCCTCTGCACTGGATTCCTTATTTGCTCCTGAATTAGGACATTTACAAAATAAGGGTAAACCTTCGATGAACGCCTTGCAATCACAACAAGCCGGTATGTCGGCTGCTATGAATCCAGGTATGTTTTTCTCAGGAGGCCTTAGCTCCTACTAGAAGATGGAAATAGTTTTCCACTTGCTTTCAGACAGTGATGTTGGTTATGGTTTTTCCTCATTTGAAGTGCTATCGCTTGCTATTTAACTTGTGTGTCACATAAACTCTGCTTGTCTGACTGTCGATCTGTCTCTTTTTGTCGGACTGTCTGTAAATCTGTTTTTCTTTCTTTCAAGTGGGCCTAAAAACGCCTTTTTATTGTATCTTGATTTATATCCATGAAATTTTTCTTTAAAATCGCAATTGGCAAAATGTTTGGTGGGTTTGTTCGAAAAGTAACGCAAAATTGTACTCGTCTCTTCCACGACAAGGTTAAAGTCTTCTATGACAAACATCTTTATGATCATTTGTGTTTGTGTAGCTGTTGTTTGACCGTTTAGTGGATCGTCAAGTAGTGGCTGCCTTACTGAGTGACGCATCAACTTTTGGGCCCTAGTACTTGGGAAAATGAAATAAGCACTGAGAATCAGCACGTGTCTTTGTGTTTAAGGTGTAAGAGGAATGAGACCTATGACACCACAGCAGTATGGCGGAGGTATGCTGACGTCCTCATCCGGGATGTTTCCCATGCAACAGCAACCGTTGATGGGTGGAATGGGGAGCCAGCAGTATCAGTACCAGGCCCCTAGGAATCAAAATTCTATGAACAACAGCAATGACTTACAAGATCTGTTTGGTTAGCAAAGCGAATTAGCCGTGTTTTTGAGAGGGGTACTCCCCCTTACACCATAGAACTTAAAAATGTAGACAGGTAAATATTGTTTTACCTTCTTTCAAGCTGGTTGATTGCCATGGGAAATGATGGCTTAATACGAAATTGATAGCTCTTGGTTTAGAGAAGAGAAACCTTTCCGCGTCCAGTGATCCGTAGAGTTCCGTGAACTATTGAAGCTTGCCTACGAGGCTCTTATTTAAAATTGTTCTGATAGAATTTCAACGCCTTTTCCCATCGGGTTGGGCCTGCTGTCTACTTTAAAACGGCAATTTCAGTCACTGGAAACGAAACCTTTCAAAGACCGTCACGCAGCTATTTTGGAAAGGTCAGTTATCGAAAACAAGGCTTTTCGAAACGGTGATTGGAAATGGCCACGTATCACCGTCACAGGCTTCTTTTTGTATTATTACAAGTAATCGAAAGGAATACATTTTCAATTTAGCGCATGCTCTACTCCAACCTATTGCTGAAGCGAACAAATAGTTATTCCATTAAGTTGGTTGGCTCGTTATCCATATTCTTTCCCACACTTACCCTTAAGCGAATTGGATAAAGTTCACTACCTGAAAAGATAATGTTCCCTTGTCATTTTATCATCTCATCCATTCTGAGTAGCTCTGATCTTATTTGAAATTAAGTCAAGATAACACTCTCGACTTGATAAGTTGATTCCCCTCAGCACCTTGCACACTGTAAGAAGAAATTAATTGACCATTCCAAAGATGAGATATTTAACGGCATGTACGTAACTTACTGTAGAATATGTAAATCAACGAACACACTTTAGCATAATATACACTCATGTCAAGATTTCATGTTAGTAGATACTACGTTTTGGTTAACTTTGGTAAAAGGTTAGTCTCTATTTAAAAAGCTACTTTTTTATTGGTAAAATTTTGTAATTTAAACATAAATCCAGTTAAGGTTTCATATCCATTCTTGAGGTATATTGTCGACAAAATACTACATAAAACGTTATGAAAATGATGGAAATATATTTGGTCACGTGATGCTCATACATTACAGACATGTGCCCAGGTCTACCCCGCGTGAAAAAAAAAAACTGGGTACCAGATCACTTTCAACCACCAAGTTTGATCACCTGGGTCTACCTATCGCATGGTCAGCACGGAGAAAGAAACCAAGTAGAGCCTTAAAACGTGGCTTCTCAATGAATCTATTTTAATTTGTGAAAATAGTATTGAAACGTTTTGAACTCAGGGATGCATCCGATCTGGAGACAAATACTTTACCTGCATACGACAATGTGGCACTCGATTGCGTACCGTGAGACCAAAATCGACACTTGTAATTACAACGGCCAGTCAGAATCAAGGTAAATGTCTGAGCTTCCAGGGACAACTCGAACCAAACACACGCAATCGGTCCAAAGCGCAAGGGAGAGGCTTGCAACTGATTTTGCTTTGGATCAGATCGGTTAAGAAAGTGGTGAAAGTTTCAAACCATTCAGAACGAGATCTTTCGTCTACTGTCTATCGTCTATGTTTTAGTACATGCCATCAGATTACAAAGTAAAGCAAATCCTGGGTAATTAGGCTATTCGTGAAAAGACTATGAACATAAGAAACCCTAAACTGAAGCTTAAGATTGGGGACAGAATGTTCTTTTCCGCGAAATTATTTACTTTATCTTTACAAACAATGTTATTTTTAGGAGAAATTTAATACTTTTATGGGGTGTATGCCTCTTTTTTTTCGTAGTTCATTCATGGTAAACATAACTTTTTATTTCCCTTTTTTCAAATTCTCCTTTACATTCATTGGATAATTCATTCAAATGGTAGGATGGTATCCAGTCTCGGCTGCTATCAAAAATCTTATTTTTTGTACAAAAATATATTCCTATTGTTCATGGCTAACCTTGATGTAGCTCTTTCTATGTACAGCAAAAATGGTAAAGAACAAGTGATGTCGTTTATTTCCGAGCGCTATGCAATATTTGTATCGGTTTCCGATTGCTTCAGATTTTTACCGACGCCAAAGACTTCCGTTTTTTCGTCGATAACCGAGCTTACCCACTAAAATACTGGGTCCTAGTTTAATTTCGTCATAATGCCACAGGTTTTAGCTTGCTGCCAAAAGCGTTTCTTCAGAAACGAGTACAACTTCACATCAGCCCAGTTTGCTCTGGTGATGTCTCTAATAAGATCTCTAGAAATGTCGTCAAACTTATATTCGGAATTGTACTTAAATTTACTGATATCCTCTAAGGGGATTTTAGGGAAAAACTTAGGCAACCGCTTATTCAGTATTTGAAGGTAGACATCGTAATTTTCCAGTAAACCTACTGTGGCATAATATCGTTTGATGTTACTCATAGCCTTGCGCAGCGCCCTTCCATTTCCTCTGCGGCAATAAGAATGTTTCCCGCAGAAAAATCTCGTCATGACGTTATTTTGACATCCTTTATGTTGCAATCTGAAACATTTCTCTAAAGATTCGTCCTTTTCTCCAGATGCGCGAAATTCTTTAATTCTATGGGCAGGCCGTAAGTTGCTCCTCATGTAATGATAGTGAGACACCAGCCGTCTTACAGGATCGCGTACTTGATTGATGTACGTATGAGCCTGCGGTAAGTTCAATTTTCTCCGAAAGTAAAAATGCGCCACAAATGCCATGCGCGGGTATTTCTTGAGTTTGTTGGCTTTTCTTATGATAAGTCCCGGATATGGGCGGGACGTGCCTTTATCGTACCAGTCTTCCGTCGTTCCTTTTAACAGAGAAATGTGGCATAAGCAAAAGAGAGATTACCGTTGTCGTTGTAGGGAATGTCACGCAACGATGCTCTAAGGCGTGACATGTCAAAAACAGCCAGAAAAGAGACCAGCTATTGTTATCCCTCATCATCTGAATTAATGAAAATTTCCCTTAATTACCCTAAAAAATTATTTAAAACAGAAAATTCCCGATCGCCTGATGTTCCCCGAGATTTTAAGACTTCGCTAGCCTAATTAAGAAAATAAACAAAAAGAATGCAAGTCTTCGCAAAAAATCTCAATCTCTTATCTTCATGATATTTCATCAGTTCTCACAAGAAAGACCGCCCTCTCCCGACCCCATCCCCCCACCCCCTCTCTAAATGACTGTATGAACCTCAAAGACTAGATAGCTAACATGAAGGACTTAAATTAATTGATTCCTCCTTCTCGGTTCCTTGGCCGATGTTCAGTAACTAATGATTCTTTAAGCATGGAAACAATTGATGCAATTAACAAAATATCCCATTACACAGTCAAGAAGCTCACTGTTATTCTACAAGCATAGTATCATAGAGTTGATAAAGCCACTTGATATTATACTTACAAGAGAGCAATTAGTAATTAAGGTTAATCACTCATTTTTAAGAAAGTGGGCGATTAATGATGATCAAAGAATATACGAGAACGAAAAACATGATTGAAAGAATGAAAATGTTATGTGTTATGCGTTATGTTTTGCGAGCTATGTTTTATTTGGTATTCACGTTAGGCAGCGTTTTTCGTTAAACGTTATTGAAGAGTGACGTCAGTGATTTTGTTTCCTAACTTTCTTAAGTTAGTCAATCGCATCAGGCAATGTTAGCTCCTTATTCTGGATCCTGTTAAAACCACTGGCATTAGTTCTTCGACCACTCACCAAATTATTTCTAAACAAAAACTGTGCTTTGGGGTTTTGGAAGAAACAAGTCTTACCAAGATTACTTTGCCGGAAAATTGTCGAAAATTGAAGCCTCATTCCACAAAAGTCATTTGATCTCATTTACATACCTTTACTTTAGTTTCAGGCACAAAAGTGAAACCCAAGTATTCCTTTAAAGAACTTCTGCTCACCTATTTTATAGTGGAAATTCATTCTTGAACTCGAGTTCGTAATTATAAATTCTGTGGTTGAACTCCCCGTCTTGAAAATACGATTATACAACAACACTTTTGGATCCAGGGCATCACATCTGATCGCGTCAAACTTCAATATTCCATTAGAGCCATGTTTTGATTGTTTGTTCATCTCAGATTTCTCCTCTACCCTCAAGGTTTTACTGTTTTGGTTCTCAAAGTCGACACTATCATAATCAAAATAAAGAATTGTGCGCTTGAAAAATTGTCTGTGATATATAAATATTCTGTTTTATAACTGACTTCTGTTCAAAAAGTTCAAGTTTTCGTTCATGTTATCCTAAGTCGAGGTAAGAACACGTCTCAGGGAAAAGAAAGTTGAGCCACTTGTCAAAAACACATTTTTTTTCGGTACTGAAGTACCATGTTGTGGTAAGACAACTGACAATTACTGACTGACTGCCAGTTTGAAAAGTTGTATCGAATTTCAGCAAGAGAGGTTCGAAATCACCCCAATTGTAAAAAGCTGTTTTGTTGTGACTAGTACTAGTGGAGCTGTTTGATCTCTGTCATGTTGGTTCGATGTGAATTCGTGATCTGAGATGTAGATGGAGTTAATGATGTACAAATGGTAATGTTGTATGTGGATCGTTGCGAAGGAGAATGGGAAGTGGTCGCGTTATGTCAAAGCTGCTAAAACAAACCTTCTAGAACCTTCATCCCCGGGCTCTTCTGAGCCAGTTCCGCTCGAAACTGACGCATGCTTTTCAATGATTGTCGCATTTAAGAAATATTTCAAAGACGAGAGACCTTCCTCGCTCTTTGAAGAGTTTCTGGGGTTTCTAACTGTGTTTAAAACAAACTCCGGTGTGCTAGCCCCTAGTTTATCCGCTTCTGGCCGTATTATCTTTACATCAGCCTGGGTCTGACTAGACCCCTGGTCCTCGAGTTTTTCATGTCGCTTTACTTTCAAGGAACTTCCAGTGATTTCTTTCAAAGCACTGCTCAAGTTGAAATCGCGAAGATCTTCCCACGTACTTTGGTTTAATAGAAGGGACAAGATTTTCAGATTGGACTTCTCCTCCTGAATTTTTGGATTCGTCGCCCTGGAGTCATTATCTTGCCTAGCTAAGTCAATATGATTTGCCAGTGCTAAAAGAATTTTCTTAAGATTTAACGGAGACTGTTGTTCACTTTTGTGGCTCTCTAGCTTCGTTCCAATGACTTTAATGTAGGCATCATCAGTGTGAGCAGTTGTGTCGTTTTTAGCCGCGCCTGATCTGTTACGACCACCTTGTTGGAGAAATTTAACTAGGAGAGCCGTGCTATCTGGCGGTGAAGTCTGTTTGGTATCTGTCGCAGGAAGATTTTGACTTCCCATACCCTTGGTTAGTTTTCCAAGAATGTGGCTTAAGTTAAATGGTTCTTTTAAATCTTTAGTGCCATTATTGAATCCCAACAAACTGTCTATCAAAGGTTGAAGACTATCATGCAAATTGCCTTCCCTACGATCTCTTTTTTCGCGCACGTGAGCTGTATCAGCGCCCACCTGCTCAAAAGCCATGTTCGCTCTTTGCGCCATATTGGGCTCTATATTCTTGGTACCATTCCCCTCTTGAGTAATATTTAACACCGGTCCAAAAAGCGTTCCGTTACTTTCGGTGTAATTATGAAGAAAATTCATCATTTCTCGTTCCTTTTCAGTAATTTTCAAAAACTTTGCAAAGAAAGGTGGAGGCGTGATTGTAAGAGCTTCCCCCGTTTTGTTGCTTTTGGAATCGAGAAAGGTTCCATTTTTTTTGACTGCTGACGTATTGTTTATTGTGTTATTCACCTTAGATGTTTTGCCAAATCTTCTTTCGTACGATGATTTGTTATTCTCACTCATCAAAGTTTCGTTACTCTTTTTCTCCACTGAAAACCTTTTAATTGCTGTATTACTTGACGCTGCTCTTTCCTGAAACCGCGCTTCATAAACTGGTTTGACAGGCTTTTCTTGTTTAACTTGTTTTTCTTGTTTGAGAGGTTTTTCCTGTTTGAGAGGTTCTTTCTGCTCTGGAATTTCATCCTCTTCTTCCTCGTCAGTCAAGTCTACTCTTTCAACTCGTACCAGTTTCTTCTCTTTGCTTTTTCCTCCAGTACTTCGCGACTCCTTCAACTTTTCCAGAAGCGAATGCTCGTGTTGTTTTATTCTCCTTCTTTGTTCTCTCTCCCTGTCGACATATTCGTCGACTTTCTCGACGCGTATGAGTTCTCTGTTGGCTTCTTCTTCGGATACGTTAGCTTTTCGTAAAATTTCTTCTGCGATCTTTCCAACAATATCAGAAGGAGGCAAAAGGTGTTTTTTGAATTCATGAGTTTTTTCTACTTGTGTATTGTTATATTGTTTCTCCCCTCCAGTCATTAAATACGAGTGATCAGTAGTTCTGTTCTGGTAAAAATGGAGTTTTTCGACTTTTTCATTAGTAACATTAATAGTCTTTCCTTCATGTCCTTCTTCTTTACTTTTCACGTGAAGATCACCAAGTGTTCCTGAAGTCTCATGATATGACCCTGTGGAAATTCAAAAATACTTTAATTAAGAATTTAATGAAGTTTAACGCACTCAATAGTGATTTTAATAAAGAGCGGTAAGGTAATCTCAGATTAATTTGACTTTCGTTCCCTTCCCTCTGTGATTGGTCCAGAAAATTTCGTAACATCCCCTTATCCAATTTGATGCAAAACTTAAACTGGTATTACGACTTGGTTCCTCATACGCGTTTTCCCGCGCTTCAGACAATTTGCTCTGTTTTGAACCTGAGATCTCGTTGCTTCATTGCAACTTTTCCCCTTTTTTGCCTTCCCTTCTTTTTGTATTCCGAAATTCCATTGTGTTACGCGCTTTGGAGCTGATGAGTAGAATTGTGGCTCAATACATGAAATTATCAACTGATGGCCTCAAGCATTCGCATTCGGTGAATTCGAGATACGAATTATTTAGTTCCATTTACGAGTTCAAATATCGAGTTTTTATTTTTGGTTGCTATTTATGAGGTACTTACCATTTTGGGTTGCTATTTATGAGGTACTTATAATTTTATTATATCACTTCACATGGCTATCAAGTAACTTGGTTAGTTCAGCTCAGTTTGATTGCCGTTATGTCGCTCATTCTTGGTTAGTTCCGCTCTGAAATATTTTCGCTTCTAGCGTTTTGTTGGCTAAATCTGTCGCGAGGCGGAGCAAGCCAATTCCGCGCTATGAATTGAACCTTTGTGAGTGCAAGTACGTTCTTTAGAACATGCAGTTTTCTATTGAGTGTCGAAAGTAATCCGAGGTTACATCGATTTTGTTATCCTCTGCTCTGTGATTGGTCCAGAAAACTTGTGCCACCCTCTGAACCAATTAGATGCACAACTAAAACCATTTACGTCTTGGTCGCCCGCGTTTTCCCGCGCTTTGGGTAGTTTGGTTGTTTTTGCTTCGAGTTCTCATTGGCTCTTAAAGTTATTTTCCTCTTCTGATTGGCCGTCATGATGACTTTGGTTTTGGCTTAGGACTCCCAATCGAAAAGCGCTCTAAAGTGATCATCTATTTAGATAAGCCCTGAATTGATGACAGGGCCTTCGAACGATTTAAGATTTAAGATTTTTAATAACTGAAGGTGTGGGTGTTGAATGAATGGCAATATACCTTTCTGTGTCTCCATAGGTGTTCTCATTTCCAACGGTCGCTTTGCCTGCACGATAACAGAAGCCACCAAAACTTCCGCTTGTGGCTTGGTACCTAGTCTGTCTCGGTCCAGTCCACTTAAGAAGGGAAACGTGTAGCAGACAGAATTTCCATTACAATACGAGTACAGAACCACGAGTGTGACTATCACAAGGAAACTTCCCAAGCATAAACTTCGCTTTGTCTGCGGCTTCATGATAGATCGGTACCTGTAGAAAGGAACCGCAGATAACTTAACAAGATCCCTTCCGTACCGCATGAACGTAATTTTTCTCCTCGCTTAACCCCGGCCTTGGCCCCTAGGAATGACTAGCATCTAATTTCTCCTCACTATATCACCCCTTAATCACACATTAAGGTCGCGAGAATAAAGGAAATGATCTCCAATCAAAGTAGCTCTCGATCACAGAAGGATAGCGAGCGACACTGCTGTTTGCTTCATGTTACTTAGATTGAGATATCCCCAATCTAAATGTCCACTCCAAAAATTGGAGACACCTCGTACTAAGAACCGACTCAACGGTGTTGTTAGTCCATAAATCTTAAAGGGAAACTAAACATTTAATTTTTGGTTGAGAATCTTAGTGTGAGAATTTACTCTTTTAAGTGTTGACTTCAAGTATAACCTGCGGTGAGAGAAGATTTAAAATCAGTTCTTGCAAAAGGACAATCACATAAAGCAAAACTCGTTATTTATAGGATAAATTGTATGAATTGATAACCACCAAACTTTGGATTTTCCCTGCCGATCGCTACCTATTAGCTTAACTAACTTAATAAAGTTGGGAATTTTTCTTTACCAGAAACGAAACGGTAGACATAAAAATTACCGGTTTTTTACAAACACTAAAACAAAGTGGTACTCTTTCAAAACGAAGAGACGAAATGAAAATATGATAGGCCAGGCATTTTACTGAAAGAAACATTGCTATAATCTATGCTAGGAGCATTTTATAACCTTGCGGTTACAACATTTCAATTACCATTCGAATCTTGGGAAGATCTGTTTAAGTCAAGACTTGCTTAAAGTCCTTCAGTACCAGTAAATATTTTTTCAGCGAAGTTTTTATCCCATTAAAGTCGAAAGTTTTATATCATTGTTGTTGAAAAGAAAACAAACCTACCTGAAATAGGCCGCTCTTTTGATTTTCCGGTACAAACAGAATTGCAGGGTAACCACAGCTATCGTCACGTACCAAAAAATTGTGAGTGTTTTAATAGCCCAGGAAAAAATGATTCCATTGAACTGAGGGTCGTACGTCTGCTGAGAAAGAAATTAGTTTCAAGACTTTTTCAACGTGGATATTTAAATCTCATCGTTAATTTCGGGGCAGTTAGACGATTTTCAGCTCAATTTCTGGTGACCTGTTGTATCTCTTGAATACTCCACCAGTAAAATCAGCTGGTATTTCTGTAGACGCTGGCGGGTGTGTTGTGTCAGAGGGTGGAGTCGTTGCGCGAATGCTCTTTTGTTTATAACATTCTCGGAAAATCTTCGGTGAAGCTCGAGCATTTCCGATTTTAAAGAGTGCACACGCAGGGCCTCGCTTTTGGTAGACGACATGAGAATTTTTTGTTTTTTTTTTTGCTGTAATCTCACTGTAAATAAAACTGATCTAGTCCAAACATGTTACTTTAGAGCTGAGTTTTTTAAAAGTTTCAAATTTTATAATTTGACTTCAGAGCATTCATTATATCATTCTCCAGCAATCTAGCAGGCCGTAGTTCCCTGTGCGACCTGCAAACTTCAAAAATTTGTATGAATTTAATCTTTCCTCTCCATTTGAACCCAGAGACATATTAAACTATTTTACAAACCTCGTTTTCTCGGTCCTTACTGTAAGTTACGAGACCTCGTAACATTTTTTTTTCGCTGATTCTTTTTTTGATCCGCACGACAGATATCGACTACAGGGATGCTTTGTAAGCTCCCTGAATGGACTACCCTGAATGGTACTTGTACAGTTCGGCTCACAATTTTTTTTTTTTTTTTTTTAGAGACGTCGATTCTAATCCACCTATCACGTACGTGTTCCGGCACTAAACGCTTCTTTTTTCTTATCACTTTTCAAGATTATTACTAGTACTTTAGGTACCTTTTCAAATAAGATGAGTTCGCGTAAAACACCTTTTTGATTTCAAGCTTGAAGACCTGTTCCTAAAAAATTTTATGGATCGAGTATTCTTTTCCAAAACATTGCAAAAATGTACTACGTTACTGAAGCTGTGTTCATGCACTTAATGCGAACTTTCTTCAAGCTTCACTGAATTACACGACAACAAAGCATACTCGATGTTTTTTTTCAAATAACGCTACCTTGAAAAACAACAACAATGTTTATAAAGTATTAAAACCTGAATTTGGAATAACTCCCGCAGTTTCAGAGGCACTGAATTGAATAGAAACAGTTCCAACCGCCATCGAGTTACAAATGTCTCTCTACGGACCATTCTTTGCTACAATTACCATGAATATGACAGAGTGAATACTTAAGTTACTAACGTCTATGAAGCTTTTGAATTTCCCCCTCTTAAGTAACATCACCGCTATGTAATGACCATTCGAATGTATGGCGAGACATCACGAGAACGTAACCTTAACTTGATTCATAATTAATTCCGAGAACAGTCGAGTAGCCCAAAAATAGATAACTACCAGTTTACAAAAGAAAGCGCCGTTGGTCTGTTCAGCGGTTATAGTAGCGTGCAAGGCATTAAGAAACAGCTGGTATCGTCCCTTCCTGATGCCAGAACTTCCACACTCAATGTTTTTCTCCATCCAACTGTGTTATGGATACCAGTGCGGACAATCGGATATGATATTAACCTTGGGCAAACCTGCCAAGAGCATACCAAACGGGTATCTTGTTTGAAAGCTTTTCGGTCGAGTTTCTTATAACCAAACGCAAGGTATTCGAAAAATCCAATCAGAAAAAAGGGAAGTATCACAAGGAACCAGTCAGAAATCTGTGTGAAAAGACGCAAACTGCCCGAAGCGCGGGAAAACGCGAGTCGCCCAGTCGCCATTGGTTCTAAATTTACATCTGATTGGTTAAAAAACGGGCTCATATTTTCTAGTCCAAGCTCTGAGCGGATTAACCCCTAAGAGTGACTAGCATCTAATTTCTCATGACAAGATCACCCCTGAATAAAACATTAAGGTCGTGAGAATAAGGGAAATGATCAACAACTAAAGAAACTCTGGATTGTTAAACAAATTCTCCTTTTCAGAACCTTAAGAAATGTATAGTGAAAGTATGGAGAATATGCATACTGATGTTAGGGTGTAAAGGGTTAGAGCAGGCCTTAGTAATCCTGGGTCACCAATTGAAAATTGCTCCACCGTGAAGTTATTTCAAAGTCCTACATGCATATCTGAATTTTGTAAGTTAGTTTGTTTAGTGCCAAAAAAAAAAATATATATATATATATATAAATATTATGAGAGGAAAAAAGGGACGTAACTACATTTCCCGACAAGCCTGTTTCGTGAATCGCTTCACTCTTCAGGGGTTTAATGAAAGAATATTCATGTGACTATCGTTTATATACTAGTTCAGCTGTTGCGTAGCAACGCTTTGTTTCTGTGTCGGCATGAAGATACGAGTTCGTTACGCTTATTTAGTGATGAGAGGTTGGGTCGGTAAATTATCAGGAATTTTTCTTTTAGACAGAGGTTGCATCTTTTACTGGAGCTGTTGTAGGGAGAGTTAGATGATAAGACGCGCCATGAGATAGAATAGTCAATGTGAGAAAAACAGAAACCGACTTCAAAACAAGACACAGAAATCACACCGCATCATTCCGCCACGCCAAGCACAAAAACTCTACCGAACTTAGCAAACACATCTGGACACTCAAGAACGACAACATTGACTATTCTATCTCATGGCGCGTCTTATCATCTAATTCTCCCTACAACAGCTCCAGTAAAAGATGCAACCTCTGTCTAAAAGAAAAATATAATATATATATTCATATGACAAAGAGTTTTTTATATATACATTACTTTTAATTCTTATTAAAATTTCTGTACAGTTTAGACAACTATGTTACTGCCTACAAAACGAGAACCCGAAGAAGGAAAAACTGATGTTCTAAGATAAGATATATACCAATTAGCATGGAGTTACACTTAAGTTAAACTATTGTGATTAAGAATCTATGATAAAAACAACAGAACATTCTACTTTTAACGATACTCATGTTGAAGGGTAATAACATATTTTTGTTATTACAGCAAAAGCTTTAAAAGCTGATAACGCCACCTTGTCGCACTACTTTTCACATTAGTTTGTCACACTAGTTTGTCACACTAGTTTGTCACACTAGTTTGTAACACTAGATTGTCACACTAGTTTGTCACACTAGTTTGTTGCATAAGTTGGATGTCAGATATCGGTTGAGATTTGAAATCGATAGCCCAAAGTTTAGTGTGTAATGTGTGGACACAGCCTAATTTGAACAGTTAGATGTTGTCCTTAAACTGATGTCAGCATATTACACCTCCTTTCTCGTCTTCTTTCATTTCGACGTCATTTTCCGCTTTACCGTTCACTTGCATCGATGACTTCACTTGGCCACTAACCGGAAGTGACGTAGGCGTTGTTTCACTGGATTTAGATTGTTCATTGAGTCGCGCATCTTCCTCAGTTGCTTCCTGGAATACGTCACGAGTTTTTGTGTCTGCTATGGTTTCGCGTTCTTCTTTGCGTGCAAGCCGTTCAAACATGTTCGCTACAAGAAACAGATAAGTGAAGAACACTTAATTTAACTTTCAGGAGGGGCTCGTTGAAGGTAATTACGATTCTGAACTTTAGATCTATTCAGAAAACTTCCGTTGATGGCAAAATCACGGCCACCATACAAACACGTATAGCATTTGTATAACGTTTCCTTGCGTATATATTTTAAGAATTTTGGGTGGAACGAGGGCGTGACGACCTTATTGCGGACGAGGGCGTAATAGAAACTTACAACTGCAGACAGGTGGCTGTCAAAAAGAGTCGGAAGACGGCTAATATAGCCGGCTAGTCTGCCATCTTAAGCCGGTTCTTTAGATCTTATTTCATCTAATTGCTGCTGAAAAATTGTTCAGTTAATGAGATAGCACTGAAGAAACTTGTATAGCAGCCACTTCCTAGGTTTTTTCTGGTTTTTTGTTTTGTTTTGTTTTGATCATTTTTAATTCCTGTGTGTAACGTTTTTAACTGAAAAAACAACATGGCGTTCACGTGAACCTAGCCGCCTACTACTTTTTTTTTTAATTTCTATTTTTCAACTTATTGACAGCCCTGGGCAAATCGGTGCGAGCTGACTACGGGGCCTTAAGTTTTCGCTTAGCACTTCCTTGCAAAACCTTACCGAAAATAACTCTTTCCTTGGCTACATGATGTTTAATTCTTGAATTTACTACGTTCAGCTGTTGCTGTGCTTCTCTGTTGTTGGGCTGGACTTTAAGCACAAGCTCAAAGTCTCTTTTTGCCAGATCTAAATCATTGATGGCAGCTCTCGCCTGTCAAAAAACATTAATAGTACAAGGTAAGGTTTCTTCCACACCACTATACAAATTTCTCAAATAACTAATCATTTACATGGATAGAGCGCATCTACAATGAGTGCCGTAAACCCAAAATCAAAGTTATCACAACAGCCAATCAGAGCGAGGGAAGTACAAAAAGGAGCCAATGAGAAGGCGGAGTAAAAACCAGTAAACTGCGTAAAGCGCGGGAAAACGCGAGTGCCCAAGGCACGATGGAATTTAGTATTGCATCTGATTGGTCGAGAGAGAGGCGTGAGTTTCTGGACTTATCACAGAGCGGAGTAAAGCGGAGTAAAGCGGAGTAGAGTAGGCTTTTCATCTCGCACTCATGCATAACATAAAAATTAACATCCAATTATTAAAAACCTTTCCTTACTTTTCCTCTTCTGAATAAGGCCTTTACATTATCTTTATCCATTTCAAGAGCCTATGAAACAACAAAAACGGGGGAAAAGCACCTGTGAGGTGACTCATTACATTGATCATCGTCTTCACAATTAAAAGGGCGTTCGACTTTTGAAACAAGCTCAATTTCCCTCTTTTCTTCACAATGGAATACCCTGAAGCTTTGGAAGGAGAATCTAGCATTGTGGACCTACTTAAAGATTATAATTATTTCCATGCATTCCTCCTTGTCTTAACCAAAAACGCGAGAGGAAACGAAACCCCCAGAAATTAATTTGCCACAATTGTTTGGAGGTTGCCAAGTTTGCAAGGCATAGGTTATCATAAGCATCCAGTATATTCAGATTGGTCTTTTTTGTGCTTTTGAGTTTGATGAAAATTTTTCTTGAGAGCAATTTTCTTCATTCTCTGTCCAAACACCAGTACTCAAACGTGAAAGAAACTCAATAACTTCAACTACTTTTAAATTCTGAGTTTTACAGAGGGGGGCTGCACCATCAGTGGCAGATCTAAGGGGAAGGTCCAGGGATTGGGACCCCCCCCCCAAAGGACCTGTGGGATTTTCTTAAAACTATGTCCGAAATTGCAATTCTTCCAACCATAGAATCACGTAAAACTACTCAACCTGAAACATTTAAAACTTATTTGTCTTGAAATATTTCTTAGCCTATTTAAGATCTAGAGCAAAAAAAATAATGATCTGTATTCTAAATCAAAGTTTGAGACCCCCCCCCCCCCATATCAAAAAATTCGGAATCCTCCCCTTGACAGTTCTTCCATGATTTCATGTTTTTCAAAAATACTGGGTTCAGGTATGTAACGAGAAAGCCATATTACCTTTTCACACTCTTTAATGCATTTGAAGTTGTGATTTAGTTTCAAATGACACGCAGCAAGATTAAGATGGCCAGCCAACAGTAAGGGATCTCGTTTCTCTTTTTCGTCATTGCTAAAGTATCCATCCAACAACCTGACCACTCTGCCATATTGTTCAACTGCTATGCCAAATTTCTCCTCCTGCAAAACAAACCAATCAAAACATTTTACATCCATTTGGGAGCTGGCACTCTTCTCCTCTGCAAAGGGGTTAGTGCACCACAAGAAGAGTCATGATTGATTAACCTTTGACCTCTAAGAGTGACCAGCATCTAGTTTCTCCTTACAATATCACCCCTGAATCACACATTCAGGTCAGGAGAATAAAGGAAATGATGACCAACAAAAGAAGCCCTTGATTGCTAAACAAATTCTCCTTGTCGTCACCTTAAGACATGTGTGGAGAACAGAATGGAGAATATGATTACTGATGTTAGGCTGCAAAGGGTTAAATAATGAATAACAACAGCTGTGATTAGAATTGTTCAATGACAGATACTTCAATACTAATGTATACACCAGTAACACTAACCTTGAAATACTTGGTGCCCTTTTCCTTCAGTGACAAGGCTGTTGAGATTTTTTCATCATTGCTCAACTCCCAGTTTTCTTTGACCTTCAAAATAATATAATATACAGTACATCACATTCAAGAAAACTGACTGCTTTTTGCTGACAGACACTGGTGCAATGTGGCTGAGATACGGCATCATGCCTCTTTCAATTCTAGTGGTGAAGACTTAAAATTCTTGAAAAAATTAGTTGCCACTGATATAACATCTGCAAGGCCACTTTAAACCCTTTCTGTCCCAAGATGTAAAGAGTCATTCTTCAATCTGTTTGTCATTCACCACTTATAATTTTAGATCTGAAAATTTGGTGATCAATTACCAAATTACTTTGAGGAAAATTTTCTCATTTGGTCACTTTTGGGATTGAAAGGGTTAAGGTATTTAGAAAGAAATTTCAAATGAACTGCAGTATGATTAAATACCTCCCACCCCCCCACCCCACCCCACTCAGCCTATTGAAGGTTGAACAGTCAAAGAAAGCAAACAAATTGCAACACTATATGGAGGGGGGAGGATGAAAGTGAGGGTATTAGTAATAAAATTGGTATGCTACTGTACTCCAGAATATTGCAAACTAGATATAAAAGCGTCCACCATTTTGCTGCTGATTACAGTTGCACCACCAATGTTGTTTTAGTGCATGCTCTTCTATTAGTTTTCCACCATAAAAACCTACAGTGGATGTCAGGAAAACATGAGGAAAGTTTGACGTTTGGTTACAGGTCACTAACAGTGTATGTACTAAGAAGTGAAGTTGAGGAATGACCCAAAAAATCATCCCTACACCTATAAATTAAGTTTATTCTCCTTTTAATCCTTTCTTTTTTTTTGACAGAAATATTGCTTAGGTTGCATAGAGTCCATTTAGTAAGTATTTATTTATCGATATATGTACTCACATTTTCAAATTTCTTTAGATGTATCATGTATTCTACCACAGCATCTTTAGGAATATTCAGCTCAGGTTTCCCTGCCGTTCCAAATCCCCACCTTCCAGGCTTAATCCACACATACGCTTTTTCACCATCATTCATTTTCAGAATAGCCTGTTGTACACCAAGGAGAAGTCCTTCCTCAGTACCTAGATACAAAAAAAGTTTGTTATTACTTATGTTGTTGCTGACAATGCATAAGACTGAGTTTTAATAAAACAATAGAATTTATGTTCACAGCATTTGTGCTTCAAGCCCAACTTAAAGTCATTTTAGCCTAAGCTGTCAAGCGAGGGTTAAAATGACTTCAAAAGGGGCCTAACCATATTTACACACAAGAACAGAAGCTGTATGGTCATATTTATCACTTCAAGGGACATTGAGAAAAAAATTAAAAAAAGATGACAACAGAAGAGTCAGAACAATAAAGTGTGCAAGCTAAAACACATTTTAACCCACTAAAATATCTATTTTAGCCACAAAATGCGCCACAATACCCAACAAAGTGATAATCGTTTTGTTATTTATGTATTTCATTTTAACTTTAGACCAGACATCTGTATTAATCCATTACAGTTTGTAACTTACCTTCTTGCATGAGAAAGGAAACTTCACGATCCTCAAACACTTTGCCCTGACACTTTCCAACAATATGAACTAGAGAAGGGGTAAAAGGGGTAAAAAGAGAAAGTTCAGTGACAAGATTCTCTGCCAAAAGTCAACATGAAGCTGCAACACATGCAGCCACAACTTCATCCTCAAACTGAACCTTAATATCAACCCTTTTCACTTTAACATTGGTTTGCATATTCTCCACACTGTTCTCCATACATTTCCTATAGCACTGGCAAGGAGAATTTGTCTAATAATCAAGAGTTTTCTTAGTTGATGATCAATTCCTTTATTCTTGTGACCTTAATGTGTGATTAAGGGGTGATATTGTGAGGAGAAATCAGATGCTGGTCACTCCTAAGCATCAAGAGCGCCCATTTGTCTTTATCTGTGGTTCTTCTACAGTCACTCTCTTAAAATTAACAAACCCCTGTCCATCTCTACCTCTCAGTTGGCATGCCATTTTTTAATTTGAACCCTTAACAAGTTGCTTTTAAAGCCACTTTGAACTTAAAATTGAGAAAACCTGCACCATACTACCAACAAGAACAATTCAAAAACATTTAACCCCTTCTTTCCAAAGAACAATCAAAAAGTAATTTCCCCTTATAATATCAATACATTGTCCAATAGAACAGTGAAGCAGGGGATATGCTTTTTACCTAACACCAAATTCTCAGAGCTGGACTTAAAAGAAATATATGTTGGATAGAAAGGAGAATTGATCTTGAGATCTTGGGGAAAAAATGGTTAAAGGAACAACCACATGAGTTTAAAATTGACTTTAAGCCTCCTATTATAAATGCTGACCTTCACAGAGTGCACCAGTGTTTGGACAGACATAGCCCTCGCCTTTTTCTAACACAATCTTTGTCACATGTCCATCTTTTGTGATATCTTCTCCTTTCCATTCAACCAAAGTAATCTCAAACTGTAAACAAGCATCTGGAGGGATTTTGGTTCCACTTCCTTCTGTCCCATAAGCATATTCTGGTTTGATTGTAATGAGGCTGGTCTCATTAACTTCCATTGTTGCTATAGCAATGTCCCATCCCCTGATCACAACCCCTGAAGGGCAAAAAAGTTTTTTGATTTGTCAATGTTCCTTCTGTTGTGTTAAACTGAAGGAAAATCAAAATAACCAATGTCGAGTGTCACATCTTTGCTTTAATCGTATCTGAGCCATCAACGTGAGCTAACAGCTGGCCAAAACCCCTGCCTGGTCTGCCATCTTTGTTTGGCTATTTTCACTTCATTTTACTTAAGAAAAAAAATTAAACCATAATCAAAAAATCAATAGAGAAATACGTACTCTAGGTATTTCCCTGTTTGCAAGTGGAACCAAATGTATTATTTACTAGTCACAAGTTTAGATGTGTGATTCATTTCCACGTTCAGAGTTTGCTACATGATTCAAACAAACTTTGTTGAATGTGTGGGACATTATTTAAATAACAGACTGCACTTTTTGTCACTTTACCAACCTAATAACCCACACTGGATGTTGGGAGAACATAAAAAATTTTTGTCAATCACGAGCCTCTGGCATACACTGCATGATCTAAGGGGTGATGGCTGAAATTTGGAATTACCTAATTTTAGCCTTAAATTTAAAAAGAATTCTTTCTCTTATTTATTAACTAAGTTATGGAACAGTTTGCCTGCTCAAGTACCTCTTTCAAGGGATGCAAATGACTTCAAATTAAAGTAAATTGCAAGACTGTAGCATTTTAGAATGTTTCTTATAGTCTTCATGTCATGTTTTTAGCTATCTTATAGATTTTTTTAGTTTAGGATTTAGCCTTTTATATTTTATGTATTTATTTCTAGTTTTTTAAATATTTACTGAGTTGTTTTAAGATGGACAATATTATTTGTTAACTGTAATTACTGTAGATCTTATTCATACATGTTCGTATTGTGAACAAGTTCTTAGCTCCTGGATGAAATGTGTTAAAATAAATAATTGATTGATTGATTGATAACTATGGGTTTACCAATGAAATAAACGAAATGTTTCTGACCAATCAGGGTCGTCTTAGAATTATAGTTATTTTATAAAACTGAACAGTTGCCAGCCTTGCATTTAATCTGACCAAACAATATACAATAACCCGGTCACCTATGAAATTTTATTTCCCTTCTACTTTCAAATTTATTGACTGTCCCGCTTGGGTTTAGGATCTCCCTTTATCATATCCCTTTTTCTGGTAAGGTGTATACAATTGTCTCTTCATAACTAAGAGTAGTGAAAAGCTGAATTAAAGAACATGTTTTTACCTTCCAGCCATGAGAAAAGCTGTAAATGCAAACATGTAAAATTACAATGGGTTTTCCCATGTGTTTAATATTGTGAATAAGCTGTGGACACACACTCACCTTTCACACCATACTATCTGGTTAATTCATGATTAAATTTGACTTTTCTTACCATTTAAGGCCCATGGCCTTTATACAATAAACAACATGATACATGTTTTGTTTGTAGATATAGTAGAAAAAGTCCTTATCTAAGTGCATCAATGAATTATTCTTTAATTCAGTTACATAATAACTAAACAAAAACTCATTTTTTTAATTTCTGATTTCACGCTCTCTGACAGATGCTATTCACATGAGATCAGAAAATGAAAGTGAAAAAAATTAAAGGAAGATTTAAGTGTAACATGAAAATGTTGTGAAGACGAGAATCGCAAGCTTAGTGCATGCACGTCCTGGTCTCCCTGATGTGCAAAAATAAGCAAATTATTGCATCGAAGGTTTCTCTTAAACTATATCCAGCAAAAAGTAATGTGTTTTAACCCACTTGACTCAATCAAATAAATATAAAATCAACTCATCTACGTCTTCACCTAATGAGATTCATGCAAACATGTCAACGGTCGTACTAATAGATCTGTAAAAAAAACAACATAAAAGCCTCCCTATACAAATTTACGTACATCACATCATATTTTCCACTATTTTCCCGTCTTTCTACCCAAAAATCAAAGGCTAATCATACCTTTTCCATGTTCAAATTCAAACGGATCTTTTTTGCCGATGTTTGAGTCAAACTCTTCGCCTGTCAAGAATCTACCGGAATAGTAAACCCTAACTTTACTTCCGATCGGTGGCTTATCTCCACCTCCACCTGCCACCTTAATGATTTTCCGCACTCCGCCATCTTTCTCCGGTGAGATATCTTCTCCATATTTTGCAGAATCGCTCTCGTTATCCAAGTTCATTGGGGTACTCTCTGCCGCCATTTTCAGTATTCAGACGCTGTGAAGCCACAAGTTTCGGTTCCAGGCTTTCAATACCCGTGAAAGTCACGAAAATGACAAAACTAATGCCCTCTACTAGTGGGGAGGGGCAAACGTGCGGAGAAAAGACACCATCAGGGTTATTTAGTATTATTCACTGATTTGAAATCTTAAATTGGTCACCGTAAAGAGTTTCTAAGCTGACGTTTCGAGGGTTGATCCTTACTCGGAAGTTCCTCCGTTTCACCATGGGGGGAGGATACGGCTACACGTAGGCTACTAAGTACCAGTCTTGCCTATCCCGCCTAGAGGGGTGTGAATAAGCTTAACTCGGCTAGGCGGCTTAGTATTTGGTCACGCAACCTCTCATAGTGACATGATGAAAGATAAACTTGATCCTCGAAAAAAGTAGGCAGCACGCACATAGAATCTTCTGTCTTAATATGGCAACTACATCTGCCGAGGTCTTGTTGAGGGTGATTCTTGCTCTTCTACTCATGCTACGTTTAGATTATGGCTCGGCGTTAAACTCGCCTCCTAAAAAGTATCTTTTCAGCGACAAAACGCCGTATCATTTTAGCAGCAGGCCAATAGAGAGGCCTCCGAGATGCGAACCAATACATATCAACATGGTGATTCGCCATGGCTCCAGATACCCGGGAGGCTCTCGAATCAAGAAAGCGAAAAAATTGCTTGAAAAGATAAATAGATTCTTCCCTAATAATTCCACCTTTCACTACAAAGGCCTGTCACTTCCCTGGAGTTTCCCGCCCGATATCATAAATTCGGCTAGCAAAGAGATGTCCGAACTAGGAACAGAAGAGATGTACTCCATGGCAAGGCGTTTCCTCTCTAAATTCCGCGGGATCTTAAAACACGGCTATTCCAATACTAACTACAGCTTTATCGCCACCGACAAACTGCGATCAAGTCAGAGTGCGGTAGCTTTCGCTCAAGGCCTTTTTGAGGGAAAAGGACATTTAGGAAGCATGAAATTTCGTCCAGTAGCGGTGCAGTTTTCAGGTTCTTACAACGACGACATTGTTCTACGCATTTTTGAAGCTTGTCCAAGATGGCAGAAGATTACAGCGAGGAAAAGATCTCAATCGGAATACCGAAAATTTATGAACGGTCCAGAAATGCGAAAAGTTTCGCGTAAAATCGTAAAAAGGTTGCGACTAAGCGGAAAGTATTCCCTTCGTCCTGAGGATGCTGTGGAAATGTTTTTGATGTGCGCATTTGGGGTTCAGACTGACAGCGCTGATAGCAGCTGGTGCTCAGTGTTCGAAGACGAAGAATTTAAAGTTTTGGAGTATCTGAACGACTTGAAACTTTACTGGGACCGAAGCTACGGGCGTAAAATTAACTACAATATGGCTTGCCCTCTCTATGCGGAGATTACAGATAGCATTGAAAGATTCCTCAAGAATGGGAAACCTCACGGTATTTTCCGATTTGCGCATACGGGAACTGTGATACCTCTCTTCACTATGCTTGGACTCTACAATGACTCAGTACCACCCCGAGCGGACAATTTTAACGAACAGGCCAACCGTACTTTTCGCATTTCAGATGTAGTACCCATGTCGGCAAATGTTGCCTTTGTGCTTTATAATTGTAATCGTGACGGTGCGAAAAGAGATGCAAAAGAAAAGAATGATTGCATCGGACAGTGTCAACAATCCGTTAGCACTGACAGGAATGGGACATTTCAGGAATCTCATATAAAAATACAGCTTCTAGTAAACGAAGCGGTGGTCGCAATGCCGGCCTGTGAAGGAAAAATGTACTGCAGTCTTGAAAAGTTTGTGTCTTTTTATTCGCATATTAAGGATAACTGTGACATCAACACAGTTTGTAATATACATAGTAAGTGCAATGCTAATAAGGGAACTCGACCTAGAGATTAATTGTATTTCTAAGGCCTTAATAGATAAATAAATGATTATTTACATGAACTCTGCTGCAACTAACGGCGTAATTTCATTCATTCGGTAGCATATACTCACTGTAAGATTTTACGCCGCAATTAACGACGTAATGTTTATTCAGTCAGTGAAATATGCATACTGTAAGATTTTACGCCATTAACTAACGGCGTTATTTCTTCCAGTGTGTATATACATACTGAGAGATTTTACGCCGTTAGTTAACAGCTTGAAATCTTACAGTATGTACACCGACGTAGATAGTGGCGTAAAATCGTACAGCCATAGACTGCGTTAGTCACATATTACGCCATTATCTAATTACAGGTTAGTGCATCATGATGTTGCCACAATTTGCGTGATACAAGAGAATAGTCTCCGTGGCTTTATCCAGGAATTGTAAATCTTCCAACGACTGAACGAAAGCGAAACAAAGTAAGGAGTTGAGGTGAATCGAGTTTTAAAGCCGTGCGAGGTAACGGGAAAACTAGGAGATATTTTTTCTAAGCCCTCTATGCCTTTTTATTCACTGGATGTCTCAGTTCCTGATATCTTGGTCAAAAACCGAACAGCCAGAAAAAATTAGGCACAGTTAACTTGAACTATTGCATTTCCATCAAGCCAAGTCTTCCCTATTTCCTTTCCAAGTCTTGTGCGCCGACCACGCAAGGTTCACCATCTGGAACTCGTGGAACACTGGAACTGGTAGGATCTCGTGTAGTCAGTATGAAATGAGAACAACAATTCGGAAAGAAACTGTTACGTCATATTTATCCTTTGAACATTACACAGAGGTACAAATTATCATAAAATCCATTTCTGAATTATGACCAAGGTCAAAAGCGATGACGCTCACGATCTTCGGGCAAATGTTGTCTTTAAACCGGCCTTTTGTCACGTTTATAATATAGTGAAATCAAAATTGGTCCCAGATTTAACGAAATTGTTTTCCTGACACCGAGAATAAATGGTTTTAACACACTTTCGAATCTCCCCAGAAAAAAGATCGTACTTGCATTTCCTTGTCACGCGTTCTAGCACATGTTTGAAGTCACTGTGGAACCTTTCACCAATAGAAACTATATATTATGCAATATGCAATGAACGCCGTACTGAAGATGCGGATGATATTGGAGATCTCGCGGCAACGCGATGGAAACCCTGTGTCTCTGCTGATCACACTAAAAGCCTATTTTTCACAAGCTATTTTTTTGATGTTGGAGAAAAACGGAGATAAAAGAACTAAACCTTGAAAGGCCAGGATCCTCCAAGGGAAAAAAGCGGCTACAAGTAACACAGAAGGGTCCGCGTCATTATTGTTTTTTTACCAACGTTTCAAAATATGCAATTATCAGCAGAGGCATTGTTGATTTAAAGGCAAGCCAGTTTTCAAAGGCAGAAAACAGATAGACCGCCGATTGAAATGCTCTAGTTGAATGACAAAACTATTGCGTTACACGCGGTAACACACATCACCGGAAGCACGTGAAAAGTAAAATCACGCGACTGCGAGATTTCTATAATTGGTGTGTAATTTCCCTTAAAAACGGGATGAACCAGTTGTTATGACGAAATAGAACACGTGATCACTCTTACTATATAAACTGGCGCTCCCAACAGTTTAGTAGTACTTTCATGGCGGAAAGTCTAGTAAAGATTTTCTTCCAGACGTAACACCAGAATAACGAATTTAAGCGGTCACCGTCCTTTCCTTGAGAGATTGTATACAAGGTAATGTCATTTGAATCACATCTTTAATTTCTACAATGTTTTGCTTGAGTGTTGGGTAAAATTCGGAATTTCGTTGAAATTTTTGCGGTAGTGTTAGGCCGGTCCGCCGCGATTTTTGTTATCCTGGACTCGATGGTAAAGCCCAAGTTATCTTAAGAAATGTGGCATGATCTTTCTACTGTTTAACTTCGCGTTTTAAAAAATATGAATTTCTGTAACAGCTTCTTTGTTTCCTGGATTTTTACACTGTTTTGTTTCTGGAAAACTACATTGACTCTCTTGATATATACTAGCCTCAGTCGTTGCCCTGTTACTTGGAAATCGTTCATCGATAGCTTACAGTGAAATTTTTACGATCTATAGTTAGGCGAGATAGCGAAGGCGAAATGTTCGTTTAATAAATGTGTTTTCTCTAGTCGGAGAATTTCGAATTTTGTCGGCCGACACTTCTAAAGATAACTATCGATCAGCCCTCTTGCCGGTAGAATATTTTAAATAGCGTTATCGCTTGCACTTTCGCTTAACTAAGTTATCCGCCTAGATTGATAACTGGTGAGAGTTTCACAAATTTTATATCCCGTGTAAAGAATTTTCGCAATTAACTCGTCAGAGGGTTCTTGAATCTTTAGAGAAACGGAGATAACCTTAAGGTTAAATATTCAGGGACAATATTCGTCCGTGAAAATGGTATGCGGTTTTACCGGTAATTTTGTTGACACTCAAAATATGCATATGGCCGGAACCGGATTTGGGCAAGGAAATAAAAAAGTTTAAAAAAATTGGAAGTTTGAAAGTTCTGTATACCATATAGTCTAGAGAGTACCATTTACACCCCAGTGCTAGAGTTGACAAAAAAAGTCATGAATTGTTTTCAGGCTCTTACACATTGTTGCCTGCATGAGGAAGAAATATGATATGCCTTAAGTGCTCTCCACCAGAAAGATTAACCTGTAAAACCTCTTAAGTGTTCAATAATATCTGTTATGAAGTTAAATCAAAGTGCATAAACAGTGATAATATCAGTTCAAGATCAAAATTGCAATGCCAAAATTTTCAGGAGTTATGTTATACTTAAATTGGTATCCACCAGGGTGAAAAACCTGCACAAACTTTTAAATCATGACAACATGATGACTTCAATTCCTCAAAGAGAAATTAATCCAATTATTCTTTTGAGATGTGCAAACAACCAAAATATTGATTATCACTATTTTGGTGTTATTTATCTGTGTTGTGGTGACAACGACAATTGCCATTTAATTAGTGCTATATCCAATGTTTCACTGATTGTGATAAAGGGAAAAATCATTGTACCTTCTTTCTCATAGTTTATTTCTGATTGTGGTTTGCAGCTTAAGCATTTCCCTTCTGTAAAATGGCATTAAATAGACAGGCAAGGAAAGTTTTTGGGCTACTTCAAAGAAGATGTATAAGACAGATCCATTTTAAGAGTCAAACTTCCTTTAAAGGTAAGAACAGGGTTTAAAGTGTGGCAAGAGATATTGTTGGAGTATGTTTTGCGAGAAGCCTACACATTAGAAGGAATTTGAGTTTCTGTAAACAACAAAGCAAGAAGTACATTAGGAAATTATATTTTTACGGTATTTACAAAGCAACTTCTGATGGAAAGGTTATGGAATCTCTAAATTTTAAAGTGGAAACCTTGAGGTTGAATTAAGACTCCAAGCTGGAAAATTGTAATCCTCCCATTGAGTTTCATAAGAAAAGTTTGTTCTATCTGTTTAATAAATTTGCATCTTTCCTTGTGATGAGAATGTTGTTCTTGAATTTTGCAGGGATATCAGCTCTTGGGGTGTGGAATGAGAGACTTGGATTTGGTATAGACAATGAAGGACAGGTTGTTCTTGTGGCACAAGCTTCTCAGTAAGTTATAGTTAATGCTCAATGTTGATTTGTTTGATGATATACAGTAATTGAGCAGTGTTGGCTCTTCGTTATTCTGCTTCTTAGGGTCAGTGTAAAGGGGCACATCAAGGCCTTCTCAAAGTTGAAGTCACGAGGATTGTGCCTTGAATGATCAGTGTGACATGGTGGTCTTGTTTTTGTTCTTTTTTGTTTGTTCCTTTTTTTCCTTTTTTCCCTAATGAGACACAAAAGGGGAGAGGGGAACTTTGCATTTTTATTGATTGATTACCTTGAGATCGTCCAGCTTTACATATTTTATCCAGTGTGAACTCTAGACCACTTAATTTTGAACATAGTTACAAGTACATGTAATTAAGAATTAATCACCTTTAGTTAATTATTCATGTTAATCTTCAAACATCTTTTTACAATGTAACAAATTTGGATACAACTACTTATAGTGACTTTGACAATAACTTCTGACAACTTTTATTTCTAGTGCAGTAACACTTTTACTTACATAAAACTAGCCAATGTCTGAAATGACTCTAGGGCAAAGTAAACAATTGGGCACAAGACACATTGCAACTGACTGAATTTCTTTTAAACTCTGTTTAAATGATTGGTTCCATCAATGACATTCTCTCACAAACATTTTCACTTTGGAACTTTATCCTAGGTAAACCAAGGTATGTTTCAATTCCTTCCTGGTCAAGATCCTCAGTGGAGAAAATCAGAGTTCTCTGTAGGCCCAGACGACTGGCACAAATGTTGTATAGTTGTTCTGGGCATACAAAATCCTTTTAAAATTTTTTTTTGGTTTCATGATGAAAAGAAACTTGATATGACAAATATCAAACAACTCTTTAGTTAGAAAGAAAACTAAATTTTTCAGAAGAATTGATAGGACACAATTGGCCCACAATGTGAAACCAAATGAGTGCTATCACAAGATTTTGTGGATTGTCAAGCATATAGTTTGCAAATTTGTGCAGCCTAGTCTCAACACTGGAAAAAGTTTAAGTTGAAGTGGCTTAAAAAAAAGATTTAAGTTGAAGTGGCTTAAAAAAAAGAAGTTAATTGGTAGTAGATCGACACACAGCATTAGTGGCCACTTTTAATTTCAATCAATTTTTTAAATTTTTGTGGAATTTGAGAAGAAATTCAGAACTTTGATCTCTACTTTCACTGGAACAGATTAAATATGTTTCTCAAAGCAGAAATGGTAGATTCTGAAAGGTTAAGCTGTTTTCAATTTTGTTTTGGTTTTTTTAGCTTTCTATTTGTGTATTATCATTATTTTAATACAAGGGCCATTTGTTTGGATGCAAGGCTGAATCCAAACCTAACAATTTCTGATATTGTTTTCCCAAAATATTGGAATGTTTAGCCATGATACAAAGTCATTCAAAAGTTGTAAAAAAACAAAAACAGGTGGTCTTTCTCAACTGTGTGACAATGTTTTGAGTTTTAAGTTTCTGGCTGTGTAACTTGGTTTTAAAGTATGAACTGTTGTAATCTAACCTTGGTAGCACTAAATGAATTGTAAATGAATTCTTGTATAAATTGAATTATAAGGTAAGTGTTATAATGATCAGTCTTCTGATATAACCACCTCCTCACAGTCCAAAAAAAGAAAAGAAAAGAGAGACATTTCAATGTTCCTTCTCAGAATTTAAAGTGATGCTTGTTCTAAAGTTTCAAAGATTTTAGCATGAGAATTTACATTTGGCATTTAAATGTCACATTATCTTGAAAGCGATAGTAGTCATGTGGTGTTTCTAAATAGTGTTCAATACAGCAAGCGAGGTTGTTATATTAAAGCTTTAGTTTACTGTAGTTGTGTGCAAAGGCCTACAAGCTTTGCTTGTCAAAGGCCTGATGTTATGTGGTGCTGATATGTAATTGTCAACAGGCGAAGTGCTGATGGGTTTGATTACAACAAGCTTTATGGCCCTCCAGCTGCCCCAGAGCAAACCATTCGAACATCGGCAGTGAAAAAAGCATTTATTGACAAAGACCTCTGGAACCAGGGTCCTAGAATAACAGGTATCCAAAGGATTACATTAATTGTAGGAACTGCCATATTCTTGATTGATAGTGGCATGATTCCTCAAGATGACAGTAAGCTATATCTTGTTTTTTAGAAATTTTATAACCCTTGTCAAAAGTTTTCAATAATTTTTTCTACCTCTGGTGTAACTTTCCTGTCTTTGAAAGAGGGCATGTCTTAAGTCACAATCTTCAAACTAGACAAACACTCCACCAAAAACAGATTCCCTTGAGACTGTTTTCTTGCAAAAAGCTACCAGAAGGTTTTTTATTATTTAAGAACAAAAAGAAACTGAGAAAAGTTACAATGTTATTTAAAGTTTGGCAAAAGTTAGCTTGAGAACAGGCTTCACTTTGGTTTGTTCGTTTTTTTTTAATAAAGTAGTTGTGAAGTGTTGTTTGTGTAAGCAAATTATGGTTCCATGGTGTAAAAACAATTTAGCTACTTTGCTACATGCAAAGAAATCCTAATCTCTCAAGAATCTTTCAGAAATGATCACATCGCCTACACTTACCAAGATATGATTGACATGTTAGGTTTGCTAGTCACTGTCTCCCCCTTCCCCCCTTTTGTGTTGCTAATATCACTTGGCTCCTGTAGGAAATGCCCCCTGGGCTAGACCTCAGCTCCCTCGACGTGGTGGCTGTTCAGCAGGTTTCTCATCCCTTGCTGGTGATGGCCAAAGCAGTGGATCATCTTTCCCAGACTCAATGGACCCTTCCCTTGTGATATTTGACAAAGATGGTACTCTGATAGATCTGAATAATGTGTGGATTCCTTGGATGGAGAGTCATGTGCAGGAACTGGAAGAGGCAACTGGTCTTGATCTGGCTGACAAAATGTATGAAGAAGTGGGTTATTGTCCTAAGAAGCGCATCTACTCTGACGGAGGCTTGCTAGCCCATGCGACTGTTGCTGAAATCAGACAAGCATTTGTCACAGTGTTAATCAAGAGTGGTTTAGATAGAGCAAAAGCACAGAAGCTGGTTAGCAACTGCTGTAAAGATTTTGACAGTGGTGGGCATGATACCCTGGAGCCTCTGGGTGACCTCCCAGCAATTTTTGAAACTCTGAGGGCAAAGGGTGTTAAGACTGCAGTCTGTACAACTGACAGTCGAGAAGGCACTCTGTCAGCTCTTGACAGGTTAGGCCTCATGAGCATGATTGACAAAATTGTTTGTGGGGATGATACAGACATCAAACCAAAACCCAATCCTGAAACTGCCTTGGGCATTTGTGAAGAGTTAAATGTTTGTCCAACTCAAACTGTTATTGTTGGTGACACTATTGCCGACACCTCAATGGGTCGTTCTGCTGGGCTAGGTCTAACAATAGGTGTTCTTAGTGGGGCTGGCAACCAGAAATTTCTAGAAAAGGAGGCTGACATTGTTTTAAACAATGTGGATGAGCTTCTAAATACCTTATATCCATCAGACTCATCATCTTCATCATCCTCCTCTTGATCTCAAAGTAAACAAACCTGCTTATATAATTTTTTGTGCAAGTCCTAGCTAATCTGTGTCTCATAATTTCCTTTCATACTCCCTGGCAATCAATATGATATGCAATTTTGGAAATGAGTTATCAATAGCAGTTGTAATTATTTGTTACATGGGAGAGTGAAGGAAGTTAAACTTTGCTCTAGTTCTAGAAAGCCTTTCTGTAACTAAAAGCACTAGCATCAAAGATTTAATATTGAAAAGTGTGTTTTTCAAGGTTCCCAATTACTACTTGTATCTGACAGTAACAAACAAACCCCTTAAATGTTGTTACATAAACATATACTGGACATGGTCAACTCATGAGAACAACATTGATTTGTAAATAGTCATAAGTGTATATTAAGCTTCCTCATCAGCCTTTTTATTTATTACAATTTGAACTTCTTAGTAGTTCAAGTGTGCTACAAATATGCATTGGGCTCTCTTTGATGGTTATCTTTTGTAGTAAACTGAATTGTACAGGCTTGAATTTTATAGTGATGCACAACACCTTGATGGTGGTTTCTGCATAACTGAACTAGGTGGGGACTAATTGATAACAGATCGCTGAAGTTTAATCTCTGAGTAATACAATGAGAATGCATAACCTGATTTAAGGAAAAGGAATGAAAATAAAGAAAATACTGTGTATTAAAGGAGACTGATCCCATCTTACCTTGCTAATAGCTGATTTTCTCCAATTGTACTACATTATCATGTGTTATTGGTAATAATATGCATGTGTAATACAGGAATCTCCACTGCCTCTTTGTTTTACCCCTTTTCACCTTTTCTAATACCTTAGGAACAGTAAGAAAACCACAATGAAAGTTCACATCCCTGCAAATGGGCACTAAGAACGACATGTCTCTCTATAGGTGTGATTCAAATTCAGACTTAACCTTTGGATTCTTGAAGCTTTCCATAGTTAATTTCCTTACAAATTGAATTTCCTCAGAGGTAGACGTTTGTGTCTCAATGACCATTGTAATTAATAGCTTGCATCAGTCCTAGGACTTAAAAACGAAAAACAACCTTTGCAATGAAAGCTTTATTCATGTAAGTAGTTTTCTGGGGGTAAAAGAGTATAAGGATTCTTTGAAAGATTTGGTACACTCTGATGGTCACAATAAAGTTTCATAGAAGGGTTTTGGAAGAAGTTAACTTTAAAAATGTGAATGGAAGATTTTTACCTTAGTGACTTAAACAAATTAATCTTCGAGAGGTTTCTATTGAAGACAAAATATTTAAACAATGGAATTCCCATCCCTCGCTTAAAGAAAGGTCTTCGTTAAGAAGGGGGGAGGAGGCTGAAATAGGTCGTCCACCCATGTAGTTTGCATTAGCTGACCAGAAACAGTTTTTTTTAGATCACTGCCTTGTGTTGATAGAAATATGCGTCTGAGATATGTCCTATTTAAATCTTTTAGTGTTCGAGTTACCGCAAGGGTAGGAAGAAATGATCTCATTTTTCAAGGTCGATGGGTTTCCAGAAAGGTGTTGGCATGACGGAAAGTTTTAGGAACTTTTCAGGAATTTATTGCAAGTGAAATTTATATGGCCTTATTGTGACAGAAATCCCTACCAGTGAAGCTTTAGTACTTATTGTACTTTGCATTCAAGTCTCTCACTCGAAGCTAAATTTTCTGTTTTGAGAACAATGTTTTGTAACCTACAAGCGCGAGACTAGTGTTAGCCACTTGTATAGGAGTCGTACTATTTATTGTATTGAGTATTAATACACTCTAAGGCATAAATCAAGAGAAGAGTAATCTCTATTATAATGACGTTTATAAAAATACTGCCCATGAAGAGTTGTATGAATTATAAATATGAAAATTATGTCCATTAAATACTTATTTCGCCAAGTGGTCGTGTACGAGTCACCATCTTTCTTCGAATTGTATGCCGAATTATTTCTCGAGTTAAAAAGTTTAGTAATTTACTGGTAGTCTTTCACATTCTGCTCACTATTGTAGTGAACTTTTAAACTGAAACGGCTGCTGTGCAGTCTCTCGCGTAAGCACTGGGAATTCAGACAAATCTACCCAAATAACTGTTTCTTCCCAACCTAGGCATTGCTTTATCTTTTTGAAATTAAAACACCTGCTGGGGAGTAATTTTATTTCTGGTTGCCTTCCCAAAATGCCTTTCTCTTCCTCTTTATGGAACGGAAATTGTGGTCCTCGGTCACATGGTTACAAATATTCGCTTCCCGGACAGAGTTGTAGCCATGTCATTCGCTCGAAATAGTTGACCCTGTTTGCTCAGGTAAGAAAATAGTAGTTTTGTAGGAAATGTTTGGGAAAATTAAGCTCTTGGTATAAAATCATGCACATTACTGTTTTACGTAAAATCCAAAAGAAACAAAGCACTGGAAGGAATGAAATATTTATCAAGTGTTCCTTGCATATGTCCTTAACATCTTCAATATTTGAATCATGGAAGGTCGCTCGTATTCGGAGAAACTTCGCCGTAGATTTCTTATGTAGTGTCATCGACTTATAAACTATTTTCTCATTGGTGATAAACCAGCCACCCTTGCTGGTGAAGTTCTAGCCTGGTTATATTTTGCGTAACCAAGTACGCAACACTGCGTTTGATTTCTTATTGCATAATTTGTATATATATATATATTTGCTGTATTTCAATCGCGGCAGAAATTTTACTAGTACTCACGTGTGAAATTTCTTAAACACACATGGGAATTCAATTCAAAACTTTAACAAGTAATTGTGAAAGAAATGTTAGGTGTTAAAATTTGGAAAGCTCATCTCATTTCTGTCATGGAAAAATTAGAACGGCTTTGTAAATTTGAAAATTGTCCATTGGGTGTGCACTTTACGTTTCTGAAAATTTTAATCGTTCGGAAGTGCGCCTTAGCAATATATCTCACGACTTAACTGAGAGGAAACAGACTTTACCGACTCAATTGAATCTCCATAGCGGTTTTGTGAGATCTAATATTCTGCACTGAATTTAGAAACGACGCAATTGCGGTATTTCTTTGTCTCATGACAAATTTGATCCTATCAACACTAGATTTTTTAACTTTCTTGAAAGTTATACAGCGTGGAATCAAATTTGTGAGTTCAAACTTGACCCTGTAGGTGTTTTAGCAGGTTGTTTGTGGTTTGCCTGTATGTTAGTTATGCTGAAAAATCTCACTATCTTTAACTCTGTCAATTAAAACTTCGTGTGGCTTAATCAAATTTTGTGGAAAGACAACTTTTCAGTCATTAGCTGTTAGCTGGTGTTCTATTTAGTGTGTACTTAGAGGGAGTGGATTGTGCCAAACGGTTCTTAAATGAAAAAATATATATATATTAAACTTCAAATCTTACAGGCCCTTAAGTTCTTAGTTATAATGGTAACTTGGAATCAGAAATACTAGAAGCATACCATGTTATGGCTAGAATGATAGAAAAAAAAAAGAGTTTGTGTTCACAAATAACTGATTTGTTTTCTCTTTGAACAGAAATTGAAAGAAATTATAGTTATGGCCCCTCAAGGCATTGGGAATCTTCATTTTCTCCCTGTTGTCCTTGGTTGCTTTGCAATCATTGCTTTCTTCACTGCGTAAGTATTATGGATGTATAAAGTTATATAAGGTTACCTACAATTTACTTGTAATCAACCCTTGCGTGACCAATTAAGATTTACTATTAGCAATAATGATAAAGGTGACAATTTCCTCAAATGTGATTCCTCAAATATCATTCCATATAATTGTAATCAGACAGTTGGCTTTTATTGCACTCCTGTAATCGGACAGTTGAAGCAGTCAATCATACTAAGTCCACTCAACTAAATCCACTAATCAAGTAATTGATCACAGTAATCACAGTAACAACCACTTGATATCCTAATAGATAAAAATGGGACATTCCCAAAAATAGAGGAATTTTTAACAGGACATTTTGTCATCCAATTCTGTCTATAGTCATGGTCATGATTGACAAATTGGACTCCTACTTAGCAGTCATCTGATTTTGTTCATTGCATGATTATAGACTAAATTGGAGTCCTCCTGGTCCTATTACCAGTATGAACTGATGAAAATTTATACTTTTTGATGAAAATGCAATGATCCTTGGATATTAATATTGAAGTCATTGTTCTTGAGCAGTTGATGAATCTGATTTTTCAATGGAATGGTCAATTGCTGTTATTGATTTTTATTGATTGTCTTTGTCCATCAGGATTTATCTTTATTTCACATTGTATCAATTTGTAATTTGCACCATGACAAACAAATTGACATCTGATGATGGTCGTAGAATTTAGGATTTAGTGTTTTTGATTATCTGTTGATCAGTGTTTATTTTGTTGGTCATGCCAGGAGAATGACTTTATGCATGTAGTCACAAGTCATTGTAAGTCAGTGAGTGTAATAATTCTGTAGTTGAAGGTTGAATATAGTGCAAGGGCAAATTTAGCAGGTAACATGGGACATGGATGAGATTCTCTTTCCAATCATCATGTATATAAGTAATACATTATATTTCTATTATTAGCTATGGCATGTCTGTAAAGAGAAAGGATGTCAGTGCTATTTGGCCGTATATAAGGTTTGTTGGAACTAAAAATATGTTAATGTTGTATTCAACTGGTCTCAGTGACGGCACTTTATGTGCTGTAGCATATAAATGGGTTGATTTTATAGCTAAGTCATAAAAAAATAGTCATAACACTGAGTGCACCCTTAAAAGGACATTTTCATTTCCTACTTGAAATAAACACAATCAAGTAATTTTGATGGTTGAATATCCCACTAGGTTCTATTTTAGATGGCAACAAGATCTTTTTTTGTAGGTGTCCTTAGGAGATCATGCAGAGGGAAGGCATGGAACATCCTATGATTGAACATGCCAGCGGCACAAAATTTTAGTTTCTTATGGCCAATATTTGTTCTGTTTGTTTCCTCAAACTAAGTGCTTTAACCCTTTCACTCCCAAAATCTCATGAGCAATTCTCCTTACTGTCTGCCATACAATTCTTATGATGTTAGTGTGGAGAATTTGGTATAGCATCAACTAGTAATACCCTAATTTATATTTTTCTTTATTCTCGTCACTTGTTTGCTTGATATTGTATTAACACTGTAAGGAGAAATGATGTCCTGGTCGCTCATCAAAGTTAAAGGATTAAATTCTTATTTGGTCCTCCACATGTTATTTTCAAGATCATTTTTAAAAATTCTGTAATTAAATCCAGTGGTGGAAATTTTCTTGTGGGGAAAATAATAAAAAGCAGGGAAGGATAATTGGATATTTTTGGGATAAGTTTGGGCTCAAATTGGGAATTTATGAATTTTAAATGAACACAATTAATGTTGTTGTATGATTAAATTTCTGGAGGGGGGGAATAAATCTTTGGCAGACCCTTCCATCCTTATTTGTCTGTATCTAACAAGTTTGAACCATGACATTTCTTTGGTGAAATTCATGTTCTTTGACTGTTTTTCTGTTTGTTTCTCTTTAGTGATGCAGGGTCTCGTGCACCTGAGAGTTGCATCTTTGGACAGTTTCTCAATATGGCTGCAGTGATTGGTATTGTGAAGATCTTTTCTATCTCATAGTTAAGATGATACATTCTTAAGAATTCTTTTGGTAGATAAACTGAAAGAACTTTGATCATAAATGAGTATTTTATCTAGCTTGCTCTTACCTTTAACACCATGGAAACAATTGTCGAATGATCTGAGTTGTTCATGCTGACTAAAAATCAAAACATATAACTTTATTTAAAAGTTGTTTGTTGGGCAGTATTTATCCTCAAGGTGTATATTCCCTCTAGCCATGATCTCTATAACTAGGGTTAAATATTATTATTTTTGTATTACTGTTCCCTTGAGTGCAGCCAACTAAATAATTTGATCAAAACTTAATTCCACTCAACAGTATGCCTATTTCTTTATGAAATTACACATTTTTTTTTCCTTTTTCCACATAATGCACACAATACTTTCAGGTCAGATTTTTCAAATCCCAATATTGGCAAGAGCCATCTTTGACATAAATGTTTTAGATTATTGTTTGGTTAATTTGCAGCATTTGTAGTAATGTATATCCACTACAGACATGTAAAAGAATTCAACGTCACAGACATGCCAATAATCTTGAAGCTTAACTATTGGTCCTTGTGGATAGCAGCCTTTACATGCTTGGGTCTCTCCATGGTTGCAAATTTTCAAGTAAGTTAGGCAAGATCTGAGTACTGAAATTATTAAGTTGCTATCAAGGGTGTGTTATTGTGGGCAAAACCCCATTATTTTTGTGAAATCCAATTTTTGTTTAACACATTTGGGGAACTGTTTTATTTTTTAACTTGTTCTTTTTTGAAGAAAATTGTAGTAGAAACAAGTGATATGTTGTGAAATTTTCCCCATGACAATTACCATTATCAACATAAAAAAAAGCAATCTAGCTTCAACATCCCTTGTACCCCTCCCCCCTTGGAGGGGGGTGGGGAATTTGAACCTTTCCAGGGTGGTGGAGAATGTGAACCAGAACTGCTTTCCCGCTAAATGAATGTGTTTTATCCTCTAATGTGGAAGTGTATAAATGTAGAAAGTTCACTTTTGTGAGCAGATGGCTCAGAAGAAGAGGTCCACAAGAATTGCACAGTTGCTAATCCAGCACTTGGGTGGGGGCACTTGAAGAAGGGAGGGGGAGGGGTGTTGAAGCTTCAAATTGATCAACACCTAAGTTCAATTCATCTGGTTTTAAATAAAATGAATATCACTTCCTCCTCTTGGCAAGAGAGAGGTATTTTACCATAACCCTAAGACACCATCTGGAAAGTTGATAGGGGAAAAAAACTGTGGCTGATATCTTGAATACAGTCCAAGGCTTGAAGGCACAGTTGTTTTTTTTTTTTTTTTTTTTTTTTTTTACATACAGACTGAACTAGATTGGTTTTTTTTTTTTTTTTTTTTTTACATACAGACTGAACTAGATTGGTTAGTAACTTGTCTATTTTTTCTGCTGGTTTGCTTTTTTCCTCTTGGCTGGAATGGCAGAGAACTCTTTCAATTACTGACAGTGTAATGATATAGATTGCTATTGTTCTTTTATAGGAGACAAATTCTTTGCCAACACATTTGACAGGCGCTATCATGGTGTTTGGTTTAGGGACACTGTACTGCTGGATGCAGGCCTTTATTTCCCATTTAATGCGAAATCAGGCAACAAGCTCTGCCCTTAGCTCTTGCACAAGATTTATTCTTTCAGCTCTCATAACTGTGTTCTTTATCATCAGTATCCTCTTTCAGTTAGATCAAACTTTGCTAGATCAGAAACATAGCTTAGACAGTTGGTCAGGATCATAATACATATTACCTCAAAAGGCCATTGCTTTTATATAAGTACCAGCAAAATGTCATAAAAGTTCAACTAAATTGTAGACTAGAAAATGAGGAGAGCAGGATGGCTCTGGGGTGATACCACTCAACTCCCACTGCTCTGGCCTTGGGTTGATTCCCAGACCTGTTGCCATATGTGGGTTGAGTTTTTTTTTGGTTCTTATCCTTGCTCTGAGGTTTACTCTCCTAGTCTTCTGGGTTTCTTCCCTCCAGAAATACTAACTTTTCACATTCCAATTCAACCTGGAAACAGTGGACAAGAAGAGCTACCTCGTGGGATGTCCACTGCTAAATGCCCATTGTTCCCCTTATCATTCCCATATTATCTACAACGAGTGGCAATATTCCTTTCTGTTGTATGGCACAGTTACTGGGATAAGCTCTTGAAGCTATGCTAGTCTTTCATGCACGCAGTCTTCAAGTGTAGAAGCTGTTTTTATCCTTGCTCCAATATGCAGATCAAGTTAGTATTAGTAATTCCAATTTTTGTAGCTTCATGAGTTAAGCAGAGGGTTTTAGGAAATTTAAGATCTGATGCCAAGACAAATTATTGCTGATTTTGTCCTTGATGTTAAATTAATTTTGAAAATAGCACTAGCAGCTGGAGGTGCCGCCTCAGCAGCATACAAAGAACAGCATAATAACAAGAGTGACATGGCTCCTGAACTCAAGTGGAAAAAAACAGATGATGTAAGTACTCAGACAAATCACTTGCCCATCCTTTGTGTGCACAGGGAATACCAGTTCTTACTGATTGAGGAGTATCATTCTCCAGTTTAGCCTTAGATGTTTCCTAGATTTTGTAATTGAAGTTCCCTATTCTGCTATCAAGTTGATTGATGTGTGAGGAAATTCTCTGATTGTATAATTTTGTGGCTCATTTGGCAATGATTTTACTGTAGAGATCCTCCTAGATCCAAATATGTCTCTTGTGCCTTGTTTTTTTGTTTGTTTTTTAATCTGATACTTCATCATTTGCCCTGACAAAGAGCTAACACTCAAAACTTCAACTTTTTAAAATGTTTACAGTGGCCAATTTACGTTATTAACTAAGTTAATAGAACCAAATTACCCTGTTGTACTCTCCCAGCAACACAACACCACAGTTTCTCTAGAAACTTACCCCCTTTAATCATATTTCTTGCTCTAACTTATTGTGATTGCGTTTTTTGTTTACCATAACAGGGATACAATGCCCATCTGGCAAGTACCTTCAGTGAATGGTTGATGAGCATATGTTTCCTTCTCTACTTTCTGACATACTTCCGAGAGTTTCAAAAGATAAATGTCATCATTCAAATACGACCGAAGAATGCAGAGATCTTTTCCTCTGGCCAAAGTCATCATGATGAAGCAAGAATAGTTGTTTAAAGTCACAAATGATGTCTCTTACCAGGTTTTACTAAGTGGATGTATGATTTTTAGGTCTGATTATTTATGTTTATATCAGGAAGAAGAATTTATAGCAGCAGTAGACCATGGGAAGCCTTCCTGTACAAACAGTTCAGTGCTTCTGCTGCATTAGTGGTGGTTTACTTTTTTTTTTCGGTTTTAGAGCATTTACAAGTTGTTAACCCTTAACCCTTTAACTTCCAAAAGTGATTAACATGTTACTTCTCCCTATAATATCCCTACATTATCCAGCAAGCAGGTAATGAGAATACTCAAACTTATTTGGTTAAAGTTGTTATCTAGATCTAAGACCAAATTCTCCCAGCTGCTTTACAAGGAAATGTTTAGCAGCTAGAGGAGAGAATTAACAATCATATCATAGGTGTTAAAGGGTTAAAACCCTAAGAGTGACCAGCATCTAATTTCTCCTGACAGTAACACTGCTAAATCATTCATTAAGATCATGAGAATAAAGGAAATGTTCACCAATCTAAGAAGCTTTGATCATCAAATGAATTCTCCTTGTCAGTTCCAAGAGAAAGATATGGAGAAGAGTAGGGAGAATATGGATACTGATGTTAGGGTGTAAAGGGTCAATGAAGAGAAGTGTTCAGGAGTCTTTCAAGCAGCCTGTCAAAAACAGTCACAGATTAGCACTGCTGTAAGGTGCAGCTTAAAGGCTGTGATGAGTACAGATGATATTGAATGGTTGTAAAATTTCTGCAAAACTCTAAACAAATCTGAGTGCATAAGGAAGGTTTATGTACATAAATGTAAGCAGCTACATTACACCATTGTATGTACATGGTGATTTGTTATCTTAGTAAACAAATTTATGATTGTTCATAGCACTAACCCTCCCATGGGTGACTAAGACAGAATTTTATCCAATATCAATGCACTAAAAACCATCAATTGGAGGATTTTTTTTTGGTTGATCCAAAACCAAATTCTCCCAACTAACATCAGAATTGTAAGGAAGACAGTAAGGAGAATTAGTAACGAGATCTTAGTATTGAAAGGGTTAATTAAAGTTCTGTTGATCTTGGTTATGCCGTGGCTTCATATCCTGTAATTAAAGTTTAAGAAAGAACACAACTTATTTCTCATCCTCGGAGTCCAGGGGCTGTGAGTCGATTTCAAGTCAGGACGGGAGAGCCCATGGGGACATTATCTTATTAGGCCAGTTCCAAACGGTCACAGCCGTTCTGGCTTCTGACTGGTGGCAGAAAATCTTTGTTTTTCTACCCAATCGGAGTGAAGTATGCTTTAGAGTCCTTTCGTGTGCTTTAACACGGCGAAGTGTATGAAGCTCAGTTGCTTGCCAGTGTTGTTGATCCCCAGGGGCTCTCCTGCCCTGACTTGAAATTGACTCACAGCCCCTGGGTCTCCGAGGATGCACACTTCTGACAACTACCATTAAACTACACATGAAAGGATATGACATACTATAGCTTATACCACGTAAGTTCCAATTTTCCCCCACAACTGTAAACAGGAAACTCTTCAGCAAACCTTGAGTCATCCCTTATATGTTTCGAAAGTAGTGTTTATTGAAAGTGTCGGTTTACCCTGTAAGCAACTGAGATAGCCTTAGTTTAAAGGGTAGGTGATGCTACCCTTGCCTAATGGCTGATTAAGCAATAATAGCAGTAAACGGGGAAAAGAAGACAATTCGGATGTCACTCTCGTAATTCAGACTCCTTACAGCCTGCTATGCCGGGTTTTTTCCGGTTTTGGAAAGCGGTTACCATTGCACTTTAGAGCGTAATCCCGTGCGTCTTTGTATCCAGTGATTGCCATAGCAATGGGAGAAAGGCTCTTGGTATGCTAATCGTTTCAGTCTTTGTTCAAGAAACTAGCTTAGGGCCACTTACGCCTAAGAAACGCGTCTCGGCAAACTTGGACCTCCTGTCAATAATGTTGATGTGTTGAAGTTACCGGAGGGGCAAATTTAATTCAACGTGAATACGGCGCATTTTCGTGCTAAATTTATTTATTAATTTGACTGATTTGAAATGTTCGAAGCTTGCCACAAATTCATGCTCTTTGCCAAAATGCAACCGTACTGAGGCACCTACTTCGTCCTTTCCTAGGATTTACTTCTAACATGTCATACATTGTCTACATTAATTCTTTTGCGTTGTTTTCCGTCATTCACTTCTCCTACATAAAAGTCTTTCAGTCTCACGAGGTCAGATGGGGCGGTTGACAAGTCGATAGGAGCGTTTAGAAATAGGGGTGCGGGCGGGCGGGGTGTGACGCCCATGGGCTCGATTATTGCTTTCAATAGGAAAACACAAAGCACTTTTGGCTGGGGGTCGAGAGGCCAAAATCCTGGTGGGGGGGAGTAAGGTGAACGTGCAGGAGGGAAGTGTGAAAGGCCTTTTCTTAACCCTTCACATCCTAATATCAGTATGCATATTCTCCATACTGGTCATCGTACATTTGTTAAGGTGCTGACAGTTAGAATTTGTTTAACAATCAAGATCTTCTTTAGTTGGTGATCGGTTCCTTTATTCTTGTGACCTTAATGTGTAATTCAGTGGAGATATTGCGAGTAGAAAATTAGATGTTTGTCACTCCCAAAAGGGTTAACATTTGATGGGTTGAAATTTGCGATCTCACGATTTTGCCTTGACTGTTCGTATTTCAAATTTTGTGGAAGGCGAGACTTCTGCATTTTTCTATTTCTTAAGAGCTGGAGAGGTCAGAGTATTCAAACCTAAAAGAGGATCTCGATAAAGTGTATATAAAATCATTGGGAATGATGAATCTGTTATCAAAAAGAAACTGTTTTGAGTAGTCTCACATGAAAGACAACGGTGAGAGGGCTTACACCCAACCCCCCCCCCCCCCCCGCCTACCGTCTACCACCTCTCTGGAATGATTTGTGATTGTTGTTGATGAAGATTTTTCAACATCCAAAGGAAGTCTGTTTCGAGGTTTATTTACGCTGTGCTGTAGGAACTCCGTGAGTGAGCAAATTTTAGCATAACACGGTGAGAGTTAATGGTCTCTTAAATTTTTTTCGTGTACCTTAAGCTATTTTTTCGAGAACGTTTAAAATCTCCTTATATGTCCATAAATACTCGGCGCGCCTCAACGAACCCAGAGATAAACTTACAAACTCAAAAAAATGCTTTATGTCCCTCAGAACGGTATGTAGCTAACGCTCCAAAAACGATGGAAATGCACTTTTCGATAGCTATCTCATACCAGAGATGTCTGGGGAATAAACTAGAACAAATGCTTAGAGTTTCTCGCCAATCAAAGGAACAGAGAAAAGTGTTGAAAGTGAACGCCAGCCGAGCATATGATTGTCGTTTCCGGTAATCGAGGTGTTAGAGATTTTCTACATGTCTTAAACAACTGGAGAGAATTCTTCAAAACTGACTCATTGATGAGCTGATCAATGATCCAACTCTCTAAAGGGCATCGTTGACTGATTTTATCGAGCAAAACAAAAAGTAATTAAATTCTCTTCGACCTTAATAAAAATAGCGAGGTTGTAGGTTGAAGCTCATCATTGTGTTGTTTGGTACGAGATTCTATCGAATGCGCTGACTCTGTTTGTGCAGTTCAAGGTAGGTCATACATTCCTAGCTTTTAAAAACTTTCTCTTTCTTAATTGTGTCACAAATGGAAAGCTATTCCTTCTTCGGGGGATTTCAAAGCAAATTTTGTAGATATCCGCTAAAGACGATATCTATACCTAGTCAGGCGACATCCTAACCCTTGCAACTTAACAGAGTTTTGATTTGTCACTGCTTCTTCTTCCGACGAATGTTTCAGTTTATTGTGATTGTTTTGAACGAAAAACTATCAACATCAAACTCACATTAAACATTACAGCTATCTTTCAAAGCAGGCATCGGTAATGTTTGGCAAAAAAGGAACAGCCAAAGAAAACATTTGGTTTCGTTTGGTATGCAAACTGTTGTCTTTGATGCAAACATATCTATAGCGTAAACCGTGTATGTTTTGGTTTCTTTGGTTTGGCCAATAGAATTACAAAAGAACAGGTAATTATCCTAATTAAAAACTGTGCATTTCCAGAAGAGAACAGCAGCTGTCTATTCCAAATCAGAAACTTTTGAGAGAGAATTTGCTCCTATGAGCACGGGTCTAAGGGAACAAAAACTTATTTACCCAAGCCTCCGGTGTACAGAAGCTGAAATCATCGATATGTTCTGAAAAAAATTTATAAAATTAAAAAAACCTTCGAAGGAAGGAAGCTTGCAAACCATAACACTTGAGTGTGTGTAGCTCGGCTGTTTCTGAGGTTCTCATGGAGGTGATGACTCTTCTGGCAAACGCCTCAAGAATTAGTCCATTTTGCAGCTAACGATTAATTCATTTCCACTGTGGTTAAAAGAAATTTGTTTACGGTTAACCCTTCTCACGACTAACGATTAAAATTTGTCAATTTTTACGCCAGACGTTTTCCTTGCCGTGTTACGACTAGCGGTTAACCCCATTTAGGCCTCCTTTCTGTTCTATATTTTTTTTCTTCAAATGATCAACACTAGTTTCCTCCAAGATAAAAACGATAGATACTATTCAGTTCTCTTAGCTTCAGAAATTATTTTCAGTAGATTACGTTTTTCGGGGGGAGAGAGGGGGAGGACTGAAGAGAATAAAAAGTTTTGTTGTGACGTCCTCATGTTGACAGAGAGCATCGTGACTTCAAGCCAAAAATTAAATCAATTTTGATGACGTCACTAACCTTTACATTATGAAGAAATCTACGATTATAAAATAAACACCTTTGTAGAGATCATTTCCCAACAATCCTTTGAAAAGTCTTTTTTAATTTAGAGTGATTTCCTTTCTTTTCGGTTATTAATTTTATTTTTTGTTTTGTTTTGCTTTTTTAAAATAAGATTCATCGATACTCATCTCATTATTTATTATTATGATATAACAGGAAGCCAACATGCCTTTTACCCCAGCACCTCAAAAGAAATGCCAGAGATGTGCAAAGTCCGTTTACCAAGCCGAAGAGAAAAAAGACTCAAACGGCAAACCGTGGCACAAGAGCTGCTTCACGTGTACGGATTGCAAAAAAGGCTTGGACAGTACTACTCTGACCATGCACGACGGTAAGTAAAACGTGATAACACCAAATATTCAATCCTTTCGTTTCCCCAACTGTGTTAGGACGCCGACCAGTTAAAATGGATATGATACACCGAGAGAATATCTCTTGACACCAGGCTGCTGATGGATGACACTTAGTCATAGCTGTAGCTTAAGACAAACCTTGGATTTGTCTTAGGGCACTGGTAATTTTTGTAATTGTTGTTGCTTTTGGTCTCACTCCGTTTTCCTTTGTCATCTTACTTGTCGTTATTTTTTCAGACGATATCTACTGCAAGAGCTGTTATGGTAAAAATTATGGCCCCAAGGGATACGGATTTGGAGGCGGGGCTGGGGCGTTAACAAGGACACAATGAAATGGATTTTCTGATTGGCTAGTGTTTATATCGTTGGCACAGGCTGTTAATTGACCAATTGATTTATCTGTGATTGTTACGTTGATAGAAATTTTCTCTCTTCTTCATTTTTGTATTAATGAGTGATAAAATGACTGGAGTTAAAAAATTGGTTTCTTTAGTAGAGACAGGAGGTAATGGGCTCCTGTTAGAGAGGACATTATTTTTTACTCGTTCTCGCCTATTACGATTTATAGTCACGATTAAAATTCGATATTTAGACCCAACTGTATCTTTTGTTAAGAATATCGAGAGATCTCTGATAAATAAATTTTTTTTTTTAACCATTTTGGTCCAATCTGAGGACAGCCATCTCACTGCTGGTCTTGAGGGTCACGCGAGGGTGATGCGCTTTGCGCGCTACTCAAGGTACGTAATGAAGGCCCTGTTGACTAAACGACACTCACTCGTGAAACTTTTTGGAAATTTAGAACAGGTAATAAAAAAGGGTTTCCCTGTCCATAATTTAGAATGCTATTGAAGTAGTCTGCCTTTCACCCTTACCCGGTGGGGAATAATTGTACTGTTTACTTTTGTATCCCCTGTGGCTTTGGACTTTAAATTATGCTTAGAATGTGAAGGCTTAGCTTCCGAAAGTCGCTCCTTAATTGGCCGCCTAGTGTAGCACAAGCGACCATATTTCTTGACTTGTTAGTGAAAGCTGTCTACTGTTGACACCAAAAATTATGTCTGGTAAGTGAAATTAATTTTTTCTTCTGAAATTTAACTCAAGAGCGAAGTTTTGTTAGATAACTATGTACATTTTGCGATTAGGTGCAACTAATCGTCGCCCGTCCTTCCATTTTTTCACTTTAATCTCTTCTTGACGAATTCGGTGTGCGATTTCTCTTCGAAGGAGCGAAATCAAATTTCAGATTCATGCACAAAGCAATTTAGTCTAAGCAAAGGAACAATTGTTTTGGCACACGATTGTTAATCTTTCGAGGTCATCATAAATAACACACAACTGAGTTGCAATTAGAAACTGATGTCTCACGCTGACAGCTCCTTTTCCTTTCTACGATAAGCCGAAGAAAACTCATATTTCTGTAAATTTAATACCAGAGAATCGCCAAGAGCTATCAACAGTAAGTGGAAAACACTTTAGTGGTAACTGTAACAAAACCACTGTAGTTTGGAGCGATTCCGTGACCAAGTTGCGAGTAGACGAATGTGAAGTCGAAGAAGCTAAAAAACTGTTTAAGTTATGGTTTATTTATGGACATAAACCGATGCGTAGTTGTACAGCTCCGTAATTGTTGTTTATTTGTATATCCCAGGTAGCCATTTTCTTCTAAAAGAATTCTTGATCACCCACCAGAACATGTAAAATTAAGGATGCATGCCCTATAGTTATACTTTCTGAACTCTTTTGTTTCGCGTGGCTTCACAGAACAGTCTAGAATCCCTCATTGCATTTTTTAAATGCCTTCTCTCTACAATGAAGTAGCAGTGTCTTGTCTGTCCTGCTGTTTCATCAGTCAGCATTTTCTATGATATCTGAGGACTCTTACTTTTCTTTATTCCAAGCTTTTGATAAGACGAAGAAACAAAAAATTCTTTTAAGCTATTAGGCAAATTTTTTGGCACCAGAAAGTATGGTGATGTATTTTGTAGACTCAGAATGATGGTAAAATTTTTTTTTAACTACCTTGTTTAAGTCAGATTCTTTTGTAATTCAAACTTGCCAGATGTGAAACAAACATCTCTAATTTAAAAGGCATTGGGTTATCCATGCACATTGTCATCCAGAACTCATCATTTTGTTTACTCAATCAGTTGTTTTCAAAATATTCCGCTTGTAAGACAACTTCTATAGCTGTAAGAGCTTATCCTGGCTTTCTGCGGCATGAAGTGAACAAGAGTATTGCATTTCTGCCTTGAAAATTTTTTTTAATAATTGAGGTTGTATTGCAGCCTTTTAAGGTAAAGTCAACACTTGAACTAAGGAATTTGGGTTTGTCAACTGAGTTGATGATGTAAATTGGTCATGGTAAGGAGTTTCAAAGCTGACATATTGAGTGTTAGCCCTAAATAAGAGCTATGGCAAGGGGCTTGCATTTGAAGCATCAGCTTTGAAACTACACCAAATTATTTTGTTATACTCACCCACCAATGCAGCACAACAGTTTCCTTGGTAACTTACCTCTATTATTCTTTGGAACCAGTTGGCCTACCCTGTGTGACCTTTCCCTGTTTCCCCACCATGAAGAGACAAGGAGTATTTCTATGACCCCAGGATGGAGTGGTAGTGCAGTGCAGTTTACCCACTCCCTTGCCACTTCCCCAGCTTTCTAGTATGATTCTATGACAGCTTGCCGTTACCTCTTTAGATTCCTGGGGAGAGAGAGGCACTGAGAAAATGAAGTTTCTTGTCAAAAAATGGAAGATATGACTTAGCCAGGTTTTGAACTCAGACCCCTCGATCTGCAGACCAGCACAGTAAATGTTGACCCTTTTTACACCCTAACATCAGTGTGCATGTTCTCCACACTGTTTTCTATACATTTTCTAAGGCATTGACAAGGAGGATTTGTTTGCCAATCAAAGGGTTCCTTCCCCGGTGACCATTTCCTTTATTCTCATGTCCTGAGTGTATGATTCAGGAGTGATATTTTAGGGAGAAATTAGATGCTAGTCTCTCTTAGGGTTTAAAGGGTTAAACCACTGTGTCTCACAATTCACTCTCACATTGCAAGCACATTGTGCTTGTTATGGAGATATTATAGTTAAGATATTTTGTGATTAAACACAAACTCAACATTTATTTTATCATGTACATGTAGGACGGTGTCCTCGTTGTAATGACCGTGTCTATGCAGCGGAGCAAGTTATAGCTGGAAAAAACAAGTATCATAAACGATGCTTCACTTGCAACAACAAGCCCACTTGCAACAAGTCCTTAGACAGTGGCTCATTCAATGAGCATGATGGTATGTTGTTATTCATACTGTTTGTTTGATCTGTTAATTTTTTAAAAATGCTATTCAGCACTGAGGGTTTTTTTTTTTTGCCTTTATTTCACTATTTAAAACTGAACATCCACAACATTTACTGTAGTGGTCATGGCTCAGCACCATGCAGTAACGATATGCATGTAGTTGTCTTCCATTAATGAGATGCCTGGTTTTTGTCTTCCAATACCAGGCCTCACAGAAAAGGATAAATTCAAACAAAGTTCCTATTTGTTTTCCAGATCAAGTGTACTGTAGAGGCTGCTATGGCAAACTATTCGGACCCAAAGGATATGGCTATGGGGCTGGGGCTGGCGCACTCCACTTGACTGGAAAGTAAACCCCTAATTTTGGTCACATTCAGTGACATGTAACTAAGTTACTTTGCACAATGTATTTTCATGTGGATAAATGATCAAACACTTGTCAACTATATTTTGATACAAGCATTGTAGACCCTTTCATAGGGGGTTAATTATTAATGCCTTTTTACTGTAAAACATAAGTTTAAGAATGTGATGTTGCCAAGGGAAAGGTGATCTACTATGGTTTTATTATAGATTTATAAGACTAGTTTTGTAGCAAAATAAAATGAACAAAACAGAGTTATTTGCTGTATCATGTAATTCTCTGTGTAGTTCTACTGATCAGGGGGTCAAAGGGATATCAAGTGCCTTTATTGTTTGTAAAATCACTTAAATTTGGGGAACTAGTTACAGCCAAACCTGTTTTAAGTGGTCAGTTGTCTAAGTCTGGAAAACACTGTAATTTTCACCTTTATTAATCCCTTAAACCCTTAGAGTGACTAGCATCTAATTTCTCCTCACAATATCACCCCTGAATCAACATGAAAGTGATGAGAATAGAGAAGATGATCACCAACTAGAACAGCTCTTGATTGTGAAACAAACTCTCCTTTTCAGTCTTTTTGGAAATGTATGGAGAACAGTATGGAGAATTTGCATACTGATGTTAGGGTGTAAAGGGTTAAGAGGTCACCTCTCTAAAGCATTTGTGTCCATCCTCTACTGAGTCCCAGTACTGAATGGTCACTTAATGCAGAATCACTCAAATAAAACTAAGAAAAGCTTTCAAGTGTATTTAATCCATGTTTATCTCCCAAAAGTATTGCTAATAGTATTTTTGAGCATGATTTTGTACATTTTGTCATCAATTATGGCTTAAAATGGCATTTTAGTTGTCTTTTATACCGAGGAACCTGTATGAAGTAGTGAACATGTATTGAGCAGTCACCCTGCCTTTTCCTGTGGGTTACCACATAATAAAGTTTCAACTGGAAGATGGTGAAGTAAATCCTGTGTTCTGGATAGCTATTCAAGAGCAACAAATGAGCTTAACTTGTGCTTTGCACTGCATGGATGACTTTGAAAATCTTTTAGAATTGTTCCCCAAGGGATAGGATTTGCCATATAATATTGATATAGTATGACACAAGAGGAGAAACAGAACAGTTTAAGGTAGCTCTGTATGGTATCTTTTATTTCTTAACACCAATTCTTTGATGGACTGATAAGACCATATTTTCCATGTATTCCCTCAAAAGCTGATATTAACAGGGTGTCCCATTGTTTCTTGACATGTGATAATTTTTTTAAGGCATAGTGTGAGAACTTAGATAACTGTTCACCCTTAAAATAAAAATAAAAAATGATTATCTACAAGAGGGAGTTGTTTAGGAGGACTTTTTAGGTATATCTTAAAATCGAGTTTAAGTAGCTTTCGTGTTATAGGAAAAGATAATATGCTCGGAAATTGTTGCTGTTAGAGGTGAATGAGTTTTAGTCGATGTCCTAAGTGCTTTTCAGAGAGGGTTAGATCTTTGAGATTTTTTATGGCACGAATGTGTTTAGCCCAGGGGATAAAACAGATGGCTGATTTGATTAATTGCCCAGAGGCAGGCCTGTTTTTGGTATATCATCGGCGGATGAAAATTAACAGCTTTAACCAGATTGTTATGAAGATAACAGTTCAACCTCCACTACCCAGTTAATCCTCGTTGAGAAGTGGAAAATGTGATCCCAGCAAGCGAAACTCTTTCAAACGCCAAACGTTTTCGAAACGTATTACGGCTATTAATTGTAGCCTACGACGGTATGTCCGAGAGGCCAAAAAAAAAGGTCGAGCATTTATGCCACTCAACACTTCCCGAAGTAATAGAAAATACCTAAAATAAAGCCCAAAAGGCAATGTGTGATTTCGATTCAAAGGGATTGTCCTCAAGCTATTTCCATGTTGTCAAGCGCATATGTAAATGACATATGAAGATCATTCATTGTACAGAAGAAAAACCATTAGAGGAATGTAATCGGTGGGCAACATGAAAATATTGAAGATTATTGGATAGGGGTCGATGTAACTCACCACACGTGAGTGAACGCTCGAACTTGAAAGACGTCGGAGTCAATCTCATCGTAATCATAACATTATTACTCTCAATGATTATCATTGTCACCATTTTTTGAACATTTAAGGGAAAAAATGTTCAAATTCTTAGAATAAGTGTATTTTTAGAATGTTAGCCTGGTATAATTTCTCAATAATTGTGAGATATTTAAGACAAAGATTCAATGACGATATCGTGCCTGGAATCCTCGTCTGAATTGCCACGAAATGGACAGTTCAATGTCAAAAAAAGAAAGAATATGAGTAAAAGAAATAAAGTCCGGTTTCCTGGATTATAACTTGAATAATACAGACTTCGTTAAGTTTATGGGTTGAAATTCACTGGAAATCGGATTTGAGACTACCAAAGCTGCCGAACAATTTTGCTATCGGGGAAGAAATCTCTGGTAGATTATGTCAAATTATGATATAGGCGCGGGGTAAGAGAGACATGTCTCCGAGTTTTAGACAGCCTCAATTTCAAAACGAGGTCACATGCAGAAATTTCCTTGTGAAAAAGAGTTTTTATTGCATGATAACTGAAATTTGTTTGGCACTCGGCCTCGTTTTTAGACAGAGGCTCCAGGCATCTTGGAGCTCAGAAGACGGTAATCAATGAATGACACATCTTTGCATAATCACGACTCGCACAAAAGAAAATGAATTAAAAGGTATTAAAGTGTCTGCACGAAATGAAAATATCAGAACTGGTTATAGCGTTCGACATGTGGGGAGATATGGCTTTTCTCGAAGAAACAAGACTGGTTCACGTTTATAAATCATCGATCTCTACTCAGAGTTCTGTAACAACAGCTAAAGGTCATGATGTGCCATATACTGGAACGTGTTCCTTAGGCAATGGCGACTTCCCCAAAATAGAGTCTGCGGCTTTTTCCGCCATCATGAGCGTAGAAGCATTAAGATTACCGCTAACTATACTGGGGAATACAGACGCATCCACGACCCGGAGATTGTCGACTCCGAAGACACGAGTTTGCGCGTCGACAACAGCCATCGGGTCATCTTCGGCTCCCATCTTGTTCGTTCCACAGAGATGGTAATCAGTCTTAGCGTATCCTTGAACGAAAGCGTCTATTTCGTCCTCGGTTTCACAAGTCTTAGCTGAGAGGAAAAAATCAAGTTTAAAATTTATCTTTCTAGGATTCCAGGGTCAAGTAATATAACTAGGGTGTAACGGATTCAAGGGTGGGTCATAAATATCATCAAGATGTCCTTATTTTGCTTGGTAACGTGGCTTTAGTTCCCCCTTATACTCTTTTAGCGACTACTGACCCCACCTCCCCCTCTGTTCTCCATGAAAACCATATGTTCCCCCTAAAATTCTCCGATCCCCTCCCCCACAAGATAAAAAATGACTGCCGGTCCTTACACCCTTTACACTCGGACATCAGTAACCACTCTTCTCCATACTCCTCTCTATAAATTTCCTTTCGTACTGACAAAAAGGTTTAATAACTTGTTTAACAATTAAGTTTTCTTGAGTTGGTGATCATTTCCTTTACTCACATGGTCTTGACGTTTGCTTCAGCATTATTATTGGAAGGAGAAATTACATTCAGGTCACTCTCGTGGTTTAAAGGGTTAAGAAATAATTCAACGCCAAGTGCAACAAGATACATATAAATCATCTAATAAAATACATGAAAAAATTACGCGCGTCTGATTGGCTGAAAACGATGCATTTTTCATGTGACACAAGTGCAAAGTTGTAAACGAGTGAAAATTATAAATAGCGCGCTGCCAAAATTTCTTACGTTTTGACTTTCTGTAATGCGTTTTTCATGAAATTTATTTTTCAAGACTACAAATTTTGGTATCTGAAAATTTTTTTCGTGCTTATGCACTTTAAATTGCACTCTAAATCATACTGTTACCTATACAAACCTGGTTTTATCGGTTTTCCTCTATAAGGTTCAAAGGCCTTCTGGTTGAGTACATCACGTGCAATTCGCACACAGGTCCTCATTAAGCGACGATCACTGTCACGTGACAGATAGTTTGGTTGAATGACAGGATGGGAAAGTGGGTCACGTGATCGCAGTTTCACGAAGCCCCGGCTGCTGGGTCTAAGAATCTCAGCACAAACCTGAAAGAGAATCCATCAGGAAGGTAATTATCCTATAAGCCTGTTCTCAGAAGTCTCTGGTGAGAAATTGATGCGAACTCGGCAACAAAAAATAACAAGCTGCGAAACTTGCGTCTTCCCTTTCCCTATATCCATTCGTTTTTCCTTTGGTTGCCAACTCTTTCGTTTTCAAAGCAGGACTGTCGACAGTTTTACCTGGTATCCATGTTGAATAATCTCAGAACTGCCCGCCTCTTTCATCGCAGTAGGAACAAACTGCATCTGTATATCGGGGTGTGACACGCTGGGATCACTTTTAACGAACCCACCGCTCTCAAAATGGTTAGAGGCACACACTCCATTCTTGAATAAAAACCACTGTAGGCCAGCTCGTATCATGTTGTGCAGTTTAAACGTACTGTTCAACGTCACTGGCTTGAGGCTTTCCTGTTGTGTTCGTAGTCATAAAAATTATTTCCAATCGAGGTAGATTTTAGTAATAAAATGTAACAGGGATACCAATAATAATTATGATAACAATAATAACGACGAGGATGATGATGATGATCATAAGCCACTGTGAACAGGGTGACAACTTAAGTAGGGTAATTTGGTATCATCAACTAAGTTGATAACGTTAATTGGCCACTGTAAAGAAGTTTAAAAGCTGACGTTTCGAGCGTTAGCCCTTCGTCAGAGCGATCGCTCTGATGAAGGGCTAACTCAGTCAACTCAGTCAGCTCAGTTGATAACACTAAATTACCCTGTTATTCTCTCCCACCGACGCAGCACCACAGTTTCTTTAGAAACTTACCCACTTTGAACGACTTAAGGCCTGAAATTCCCAGTGAATGGTGCAATGCTCTACATTCCTAAAATACATTCAAGATCTCTACATCATGTAGGTTATCTGGTGCTAATTACTTACATATTGGACATACACTTGGACGTGATCTTGCAGATTTTTTCCCACTCCTGGTAACTTTGCCACCATAGGTATTCCCAGCGACTTCAGCTCTGTTTCATCCCCAATCCCAGACAGCATAAGTAGCTGTGGAGAATTAACTACTCCACCAGAAAGGATGACTTCTTTAGAGGCGCGTGCTCGTTTCACTGAATCCCCAACCCGATATTCTACTCCAATGGCTTTACCGTTTTCAAACAACACTCTGTTTGCCAGTGCTCTGGTCTCGGTCGTTAAGTTATCCCGAGGAAGAGCTGGCTTCAAATAAGCGGATGCGGCACTCCATCTCTTCCCTTCGTGTATAGTACGATCCAGTGAGCCAACTCCTTCCTGTTGATAACCGTTGAAGTCATCTGTAAATGGGTGACCGGCCTCTACACCCGCAGCGATGAAGACGTGGTGTAGTGGATTAGAATGTGTTCCACGATACACTCGCATTGGCCCACTTCCTCCACGATACTGACTAGCACCTAAACATAGAAACTCGCGTCATGTCCATGAGGTAGACACAGCGGCCGGAGAAGGGTCGGAAAACCGATTGAGAGGTTCGGTGCGAGTCCTCGGTGTGGTCACTGGTGTTGCATTTTTGAGCAAAACATTTTTCTGTTACACTGCTTGTCTCCACCTAACAGCCTTAGTTTAGATAGTGCATGGTTTATATAGGAGTGCTTTGTATCGAATGAAAGTGCATTTTGCTGGGTAACTGAGATAATTTAAGATAATTTTATTTGCTTTAGACCAACAAAATCCAAATAGATTAATTTTTTTCTCTCATCTTGTGTCAAAGAGTGTATTTGAGAAGACAAACACCGCTTGACATGAAAGTGTCTGCTAAAAGCAAAAAACTTATTGGGTAAGGCATAGAGGTGATCAAGTCCTTGTGTGGTAAACACAAACATACCATGTTCGTATCTTTCCAACCTCTTGAAGTAAGGCAAACAGTCTGCATAGGACCATCCTGTGGCACCTTCCCTATCCCATCTGTCATAATCAAACGCATGTCCGCGTGCAAAAATCATTGCATTTATCGAGGAGGACCCGCCCAGTACACGACCTCTTGGATGGTAAATAGTCCTGCAATATACATGAAGAGCAGCCATTTGAGTTCACTAAAAATTATTTTTTGATAGATTGACAAATCTCTGGTGAGTGTAAGTTAAAGCTAAAAAGCCTCCAGTGAGAATCAAACCCATAAATTAACGCACACTGTTCAACTGCTCTACTCATCACTTGCCCAGTCCTCTGACAGCCAATAGGCCATTTTATAGTTGTGTACTTAGTTGCCAAGCCTTTGATTTGGAGCAAGGCTGAAGGTGACCTTGTTGTGACAGAGACCAGTATCTAGCTAGCATGATAACAAAAAAATTTACTTTTAAAAAGCAGCACCATTTGTATCGTAACAAGGTCACCCTTAGCCTCACTCTTGTTCAAAGGCTTGGCGACCAAGCACACAACTGCAAACTGGACTATTGGGAGATTTCAATCAAGATTTTCAATTCAGCTGAGATCTGGGTATCCAAAACATGATAAACCAATGAGCAGGGAAGGAGAAAGAGAGACTGAAGTTTGTAGGCTCTTCTGTATGACAACAATACATGTTAAATTCATTTGCTTTGGGCATGAGACAAAGAGAAAATCTGAAAACCAAAAATAATTTCAGACTAGGAACATAAACACTTGTGGCTTATTAACCAAATCTACATGAGGGTCAAGAGCTGGTTAACCCACTTTAAGTCCAATTTCAATACTGCACCCCCCCATCCATCTTTCCCATTATATTCCCCATTTTTCCCCAGGCTCCTATCATCCTACTTCCTTGACCCTTTTAACTTCCAGAAGTGATTAAAATGTAACTTCTCACTACAATATCCATACAGTATCCAGCAAACAGGTAATAGGAATACTCAAACTTATCAGGTATAGGTTGTCATCTTGATCTAACATTAAATTCTCTTAACTTTTTTGGAAGGAAATGTCAAGCAGCTAGAGGGGAGAAGTAACTATCCGATCTTGGGAGTTAAAGGGTTAACAGATCTTGGTTGGACTGCAGAATCACCAAGTTAATTAATGTTATGATTAGCAATGGTGTGAAAATGAAAAGAAAATTAAATTTGTTTTAACACCTATTTTTTAAATATTGCTGAGGCTCTGATGTATAGAACCAGTTGTGACTGTCATATTCTAAGTTATATGACATGGCTGCTGGCATCTGTATTTTCCATGTGTTATCTGATGGTCCAGCTTCAAGGAGGAGTACCCTTAAATCTGGATTAGCTGACAGCCGATTGGCCAGAACACACCCAGCTGATCCCGCACCAATGATAATGTATTCATGGGTGGAGGAAAATGATGTGGTTGACTTAGAGTATCTTTCTATCACTTGGCCTCCTGGTTAGATTAAGAAACAATAAATTTCACTTCACTGCATGATAATGTACCCTTTACCTCATGGGGCCACATGGTTTGGCAAGGTTACTTTCCATGGCATATTTTTGGCTCATTTAACTGTATGCTTAGACTTACACTCATCACAAGTTATCTCCACAGTATTTTCCAAATTTCCTTGACAGTTCACCACTGAACATTAAGTTATCCTCACCTTATTAAATATTCTAATTGTGGGTTCTTTAAGCTTAATAAATGTACTAAAACTTTATTTTGCCTTAGAACTTCTTTATGCAGTTATCACAGAGAAAGTGCAATTCATTTAAACCTGAAACAATCCAAATTGGCTACCTCCTAACCATACCCCATGCCATGTCACAACCTGTAACATGCATCTTATCTTGTGTAGTGCATCAAATCCTTCATGTGTTAACATGGGTCAACTCATGTCAATCAAGGGATGGCTCCATCCACCCTCCTTTACATGTTTGATTGGTAAGGGTGTGTGATGGGAGGAGTGTAATTTTTGCATTGAAGATTATCTTTAAGGAAATTAACCATATCAATAAGATTTCAATTGGCTTCACACTAACCAGTCAATTTCCAGGTAAATTTTTTTCTGGATACCTTATAAGTGCTCTGAACAAACCCCAAGGAAAACCTGTTCATGTTCAATACCTGCAACAAAATAAGGAAGTGTTAAAAACCATAGTCTAGTATGGTCCATTAGTTTCATACTTACCTCTAGATACTCTAATTTATTGCCTTGTGTTTCTTTTTTTTCGAACAAGGGTGGGAAGGGGGGGAGAGGTTGATGCAGAAGTATATTTAGTCCATGTAATAATTTGTATCTGTTTATGGGAGTTGTGTATCTAGAGTAGGTCTACTGCAATACTCGATCCCTAAGTTATCCCCGCAGACTTTGCAGTTACCTCTTAAGTGCTCGCTTACACTTTGAGCAAACGTCCACTAAAGGCAAGTCTTGTATCAATAGATTGTAAGATACAGGTCTAAATTTTAACATAGGCTCAATTGACCCTAACTACACCCTGCGGCAAGGTCCGTGATTCTGGCGATTTTTCTCGCTTTTTGTACATACTCACCCTGCTGATAAGTTTTGTACAGACTCACCTTAATAAGTTTTGCACGTCAAGCACCAAAATTTATCGCTATCTGAACGCCAGATCACTGTTGCTTGTGTCAACGTATAGCTGAAATTTTATCCTGGATTTCTCGAACCCCTGCACCTGCAGGAGTGTATTAATTTTGTCGAGTCACCGACTTTAATTTGCCAATATCACAGAAGAATGTCACGGGTTGATGTCACGACATACCACCGAAAGTGAATCAGCGGTTCATTGCAGTCAAAATGAAATTGCAACTTTCATTTTTCACTCTTCATTGGACCTCTAAGAACATGTAAACTTTAGGTACTAGTTTCCAGTCTTTCTATCGCTAAACGTCCAAAAAACAGTTCACTGATTTGACACCGGTTCTCCAATTCTTTCAATTTTATGATAGACTGGTAAGTGGTTCATCAAAAGCAAGAAAAACATAAATGTTCTATTTATTTTGTGGAGTACAAATCATGGAAAGATAAAGCAGTGTTCACTTGGTTTCTAAGTAATCGTTTCTGATTGGTTGAGAGTCGAAATCTATCGGCACTCATCGGATTTTCGCGCCAAAAAACGCAGCTGCAACTCTGCTGATCGTTTCCACCTCAGTAGCAGGTCGTCCCTCAAGAAGTCTTGAAAGAGTACAGGAGCTTCGAATTCATCAGTGAAAAGCTCACTTCTATCGACTTTTGAAGTCTATTTTCCATGCTATACAACTTCACTTGGACGAGCTGCCTTCGATCTTATTTTTCCTCCAGATATCATCGTTTGATGCTCATGAGGAAGAGTAACAAAGTTTTGAAAAAGTGGGTGAGAAGCTTGAACGATGACACGGTCCCATATATTAACTTGCAAATTCTAAATGATGAATTGAGTGCAGAAACGACAAACGGTTCACGTGTTCACTGTTTTAAAATTTACAGGATAATTTGCTCGACTCATAAGTTAGCTGCAAAGATCGTGTTCACAATACCATAACAACTAAAATAAATTCGTTATTTATCCTCAAACAGCGAGGAACTAATTGCACCTGTAGATAGCTCATTCTTTTCGAAATTGTTTTTTCGAAGTGTTTCTCAAAACAGAATTTTCTTCCATAAGGTACTGGAGCAGTTCTCAATTAAATGTCGAAAGTAATCCATGATTGCTTGATTGGCCCAAAAAATGCGCGCCACCCTCACAACTGATTAATCAAATCTAAAACTAAAACTAATCATGATTTGGTTACTCGCGTTTTCCCGCGGTGAGTTCTCATTGGCCAATGAAGTCGATCTTCACTCGGATGGGTTGTTGTGCTTACTTTGGTTTAGTTTTTCGAAGCCCCAACTGAAAACAGCTCTTAACAGTAATTCGATTTAGTAAAATGACACAAAGACCTTTCCCAAGCCACAATTTTTTGAGAAAGGACAAACTTTGTCTCGACCGGAATCACGATCCTTATACGTTCTAAAAATCCACTAATATACCTACTTTAATTCTTACGTCAAAAAGCCAGCACGTATATTTTTAAAACTTTTTTTATTCTGGCTTTTTATACACTGGTGCTCTCGATTTAGGAAGAGGGGGATTTCCTAAAATTATATCTGCAGCCTTTTCCGCGATCATAATGACTGGTCCATTGATATTTCCACTCACAACACTCGGCATGATTGATGCGTCGACAATCCTTAGGTTCTCCACACCGAATACCTCCGTTTTATTATTGACAACAGCCATCGGGTCATCTTCGGAACCCATTTTACAGGTGCATGATGGGTGATATACAGTGTCGGCGTTCTGTCGTATCCAGGCGTCAATTTGTTCATCTGTCTGAACATGGTCACCTTTGTAAGCGTACAAACAAACATACTGTAATTTAGCATTTCACACCAACAAGTGCGAGACACCTCAACAAACAAACTTTTATTAAGAACAAACTTCAGGCAGCCAGTCACAGGAGATCAAAGGAGAATGTCTATAGAAGGAATAGGGAATCAAAAGTGTAACAAACCGAAGGATGCACACATGGATCGCCTGGTAAGCAAGTGGTCTAAAAGATGTCTTGATGTGGTAGTGGTCTGCTTCTTTTTTTTTTTTAGTTAATTCTCATGGAAAGTAAGACCCTAAAACCTGCTGAGATATCTGCTAAAACAAAGCATTTTATACCTATCATATCTTTTCACTGTAAGTACCTGGTTCTAACTCTCTCCCACAAAATGGCTCCAAAGCCTGTTGGCTGATTATTTCTCTGGTAAGTCTAACAGCATTTCTTAGCTCCACCCGATCTTCTTCAGTGGACAGGTATTGAGGGTTGATACTGGGATGATCATATGGATTTGTGGACTTGAGTCTTACATATCCACGACTTGTAGCACGTAAGGTGCCAACGTGAATCTCGTAAGGAAATAAAACAACGTGATCAACAAAAGCGTTCAGAACGTTTTCATAACTATTATTTTTTTAAAAAGACTACCATGTATTATAGTGCCGCACTGAAATTGACGGAAATTTAGAAAGTGTGGCAACACTGACAGAGTAATTTCCTTCTTCTCAAGATTTTGTCCAAGAGAAAGTTTTTTTACTCATAGCCAGATAAATATGAAGAAATGATAAATTCTACTTGGTTTAATATTCAGTATGAACAAAAGAAAACCAAGTTTTGTGGCCAGCCACGAAAGTCTTGTGTTAGTCCCTCTTAAGTATGGACAAAACGTTAAATAGACATAAACACAACACAACCCTTGATACCATTACATCAGTATCTATATTCGCCATACTATTCTCTATATATTTCCTAGGGCGTTGACAAGGAGAATTTGTTTGACAATCATAAACTTCTGGAATTAATGATCATTTCCTTTTACGTTAGGAGAAATCATGTGAAAGCCAGTCACCCTTAGGATTTAAAGGGTTATGGGAAATACGCCTGAAAATTTGCATGATATCCTAAGAGCTTATCTTTCACCCACCATGAAGGCATCCCTCTGGAATATCACTCTACCGTCATCTTTGTACCCCAGAGGCACAAACTGAAACTGGATGTCAGGATGCGATATGTCCTCCTTGCTGCGAATAAAGCCACCTGCCTCCTTGTGTGCTGTTGCACATGGTCCAGTCCTTGTGAGGAACCATTTCACTCCTACTGGAATCATGTTCCACCACTTCAGAGTACGGTAAAGCGTCAGGGGCTGAGTACACTCCTGAAACAAGAGAGCAGTGGTGTGATAACTTACGATTGCATAGCACTCTCTGGAATACCTTGATAAATACTACATACCTGCATAAAAGCCACAGACATATGATCCTGAAGATTGTAACCGACACCGGGAAGATGAACCTTCACAGGAATACCAAGCTTTTCCAAATCAACAGCATTCCCAATGCCTGACAAATTCAGTAACTGTGGTGTGTTAATGGCTCCAGCAGCTATGATAACTCCCTTTCTGGCCCCAGCACGTTTTATTTCATTGCCCAACTGATACTCCACTCCTACAGCACGGTTGTTCTCAAACAAAATTCTCAAGGTCAAGGCCCTTGTTTGTGCTTGAAGATTCTTGCGCTTAAGTGCAGGTCTGAGGTAGGCATTTGCTGTATTCCATCGTACTCCCTTATGGATCGTCTTGTCCATCCAACCAAACCCTTCCTGTTGGTAGCCATTCATGTCTTCTGTGAAGGGATAACCAGCTTGGACACCAGCATCAATAAATGCTTGGTATAAAGGGTTACCGTTTGACTTACCACAGGATACATGGAGCGGTCCATCGCCTCCTCGGTAATCATCTGGGCCTACAAGCGAGAATGATCAAATTGTTAACTTGTCCATTACATGACCTCTGAAACAAAAACAACAGCAGCATGCGTAACAACAACCTCCTTTACCTATTAGAGGTATCGGGTAACGGTGTTAGTAAATAAAGAACTTTTGTCCCTCACGGAATAGGTTTTACATCGCCTAGAATGCTTTTGTCGCTCGCGACAAGACTATAAAAAAAAATTGCGCAAAAGATCTTCAAGATTGCAAACAACACCGGAAGGACGAGTCATCACAGGAATACGAAGCTTTTGCAAATCATCATCTAAAGAAAACGAGAATATCGCAGTATCCCAGCTTCAGTAAGGAAACGTCTGTGGTGCCTTACTGAGACTTAGAAAATAGAGACTTTTAATCCCTGTTTGTCCGATGTTAGGTCTGTACGGTTGGTCATGACGCGCGCTACCAGGATTAAAGGGATGTGGCGCTCCAAGAATAAAAATATACAGTGGAAGTCGAAAAATGAAGTGAACACCTACCCAGTTCATGGGTCTGAGATTTCCTGAAGTATGGCAAACAATCTGCATATGACCATCCTTCTGCACCTTCCTTCTCCCAGCGATCATAATCATACGCATGACCTCTGATGTACACCATTGCATTTAGAGACGAAGATCCGCCCCATACCCTCCCCCTGGGTTGATAGATCCGCCTGTATGGAAGGAAATTGGTATCTTATGAGAGAAACATAAAACCTTGAAACTTCGTTTCGACTACTTCAATCTCAAATGCTGGTGGACAACGAGCAAGCAAAATATCCTTTTATTTTTCTAAATTTTGTTTCATTGGGCAGCAATTTGCAGGAAGGTGGGAGTGATTTTCCAGTATGGGGCTCTATACTTGTAGCGTGTTAGTGGTATGAGGCGGGGAGCATAGGCTTGGTTGTTTTATGATTTTATATCACTTTTTTTTGACGGCACAGGTGGAGGGGGGGAAGTTTACGAACACCAGCTTAAGACTTATCTTTGTTACTGTCCTTTAATTGTTTTATGTTTGATTAAGCTTGGTGCCCAAAACACTCCAAAACTGCATTACCTGTTATTCGTAAACTCTTGTGGTTCCGTTTCGTAATACCAGTTGTATTTGTCATTCCAAAGATTATACTTGACAGCAGCTGGCATGTGGATCTTCCATGTCCAATCTTTTGGTCCTGCCTCTAGAATTAGAACTCTGTTTTCACCACTGACCGAAAGACGATCGGCAAGGACACACCCTGCAGATCCAGCTCCACAGATGACATAGTCGTAAGATGAAGAAAACTTTACAGTGGACTGAAAACATCGTCGCTGGAAGCTAACGTGTTCGGCTGAAAATAACCAAAAATGAGTAAGGTTACTTGAATTAAGCTTGATTGCTTCGAGATAAGCACAATATTACAAAAATCAACTGCAAAGATTGTTGAGGCTTATGATTCGTCTTACAGAGTATGAGAAATGGCCTCGTGAAAAACAGTGTTTTGACCTTCGCCCAAGAAGCCATCGTGGTAGAACACACAAATATATCTCATTGCCTCATCTGAAAAGGAATGCAAAATATACAAAGAAATGCCAAATTGATAGATTATATTTTGTCTTACAAGGAAGTTTTCGGCGTTGCTTATCCAGGTTTTATGTAGGCAAAAGTCACGTAACAATTACATTACAGGGTCATTTTTTCGCGTAACGCAATATGATTTGTATACATCGTATGGGCAGAAGCTTATGTAAATTTTTTGAGTATATAATATCCTGATGAAAACATATCTGTTATCCTAAGAGAGCTAAAGAAGTACAGGCAAAGGGCCGCCGGAGTGAATCATGCTGTGTTAAGGGAGGTGAAACTCTTCGCTTCCTCTAGCCACTCTATCTGCTGACCGATATTGATGTTGCTGGTGGAAGCTTCTTTAAAAGCGTTTCCACGTTTGGAGAAGATTCTTATTTGTACTTTTTCTGAGTGTGTCTGATACAAATCTGATGTAAAACCCGGAAATCCCTTTCAAACTCACACTGTGTCTTCTGTATTAGAATTGTTCAATATTGATCCCTATGAAAATATGGGCTTCAGGTCTGCGTCGTAATGTCACGCAACCTCCTGAATCAGATCTGTACAGTTCACCATCAAACAGCGGAAGTTTTAGCACATTGGGAACACCATGAGACTAGATACGAGGCAGGAGGACTGAATCGTATCGATTTGCTGCCAATGCACCCTGATCAAAGGCCCTGACCAAAGGCCGAGTTTGCTACGGGTATTATGAAATATTTGCATTTCTCAAATTAGGAGATGGTAGAAATGATTAATATCGCCGTAATCACATCTTTTCGCCTGGCGGATCTGGTCATCGTTTGAATGGAAGAAGGTAGAGGGCAAACGGAGAATACTAACCTCGGTTAGCTCGAATTGTACCCGATCTCCGCACCTGTTGCAGTCACAAACCGATAATGTTAAAAGCTGCTGGGAGAAAAATAAACTGACGAGGAGGAGGTGCGGTACGAGTCTTTAGGAACGGGAGGGGGTGGGAGCCGCCTTCTGTGCCAGCGGTTTTTGAAATTTCCAGTCACGATACTCAGCATGATCAACGATCGAAAAAACCTTTTTCATCTCGAAATTACTTTGATTTATAACTGACGACATCTGCCGGGTGTATGGAATATGTCCGGCACACGTTTCGCGGCTACGTAATTGACAGCTTGTCGAATGGAGGGCCGGTAAGGTCATTGCTGTCACCGAAAATCTCCACCTCCGATGGATAATGGCGCACTAAGAAAAGTTCAACTATGTAAAAAAACTCACCGAAGTCTGAACACACAATAAAGTCAACATTTTATAGATCAGGATTTGTTCCTTCTTGATATACGAAGACATTTTACCTACGTGATACTCCGCTGACCGATTTCGTTCATTATTGTCAACCTCGATAAATTCTCTTTATGATGCCACTACCGAAGAATGCTTCATCAAGAACTTTATTCTAGTGGTAAATATTAGTATTCTAAAATGCAACCATGTTCTGTCGTACCATGACCGTAAACTTTTATTTTATCTCAAATCAAAGTGGAAGTCGTTACCAGTCTTTCAACCTTATTAAGTTCTAGTCTTTAGCGGGCGCAGCTCCGAACGCCTACCGCTGTATAGTTCGTCTCTGGGTTAATTACCGATTGATTTTACGTTTTTATACCGTCTGGCTGCAAATTCAGGTAAATATCCGTCTGGATATAAAAATACCTTAGTAATTTTTAAAAATCACGCCGGCAAAGGCGCTCTTCTCTTGTAGTTAAGCCATGTGCATATGAGATTTTCGGGAGCGATCTATAGCTGTAGGTCAGTGGTTTTACTTAGCCTTGACGATCACTGTAAGTTGGAGGAGCAGAGCATTTTAAATGTGCCAACACGATTTTTCAACAGAAAAAGAGCCTTCAAAGTCTCTCCCGTCCTAAGATATTTACGTTAAATAGAATCCACGAGCTGATTCTTGCATGCATTTGTAGGATTGCATAAGTCGCTGGGAAATCACTGTTTCCTTTTTACCCTAATATCATTATGCAAGTTCTCCATACTATTCTCTATACATTTCCTAAGGTGCTGACAAGGAGAATTTGTTGAAAAATCAAGAGCTACTTAAGTTGGTATTCATTTTCTTTATTCTCGTGACTTAAATGTGTGATTCAGGGATGATATTATATGGAGAAATTAGATGCTAGTCACTCTTAGGGGACCAAAGGGTTAACTGAATGATGATAAAACTGATACTAACTCTATTTATTCCATCTAGAATGATATTAATAATAATAAAATTAGAATATTGATGATGACAATGATGATGACATTTATTACTTTTGTAGATTTTAACATCAATCTATGTTGATAACTAAACTATTTTTTTCAAAGTAGAAATTAAACATTTGTGGTAGTGTTATTTTAAGGTTTTATGGTCAAAAGTAGAATTGTACAGTACTATGCAACATCATGTGGTAAAACAGTAATCAAATTCCTATCCATAAAAGCCTCGATCATTTCACACATCATGGATCTAATTACTTGCCTTGTAAAACCAATTAAGATTTGTTTTGTATGCAAGATAATCCTAGGAAATCAAATATATTTTGGAGTCATATATGAAACATCACTTTTTTGTTCATGTCATTTTTCTCTGCTTTGTGTTTAAGGTTGAAATTTTTTTTTAATATAGTAGATTTATTTCAGTCAGCCAAGGCTTAGAGGATTTTTATTTACTACTGTGCTTCAGAGTTATATGCCTGAGTAGAGCTGAGTATCTAATTTATCTATGAAATAAACTATTTTACCATCTCTCCTTTTTAAGGCAAATTTCATGGCGTCTTTCTTGATGCTTAAAAGATGTTTCTATAGAAACCTTGCACCTTCATTTCATTTCATAAAAGGTATGTGTCTGAATATTAACTTGCTTTTAATTTTGTTCCCATATTTTACTGCCACTGTGACCATTCACACTTCCCACTGCTGAACATTGTTTTATTTAATGATATGCAAGGCTGTCAATAAGGATCATAACCTGTAACAGTTGTTAGGGCTCAGCTCATGCAATGTTATGGGTGAAGATGTTGATTGCTGTCACATTACACCACTACAGGTGATGTCTGCAGAGTAACGGCTGCATTATATAATGCACTGAATTATACACCCAGTTTGATAAGTCATCTTTTGGATGACAGCTGCATACATCATTGAAGTCACCATTGAAAACATTTTCCTTTTTGATAACATTTTGATTCTATTATGCATACATCTCTTCCATAATGATAACGGAAGTGGACTTGTGCACCACTTTTTTGTTCTCACCACATTTTGACATCATCTGTGTACAGCAATATGGAATCTATTTCTCAACTTGTTTACACCATGGAATGACCAACAAGGAATTTCTCCTTGATATCCATACATTTGTAAACAGTAAGGCAACAAAAAGCTAGAAAATATCAGCACAGGGATATTGCTTTATTAACATTAAATTCTCAAAACCATAACTATAAGCAATATATAGGGAATGGTGCAGAGAATTAATATTTGGATCTTGGAAGTGAAATGGTTAAGTAGATATTGATAATTATCATGGGTATCTTTGACTTTCCTCAATGTATGGTTTTCATTATTTTGTCCTTAAGTCCATAGACCAATGGTACAGCAAAAATGTTTCCTAACTGGAACTGGTATCACAAGATATTCTTCATCTCATGACTACGTTATTTGTGGAGCTGGATCGGCTGGTTGCGTTCTTGCCAATCGTCTATCAGCCAGTGGTGAAAACAAAGTTCTTCTTCTTGAAGCTGGACCAAAAGATTGGACGTGGAAGATCCACATGCCAGCTGCTCTTATTTATAATCTTTGCGACAATAGATATAATTGGTATTATGAAACAGAACCTCAAGAGTTTATGGATAATAGGTAAATTGGTATTTAAATTTTCTTTTTTTCTAAAATATGTGTATCTGTTGTGTAAAATTTTGTGAAATTGGTTACCCTTCCATACAGGCGGATCTATCAACCCAGAGGGAGGGTATGGGGTGGATCCTCATCTCTAAATGCAATGGTGTACATCAGAGGCCATGCTTATGATTATGATCGCTGGGAGAAGGAAGGTGCAGAAGGATGGTCATATGCAGATTGTTTGCCATACTTTAGGAAATCTCAGACTCATGAACTAGGTAAGCTAACAAAAGTCCACAATTCTATAATAAGGAATCGTTAGCCCTTTTACTCCTAGGAGCAACTAAGAGAGAATTGCTATTTACATGTCAATGTCAAATCCCTATGTTGTAGCGCTAAAGATTGACCTGACATGGAAGAAATGGGAATGTGTAAAAAGTCCTTTTCACATAGAGTTTCCTTATACTGGGATGTCCACACTCTAATAAGTGCCCTCCAAACAAGCGCCTACCCCCCTAGCCTATAATATGGAAGAGGAGCCCCTCTCAATTAATTGCCATCTCCATTTCCTCCCTTATTTTCTCAGATAGTAGAGATTCAAGGAAAACCTTTTTCTATTGCCTGTTTTTAAATAACTTTTTAAGCCTCAACTTCAGCAGGAACATTACAGGTTAATAGTTTCCTAATAAGCACCCCACTTGGTTGAGCACCCTCCTTCCACTGAGTGCTCTTCCTGTAGGCCAAAATTTTAAAAAAGCACTAGGGCACTTTCAAGGAAATACATGTATGGTGTTAACATTTTCAAAAGGCTTTTAAGTCGTCTACAAGAGACATGTTTCTTGTTGAATTTGATACTATGTGAAGCTGTTGCAGAGGTCATACTGTTGACAAGCAAGCAATACTTGCATTTTCTTTTTTAGGTTCAGATGATTACAGGGGGGGTGATGGACCTCTTCATGTATCCCGTGGTAAATCAAACAACCCTTTGTACCAAGCATTTATCGATGCAGGTGTTGAAGCTGGCTATCCCTTCACAGATGACATGAATGGCTACCAACAGGAAGGGTTTGGATGGATGGACATGACAATTCATAAAGGATTCCGGTGGAATACAGCAAATGCCTACTTGAGGCCTGCACTGAGGCGTAAAAACCTTCGCACAGAGATAAGAACACTGATAACTAGATTAGTATTTGAAAAGAATCGTGCATCAGGTGTTGTCTACCACCAGGGCAGTCATGTGAAATGTGCCCAGGCCAGAAAGGGAGTTATCTTAACCTCTGGTGCAATTAATACACCTCAGATCCTAAATCTGTCAGGTATAGGAAATGCAGATGATTTAAAAAAGCTTGGTATTCCTGTGAATGTTCACCTTCCTGGTGTAGGGCAAAACTTTCAAGATCATTTGGAGATGTATTTCCACCAGGTTTGTAAATTATTCTCCACCTATCCTACATGTAGAAAGTTGACCATGAGGTGGTGAGGAACAATTGGTGATGACATAGTGCATTCATTCAATCAAGTGCTCACCTCAGCCTCTAGGAAGAAAATTTTGGATCAATATCAGTATCTGGGCAACTGCCCACCTACCCCTCCCCTAACCCAACAACAGTCAATTGATAACAACTTAAGGTTAATGTTGGGTAAAGGGAGGGGTAGGTGGGCAGTTGCCCAGATACTGATATTGATCCAAAATTTTAATGAGCACCAAGCCTCTCTTAGGCTCTAGCAGAAGTCTAGCAACTTACTTTTTCTTTTAGCAAATTGTTGAAATTTTCTTTAATGGAAGTTTAGAAGAGCTGGGCACCCCAGAGTTTTGGAAAAACTTACAGCTCTCAGACATCCAGTGACACCATGAGGAGGAAGCTTTGTCTAGTAACCTTATATAGATTTTGCTTCTCTTCTGTAATCTTGTTTCAGGAATGTACACAACCTTTAAGTTTGTACCGCTCTCTCAAATGGTGGAACATGGTTCCAATAGGTGTCAGATGGTTCCTCACTCGGACAGGACCATGTGCCACAGCACATCTAGAGGCTGGTGGCTTCATTCGCAGCAGGGAGGGAATGTCACATCCAAATATCCAGTACCACTTTCTACCCTCCGCATTTAAAGATCATGGTAGAGTGACAGTAGAAAAAGAAGCTTTTCAAGTAAGTGACAGATGAAAGTCTGCCACCATGTGTAGTGTATGTTCCTTTTTATGTTCAATTTTAAACATTTCCTTCATGTTTCTATATTTCGCATGACACAAGTTGTAAAATGTATTTGTTCTTTTTAAGGTCCATGTTGGTTCCATGAGGGCAACAAGTCGTGGGTATGTGAAGATCAAGTCAACCAGTCCCTATGACCATCCAATCATCCAACCCAACTACCTGTCTACTGAAGAGGATAGAGTGGAGTTAAGAGATAGTATTAAACTTACGCGTGAGGTATTTAGCCAAAAAGCTTTTGATCCATTTCGCGGAAAAGAACTACAGCCAGGTACAGTACAAAAAAATTTAAACATCTATCAATAGAGGAAACAATTTATTTTCTGTTATATATCATTGTACATAGAACATCTGCAACAAATAATATTTTAATTTTAACCCTTAAGGTGACAATGTCCAAACTGATGAAGAAATTGATGCTTGGGTACGACAGAATGCTGACACTGCTTATCACCCATCATGCACCTGCAAAATGGGCTCTGAAGATGACCCAATGGCCGTTGTCAACAACAAAACAGAGGTGTTTGGAGTGGAGAATTTGAGAGTTGTTGATGCATCAATCATGCCAAGTATTGTTAGTGGAAATCTCAATGGACCAACTGTTATGGTTGCAGAGAAGGCAGCTGACATCATCCTGGGAAATCCTCCATTACCCAAATCAGATGCACCAGTTTACAAGACACCAGAAGTAGGCCAGAGATGATAATGTTATTCACTGGTGTGATAACTACAGATATAGCACCCAGGTGTGATTTCAACATGCCTGTGAAAGACTTATCACAAGTAGAGATGATTACCTCAAAGTATAAAGCAAGTCAGGCAGTTTTAAAAACTCTCAGGAGTTGAAAGTTACAGACTGCAAAATAATAGCTTTCAATGAAAAATGAAAACAATAAGGTACTGTTAATTATTTATTTGAAGCAACAGTTGTTGTCACCATGTGGAAGATGCTTGGGGACCCTGTGGTGACTTCAGTAATTTCAGTAGCACATCAGTATAGCAGTTGGTTACTCTGAAGTACATGTATTTTAAGACCTCTACCAAACACATGCAAATTTGGCCATATCATTGCAATATTATGTTTTATTGAACCATTTTGATTGACTTTTTCATTATGTTCATTTAAAGATCAGTAGGTTGCAAAATTTGAGTTACAAGTAATTCATTTTTCTTTTGCATCCCGACACATATTAATTTTTCTCTGGTGATTGTGCATGTCTACAAGACTCCTTTAACCAAAAGGAACTTTTTGGGGGTCCAAGGGTGTGCTCTCCGACATAATTTCCAGGCAATTGGCTGTGGAACTATTGACAGGGAAAACTTGAATAAAGTTTGCAACAATGTTGAATACTTCAAAGACATTCCTGTCACATGTGTAATCCTCAGACTGTAGTTTGGTATCCCCAGAGTCAATTTTAAGAACAACTCCTTGCTCCTTGTCTCCTACACTAGCAACAAAAACATGGCGGGCTGCTGCAGTTTGAAGTTATGAGTAATGTAGATCCTTTTGTTTTAAAGCATTGATGTACATGTATTGTACCCTTTTGTAGCTTCTTTGCTATGCCAAACACCTACTGATACCTTGACCTGAAGGCAAGAGTTTTAGGGAAGGGTACTGGGGTTCCCATGAACCCCCCCCCCTTTCCTTTGTAAGCCTTTCCTTTTTATCCATTAATTCCCATGAGTGACCAAGACAGAATTTCTCCTCACAATGTTGATACAAGAATTGTATTGCTGACAGTGAGGTGAATTACTTAAACGATCTGGGAGTTAAAGAGTTATGCAAACAACCTACAATATTCTGGTGAAAAGTCCTGGCCATGCCCCTGAAAAGGGCTCTCACCAATTAGTCCTTCCCTCTGTTACCTCCATCCCTCAACCCAGTATTGTTCATGAAATGATGCAATCATGAATTTCAGCCAAATTGATAACATGAACTCTAGCTCCCTGGCTTGCATGTAATCTGATGTAACTTAATGGCAGTGTCTCATTGCTTTTTTTCCCTCTACTTAAACTTATTTAAAGCCTTGTCATCTTCAATTATCCAATTAGTAGCTCTTTTGTTTGACTGCCACACATTTCCTTGTAAATTGGATGGGAGAATTTTGTCTTCCATCAAAATAACATCCCATGGCTAATAAGCTTGTTTGTTTTCATAATCTGATTGTGAGATAACATTTGAAATCACAAGGAGAAGATGGATGTTTGCAACTTCTGAAAGTTAGAGGGGATGATAAGGGGAAGATAGCAACCACACCTGAACTCAACAGAAACAAAAATGCAGTCAAATTAATGATAAATATTTATTACTCAAAACTATACGGTAAATTTAAAGTATAAGGTACTTGGTAAAACAAGAATCACATCTTATTTTAGCAGCTTGGAAAGCAATCAATTGAACAAAAAAATAAGATTCTTCAACCCCCTTCCTAAGAAAGACTGAGTACTTATTATTAAACAAGAACACAATTTGCTCTAACAATTGAACAAATAAGTTAAACTTATTTGAAATTTGACAAGTTTGTAATATTAAAAAGATTCCAATAACCCAAGGGTTTAGTCACAACATTTCAGATGAAGGCTTTTTTCCTTACATTAAGAATCATTTACTCTATTACAAACAAATAATTATATTTTGTGTATAAAACTTTAGTAGTTATATTCCAGTAATGTATGTGTCATTATAAAATATATTAGGAGATTATGGTAATGCATGCATGTGAATATAAAAGTTTTGATTGGTGTTTGTTGGCAGGATTCAACTTAAAGATAGTGACCAAACTAAAAGTTTTCAGGATATCATTAAATAAAACTTAAACATATTTGCATTTGACTAGCAAACAATTGAAAAAAGAGAGTTATCAAAAAGACCATTTGATTTCCAACATACTCAACTCACAAGGGCAGAATCCTACTATTATTTACATGTAAGTGGCAACAAAATATTCAGGAAAGCACTCTGCATATACTTTCATGTTGCTAAAACATTTGGTTAAAAAAACTGTGCATGGTGATGCCTTCAAAAGTAGTATCATCCAGAGGTGTGTTTAGGAAAGGGAAGTTTATTATAATAGTAACGAGGGTTGTAACTTTCTAGACATAAAATACATACGTGCTACAAATATCCATTTCACAAAATTTTGAATATTCCATATATTGAAAGCAATCTCCTGAGATATTTACCATCACCTCATAAAATGTCTCCACTCAACTAGTGATGCTCACTAGCATTGAATGAACCTGAAGTATCTTTTATGTCCAGAATCAGTGGTTTAATCTTATCATTCTCTGCAGTCTGCTTGTCAAGTTCTGGAGCTGAAACATTCCCAAAAAATTTTTAATTACTTGTATTTAAGCACGGAAATGTAAAACCTTTAATGATCAAATGACATTGACAAAAAACTTCAGGAAAATAATAGTTTACTCACACATTTGTTTGAAGTTCTCAGAATTGAACACTGAGTGTGTGGGTAGCATATTAGGTGTCACAATTACAACTTCTCCATCTTTGTTAAATCCAAAACCATGCTTGTCATCCCAAATGAAACAGTTTTCCAAACCTTGAAACAAAAACAAAAAAAAAGCACTACAGTTATTAGCAAGAAAAGAATCAAAGGTAAGAAAAAAACATATAAAATTATTATTGCATTTTAAAAACTAGTGTTGGAAAGGTCTGAATTCAAAGCGCATTTATTTGGAAAATTATTTGAAACAGTTACCTTACAGTATTTCATTGACTTCCTTCTAAACTTGACCCTTTATGCCCTAACATCATTATAAATATTCTCCATACTGTTCTCTATACATTTCCTAAGTTCTAACAAGGAGAATTTGTAAAACCATCAAGGGATTTGCTACTTGCTGATCATTTCCTGTACTCTCACAACTTAATCATATGATTCAAGGGATAGACAATTAAGAGGAAATGAGAACCTTGTCACTCTTAAGGATGAAATGGTTAAGGATTACAAACCCTACATTTGGTAGAAATCCATCCAATTTTTTTTTTACCTGTGAATTCATTTTGTGTTCTGCCAGCCTTTAACAAAATTGGTGCTGATCTGAAATGCCTCACAGCACATTGCCTTGCCATTGTCAATAGCACTTGATGACCTCTTTGTAACATTGCCATGTTGGTTGTGAGGGGTCAAGTTCTCTTGTTCACAAGATGATTCCCTAGGAAGATTTGAGAAACCATGAGTTCCCAACAGCTAAGTACTGAGTTGGTAAGTATTTGGATTATCTTTTGAAGGATTTAATTTGTCTTTGTCACTACCCAAAAACTCAATATCTGACCTGCACATAACTCTCTCAAAAATAATGGTTTGCTTATATGCAATGCTGTTTAACTATGTTCTGAGGCAAATGATGATCCAATCATGGCAGTCTTGTCCATGCTTTTCCATGGAAAGTGGCAGATTACTTCTCTAGGATATCAGGCAGTGATTCCAGAGGTAATTGAGAAAAACAAACTTGTTAATTGAATTATAAAAGTAATAACCTTCTGTAGGTTATCACTGATGCCTCTCATCGCCCAGTTATTTGCCTTTAAACCTAAACATGTAGCTTTAGAAATAATTGATCTACTTGCCAATGACAAATCAAGATCAATTTAATTACCTCGTTTTAGTCTAAATGATCATTTCACTGTTTGTTTGCATTGGTTCAGAGAGGCCTGATTGTAAGAGCAGTGAATTTAAATATTTTGAGAGTCCTCAAACAATATCAAGCATTAAAGGTTCATGGAATCTTTTCCTCATAACGTTTTTATCATAAGAGCAATCACTGTCAACAACTATTGGTCATCTGTTTGCCTCTTTTTGATCTGAACTCATACAGTGATGTACTTCATTTTCAAGTATACATTAAGAGGGTTTTCCACTAAAGAGACACTTTAAATAGTGGCTTTGTGTCTTTGATTCAAGGGGTATAGCAGAAAATTATATGATGGGATAATACTAGCATACTCGGAAAAGAGCAAATCTACAAGCTCTAAGGAACTTACAGGGAAGTCCTGGGTATTTAAACCAGGAAAACTACCCTTGCATTTAAAATTTAAAACATTGATATTCAGTCAAAGGTGTAGTCTGTTACTTCGTTACAATATCATCAACGTCATTATCTCAGGAACTGAATATTCATCAGAGACTTATTGAAAATAAGCTTATGTTGTTGTTAGAAAGATAGTCGGAAACAATAGAAAACCTTGAGTCAACTGGGCGAAACGATGATTCGTGGGGATCTTTTTGGTTTTTTTCTGCCCCACGCGTGATTGAAATGAACAAAATTTTATGTGTCGAAGACAAAATTGAAACAAATCACCGTTCATTATGCATTGTATGACAATGTAACCCGCTAACACATGATAACGAAATCATGAGACCGTCAGCAGGTGTTCCATTTTTATGCTAAACTGGTAAAATAGCAACCGGTGGAAAGAAGGTAATGAGCTAAAGAATTTTCTTTCAGCGAACGGCTATAGACGTGTTTCTAGCTCCGCAATCTGGTTTTAGTCTTCTGGCTGGGCTTTTATCATTTCGACTCCAATAAATGGAGTGCGTGAGTGGCAAGAATCTGGCGCTTAACGAACACGCATGACTTACGTACGCGAAAGCGACACTCGAAACTTATACGAAGAGTAAGATTTTAAACGAGATACTTAGCGGACTATCAGTAATGATCCTGGCTAAATAACAGCAAAACGGCACAGTATTGAGCACCACAAGAGTAGCACACCATCAAACTAATAATAAAAAAAACGTGGTGTAGGCACGTTTTTAGCTGGGCCGGAAGATTCACCGTTTGCATCGTGCGACTTACCATTTTACAAATAGTTATTGCCTTCACAGTGAGAGAAACGTTTCAGTCACTAACATTGAAAGTCTAATCTCACCTTTGACACAGCCTTGTATAAAAGGATCGATCCTTCCTTCGACGTGTAGACAGGAAATAACGTATTCTGCTTACGCTGAGAGATTCGCAACGCACTTTTGTCCTTAGCTCGATAGAAAAACAATGTCATGTGATCATTTATGCATGAGCACTGCGCTTACTATGGGGGACTGTGTGTGGTTGTTATTAAATAGTGAGTTACAATAACGATCCAGAGAGGATTATATGATATTGCTGTGCAAACGAAGATTACCTTATTTCATGTGATGGTCTAGCATACGAAACTGGGGAGAAACTCCTCAGAGGAAATTTGATAAAGGAGTATCGTATTTGATTCCCAACCGTATACCCGATAGGTCGAAGTCTCGTCAAACAAGGAAAACTCGTTTGAGAACTTTTCCACCGGAAGCGGCAAGGTCTGCAAGCGGGAAAGCTAAAGCGAACCTACACATTTTCACTATCGCCATTCTCGCGATCGAAGAATCCCTGAGAGGAAAGCATCTCATACATTGACATGCTTTTGAGAAATTGACATAACTTCTAAGGAATATTCTTTCCGTGCTTAGATCTTCAAGAGACCGTGTGCAAATTAATTGTGTTGTTATTATTATTTTCCACACCATTGTAGTCAAGTCTCATAGGGATTCTTTTAATATATTCGTACCTGATTTTATTCATTTTGATTCTATAAAATGAAAATCTACGGCAACCATGAAACTTCGACGCTTTTAAAAATTTACCAAGGGTCCCTTAAATTTCGCAACGTTTCATGGATAAAGGCTCTTTCTTTTAAGAAAGATTAACTTTCGGGGGACACTTTTTACGGTGATGGAGTTGCATAACACAACAAACATTTTATCTGATTGGTCAAGTTGAAGGCAAAAAAGTATTCAACCAACATCCAAAGAGACAGGGGCGATAGGTGGGATTTTTCAAAAGGGGAGGGGAGCACATCGTGTCATATACAAGGTACCTACCCGACGACATGTTGACATCCACGCCGAGCAGGAGCCATTAAGTAATTCGTAATGGGCTCCTACGCTGAGTGAAACCAAATCAGGAACTTCAAAAATTATGGCATCTAATGTAAAAGTTGTGAGAGGGCACTAGAATATATTAAGACTCGACTACGTCACAGGTTACTGAGGCACCTTTCATCAAGGGGGGGAGGTTAAGTTGCTTCACCTTCCCATTATTTTTACTATTTCAGGGGCGGATCTTGGGGAGGGGTGCAAGAGGTGTGCACCCCCCTTCCCCAAAGATGACTTGCGGCTTTCTAATTTAAATTCACGGTTGTGCAAAATCTGCTGTATTGTTTACTATGTATTCTCAGCAGTTTACATTATGTTAATGCCAAGTCATAACCCTTCTTCTTTGTTCGCTTTTCACCTGTCAGTTACGTCATTCTTTTGTGGTGCACCCCCTGCTTAGGAAAATCCTAGATCCGACCATGCATTTATTTCTTTGTTTGTGTTTACGAGGGCAGTTTATGGTTAAATAAGTGGATAAATAAATCAATAGATTCATAAATGGCTGACAGATAATTGAAGAAACAGAAGATGAATGCATAAAAAGGTTGGTTGTCATATCATTTAAAGTCCCTTTATAACCGGCTTCGAGGCTTATGCTTATCCAATGATAACGATATAATTTAGCCCCATCGGGGACCTCAGGTCATCATTCTTAGCCTTCCATCTAAATGTGATCGTCTCTCTTCTTGATGCAGTGCGCAGAGGCATCTCAGCAAAGATTGTTATCAGCAGAGCTCTGCAACAATCACAGATTACACAAGCTGAGGTTATCACACAATACAAAAACGTGATCGAAAAGTACTTGTTAACTTGAGCCTTGGGCGATACGAACTTTTGATTAACAATTACAGAGTTATCTAAAAGTTCGTTTTGTCATGGGGACTCAGATTTTTTTCCCTTGTCCCTCACTCGACACGAGGTGAAAAGATATCTTTCTTGCCTAAAATTTGCGCTCTTTCCTATGTTCTTGGAAAAGTCTGCTTGGAGTCTATGAAAACATACAGCAATAGACCGCGATTTGCATCTCTTACCTAACTCTTGAGCAACTACATAAATGGCTGGTCTGTGATGTTGTGAACTGCTATCTGCTCCATCATTTGTAGGCTCGCCCCGCTCCAAGTTCATTCGATTCGCACCCTGACAAGGGAGCCTAAACAACCGCTTCAGGTGGTTTCTGAAGCGCTCATTGACGAACACGTAAACGAAGGGATTAACGCACGAGTTGAAGGTGACAATTACGATGCCGATGATGTAGACAATGTTTCCATACTGCTGTGAATCATGAAAGTAGTTCAACATGTAGATGATTAGGACTGGAAACCACGTGACGCTGTACACTAAGCTGACCTGAAACCGAAGAAAAAATAAGTCTGCACGTGCGTTCTCGTGTGGTTAGTCCGCGTGAAAAGTCAACAGGAAACAAAAAATAATTTACCACTTTTTCTTTTGCTAATGTAAAGTTCCTTCAACGAACTCCTCTCAGTTGACAATGTCACAAGCGCTAGACTATTTTTTATTAGTTTTTTTATTAGTAGTAGTAGTAGTAGTAGTGGTAAACATCAATGGGTGTATACCATACTGCATTATATATTAAGCTGAATTGGACATGCATTTCGATTGTTTCTTACCTATGACCTATCAGAGGACAAACGCACAGCAACATGGAATTTATTGGGTTTATATGATAGGCTGAAGCATACAAGCATTTTGATTGGTTCATACCTATGATCTATTAGAGGACAGATGCACAGCAACATGGAATTTACTGGGTTTTAAATGATAATCTGAATCATACAAGTATTTTGATCTTTTCTTACCAATGATCTATTAGAGGACAGACGTGCAGCAACATGGAATTTATTGAGTTTTATATGATAGGCTGAATCATACAAGCATTTCGATTGGTTCTTAGTTATGATCTATTTGGTTTATACACTATTAAGTATGTGCTAAATACTTCTTGTTGTCCACTGTACTATATTGTTGTCTCGTTTTCAACCTGGAATATCTAGGACATATAAGGCTAATTAGTCAGTCGTGAGTGTATGCTATCCTGCCGTTCGAAATCAGTATACCTTCGCTTTTATTTCATGAAACGTGTTGAATTTATTCGTCATAAGTCCTGAAGAAAAATTTACCAGAGACCTACGGGTTACCATTGGGATGCTCTAGGGTCTTCTAGCATTCAACCACGGATAGGTCGTTTTGATTAAAATCAACGTAACTCACCGTAATCACCATTTTTGTCACGCGTTTGCGTGACTTGAGAACCGCTGCTTGCGTGACGCGAGAACCTTGATCTCGTTTGAACCAAAGTCGCCTAACGACCCGTGCGTAAAGCACGGTCATGAGAGCAATAGGCAGCGCACCGAAGAAAATTAACCAGGAGGTGCTGTAAACACGTGCCATCCACATAGCTGGCCAATACTCGGTGCAGAAGTCAATCTCTGGATTATACTGCATTGTGAAGAACAGCGGCAGGTTGAATGCTACTGCGAGAACCCAACAGCCCGCTATGACATATTTAACCCTCTTCATCGTTAGTTTGCCTCTGTTACCGTACGGGTGGACGACAGCGAAGTAACGCTCGACAGAGATGGCCACCAGGGAATACACAGACGCTGAGCCACCCAACCAGCTGAAATTGCTGCCAGTAAACAGTTTGCATATAAGTGTTCCCAGCAGTCCGTCTGGGTGATCGAATGCATGAATAAAGATGAAGCGTGGAGTGACAAAAGACACAACCATGATATCTGCTAACGCCAGGTTAAGAATGAGATAATTCATGGGTGTTCTCATGGAGCGGTTTGCGAGGATCACGATGCAAGCCAAAATGTTGCCAACCACACTGATCAGCACCAGTATGGAGAACACGGTGGTTATAGCAACCTGAGCTGACAAAGACTGCGTGTAAAACGTCATCATTGGTACCTTTCAAGAATGTAATCTATGAAGATAACAAGTGCGAAGTGGATCAAAAAGCTGTCCCTGTTTTTTCCTTTGGAGGTCTTAGATAGGTGAGCAATATTCCCCGTTAACTCTTTTTTTAAGGATTCAAAATATTCAATCGGTTTAGCTTTCTTAAAAACTGTCGACCACCGTGTGCCACCGAAAGGAGAAGAGAGGCCGAATCGGAGTCTCAATGGGGAGATGGTTTTTAAGGCTAACCGTTAAAATATTGGTCAATCTACGGATAACGAATTTTATCTTTCCATTGTAGTCTCCAGAAAAATATTTACGGCCAATTTTATTTTTTTTACGACTTACGGTTTCATTTGTCAATTTTTACGCCTAACGGCTAAGTTTTTTTGGCCGTTTTACGGCTCACGGTTAACCCCATTGAGACCTGGAGCAGAAAGTTCGCGCGAGATCTGGGACGATAAGTCTTACGGCTCCCATATCTTTGACTCAAGACTTCATTAAAATTATACCGTCGGTGCAGCTGCAGGTTTTTTTAACGCAGAATTAAGGATCGCCATCAGTTGGAGATGAGCTCTTATACCTTCTCGAGGTTATCAAAAAGTAATGAGAGTCAAACACATTGTTTCCGAAATTTCCATCCATGAAAAACCCTGTGCTCTTGATTGTCTTTTGTTAATTATTTTTTATTCGTATACAGGAGATATTTTAAGATAACGATTTACGGAGGAGTGACAGAGACCAATATCGGAATACGTAGGAAGCGGTTGTCTTTAAAATTTACAAAGCCTGGACATTTGTTTAAAGCATCCACGATGAAAATGATTAAAAAAAGAAGAAAAGAAAAGAAACAAATGGGAAACGCAGCCTTTCAAAGGCGAACGCGTTCGTTATACATAGGTTTGTTTTGTTTTGTTTCTTCAGTTTCATTTTTGTTTTCTGTGTTGTTTTTTTTTTGTTTTTTTTTGTATTGTTTTTTTTCCCGTAAATTTCACTCATTTTCTTCTTTATCGACACAGAATATGAGTCCTCCCAACTTCTCTCTCCATCTGTCTACAAACCCAAAAGGCCCCTTTCTTCGGCATTGTGCGAGGCCTGGGCTTATCACGAGATTTAACGGCTTCAGCAGAAGATATCACCGAAATACAATAGCAAGAATATAAGTTGGCAGAAGTTTTGGCTGATAAACTCATTTAAGTTTATATTTCTTTAGTGTTTGGGTACGCGAGAGTAACCACGATCTTGTATTGACTTCTCCAACCACAACCAAGAGAAAGTAAATCTCTCATTATTTTCTCTTTCCCGCACAACTGAGTAATTGTGATTAAATTACTGCAAATATATGTATGTTTAATTGTAAAAAAGATGATTAATTTTCGTTTCATTTTGCCTTCTCTGCCAGTCGGGTAAGAATTTATACCTAGGCAAAACTACAGCGGCATAGGGCTGTCTAAACCTGTATCAATTAAAGTATCGAAACAATATATAAAACTGGAGATTGCTCTTGACGGTGTAAAGAAAGGCTGAAGACGGAGATCAAATAGAATTTTCACAGTAAAATTTTGCCATTAAAAGGCAATCAGTTATCAATACAGTTCTCAACGTGTGGTAGATTGCGTTCTGGTACAATTTGCGTAATTTTTTCTTATAAATCCTCGTAATTTTAGTCATCATTACGATTGGATTCATTAACTCAAAGGCGTATATCTCAGATGTCATTTGATTTCGAGTAGAGAGAACGATCAGTTATGCAAAATATATCATTAAAAGATTACAGATTACCACGAAAGGGAAATATTATGCATTTAGTTCCTAGTTTAATCATTGTTCCTGATTGCAGTTTTTCTTTCGAGACCTTCCAATATGTGTTAACGTTAATGCCTTCTTAACAAAATTCTACTTAAGTTCATGCCTTTCCCAGTGAATCTATTAATTGAATTTTTATTTTCTGAGAGTGAAATGAAACATAGTCTCTCCCTCCTCGCAAAATAAAATAAATAAAAATAAAACAATAAAGATAAAAACTAACAGAAATTAAGGCCAATTTTATGGTTATCCCCGCTGAGAATAAAACGCTTCAATAGATCAGGTTCCAGAATCCTTGCTATCCAAAACCGAAGATTTTTCTAAAATCGCAAAGAAATAATTTTTTCCGAACCAAAATCTCTTCTTTTCGTTCGTAAAAGGGAAAGAACAAAGCAAAAAAAAACCAACTCACCGTACTTGAGGTGATCTTGAGGAAAAGTGCTCTCTCTTTTTCACAGAGAAGCTAAGCCGATGTTCCCCTCGATGGAATAATTTTAAACTACATTTGCCGCATAATAAACAGTATTTTCACCATGTTGCTAGCCTTTGACAAGCCTAAGAAGCGCCTCTTTATTCAAAAGTTATTTTAACAATCGTTGTCTTATCAGCAATGACTTTTTGGACATGAATACAATATTGAGCTTTCATTAAGACTTCTGCAAAGCAGTTATGACGTAGTCGAATCTATAAAAGAATAATTATTTAAAATCTTTCATAATTTCCTAGATATTTTGCCATAGCTTTTTTTCAATTCGTGACTGGAATTTCTGTTCTTCCCATGCAACGTTTTCAACAGCAATTTTCAGATCTACCAATAATGACTTTGTTTTTGGTTCCATCACGTAGATATTTGGCCACACGCGGAAGGAAAATAAGCATTTGCCTTTTTTTCTGTACAGTCTCAAATTTCAAAAGTCATTTAGTCTCCCGTCCTTTTAAAAGCCATGAACCTTGTTGTCTCCCGAGAATATGGCCTTTTTTCACTTCAAAGACGTATACAGAAGGACAATTTCCAACATATTAGAAGATACCTAATTAATCAGCGAAATCTATGACATATCTCACCTCTCATTGAGGAAATATATTGTTCACTTGAGAGCCCTCTGAATCTCCGAAAACTAGTTCCGGGACAGATGTTGAAAAGAAAGGCCTTTTCATTGGAGAGACTATTTTATGGTATCTGATATCCATAGAAAGTCCTCATTAAGTTGACGAAAAGAAATAAAAATTTTATAAACGGAAACACGGGACCCCATTTATCATTTTAAGGAGTATCAATATCGCTTGGAACGACACTGGACCAAGCGATGCACAAACAGTATAATTAAATATGAGCGAATTGCCATCATAATCCGCTGATATTTTTTCTATTTACATTGATTTTAATTATGTTTTCAAGATCCGAGACAGCATTTTTTTTTAGAGGGCACGGTAATGAATCCTGCAATCTGATCGGTTCTCAACCCGGTCAGTATTTTCCTATCTCTGCTCACGGGCCACGGTAACGCTTTCGTGAGTCGCCGAGTACATCCCAACTTTCGTTGCCATTTTTCATAAATATATCTCGTTTTTCCGGCTGGGCAGTATTTTTAAGCAAACACGTCGGTCACTACCTCAAGCCGATAAATAACTTGTGAATCCTCTCTTTTCTCACTCTCAAATCACTGTGGTCGACAGAAAAATATTGGTTAAACTGAACGAACGAACTTCATTCATTTAATATCTGAATTTTCTCAAACAATTGTAATTTATTCACACCTCTCATTTCATTTCTTATGGTGTGATTTTCTTTGGGTCGAATCAATATACATCAGTTCTGGGAAATTGTTTGAATTCACTTATTTACTCAATCTCTTTGAGCGACTCGGCCTCTTTCACCCTTCATCAAAATTGTAACAAAATTCTCAAACGTGATTGGTTACCACCAGCCCGATTTGAGCACTAACAGGACAGTGTGCGCGTCATGCGTGTAATTGGACAGTGTAATAGGACAGTTGACAAGTCATGCCTGTTAAAGTGGACAGTACGCATCATATGCGTGCGCTACTGTCGCGCATTTCGCCTGACTAACTGTTGTTGTTGTTTTTTATTATTATTATTATTGTTATTATTATTATTATTATTATTATGAAAACGTACAACCGATGTCTTGTTTCTTTCTCAAATCTTGTTATAGTTTTAATTAATAAGCTAAAGGACTTCGTGTCGTCAAATAATATCTGTAATCGCACTCATGATTATTAAATCGGACTCTTGCTTTGCGGTCATCCAATTTTGTTAATCACTCGTATGATCCCAAACAGAATTGGACTCCAGTCGGTCCTATTATCACTATCAGTATCGCTGCTTGAATCCCTTTCTGTCTCAAGCTTGAAATCTGGTTTTATATCAAGGCCTTTAATGGGGAAGCAACCATGTAAACCGAATAACAAGTAGTGCTTGTGTATGTGCGCGCTGCGTGCCTTTCCTTCAACAACAGATCGATACAAAATCTGGAAAACTTGCAATTTTCTTTATCCAATTGAAAGTACTGCCACAACATCATTCTTAAAACACAAAGCCTCTGGACAATTTGTCTACTTGTTTAACTTTTAAATTAATGTCTCTGTAACCAGCTGAAAGCAGATCGACTTAAAGTGCACTCAGAAACATAAGCACCATTTTTAGAATGCACTCGCGATTTTTCGAAATTGTCGCGGACCCACCCTCCCTGAGGTGTTATTTTTCATCAAAATTTTTTATATTGTGTGATCATCATGTCTCCTTGCAATTGAAGATCTTCACTGAGAAGCACTGATCATACCTTGTAGAGAAAGAGGGAGGGAGGGGGGAGAGGGGTGATGGTGGGGCGGTGATGGTGGGGGAGAGGGGTGATGGTGGGGCGGTGAGATATACGGTGATAAAACTCTGCTGATAAAAACTATTTATAAATTTTTACGTTTCTTTTTTTTTTTTTTTTTTTTTTTGCATCTCATTTTCATCTACCCACCTTCGCAATTGAAAATAAAAGGGTTGAAGCAGTCACTTAATTCTAAATACAAGGATAAATGTCAATTGTTTAAAGAAAAAAAAAACAAAACAACTGAGATGAAACGTTTAACACTGATCGATAGATCGATGAACGAGATCTCCTATGGCAGTAAAGTATGAAATCAATTAGCGTTTCACATCATTACAGTGTGGTGGGAATTACTTTT